CTACCTTCTCTTCCTCACCTAGCAGGGACCTATTTATTGGCTCCCTGCTCCCAGGTGGGGGCCAGCCCATTCTCAGGTGCGAGCACTGAGCAAAGTCTGAGGGGCCAGGACCCAGGACTGCCCTGGCAGTTTTAACTACTTCAGTCTGGATGGCTTTAAAGGTAGAGGAGATTCTTGGGTAGTGGAAGCACCGGTCTTCCAGGCTGTGGGGGTGCTCAGTCTTATTCTCTCCCCCTTAATTTGAGCAGCGATACTCCAATATTTCACATATAAAATGGAATTTTAGGCATTCAGGTTAATTTTGCATGTTGAATAGATCCTATAATGTTGGTTTATGGTACATCTTCCTAAAATACCCACTCCTCAGCTATGAACTGGATGGTCCCTCCAGCCCCCTTTTATTTTGTTAATATTACAGTGTTGTACTAAACCTGTGAATACTGTGTTGCTTCTAGATCAGGCTGATAAGTGAATGGGCATGAGGACAGTCTCATATAGACAGTTCCCTACATGCCTACCCTCCTGCTATTATGCCTCAGTGTGTTCCGCTCAAGCTTGGAAAGATGCATTTTTTTCTGTAAATGGAGAGATATAAAATACTTTTTTAAAAAGGCTTATTTTTATTTATGCATGCCTGCAAAAACTGGGGTGTGGCCAGAGGTGTGGGGGGTAAGATGATTCACCAGAGATAGTGGGGAGCAGAACAGGTGGATCTACTGATAGCCACTGTTGAGGGGAGTAGCTGGTGAGTCAGGAGAGGTCTGCTGCACCATGTGGGTCAGCTCCCTGGCCAGGGATTGAACTCATACCACAGTGACTGGCAATAGCTTGATAGTGCTGACTTTAACCCCTGTACCACCAGGGAGGTAAATGCTTCTTTTTTACATGGTTACTTAATTTGAAGTATTTTCTCAGCACTTCCCTTTTGGACACAGTCTTAAAATGCTAGTCATTCATGGTTTTGCTAGGCATTGATACTAAGTTTTCAGCAGAAGTAAACTTCATGTCTCGATATTAATTAGCAAATTTTAATGTTGGTGGGTTTTAGAGTTTAGTTAATGTGTTGGGCATATGTCTATTCTTTTCCTGGAAAAGTTTTTTTTTTTTTAATACTCTTAAGTTATTCTCTTGGAAATTCAGTAATTGCTTTTCACTTCTTTTTGCATGATCATCTGCTCACTGTTACAATTTCAGTTAATTTTTTTAATAAATAGTATAGATATATCTAAAAGTAAGGCAGAAACTTACTTAACTAACACAGTTACTAATTTTAATTGTTTTTAGTATTGGCCATTTGCAGACGAATCAAACTAGTAATTTTTAAAAATTAAGTAAATAAAAAAAGTTAAGTATAGAACTTGGTTGGAAACTTTCAGAATGAATTAGTAATCATGATTGTTACTTTGAGGATCATATTTTTTTTTTTTTTTTAAGATTTATTTATTTATACTAGCACTGGGTACAGTCAGAAGTGCGGGAGGGTGAGAGAATTCACCAGAGCCAGAGGAGGAAGCAGAACAGGCAGACTAACAAAGTACACTGCTAAGGGGAGCAGTGGGCGGCAGGAGAGGTCTGCACACCATGTGGGACCCTTGCCTGGCAGCCGGGGATCGAACTGGCGCTGCAGAGGCTGCGGGCAGCTTCGCAACCCAGTGCTCAACCGCTGCGCCACAGGGGAGGCCCTGAGGATCAGATTTTTAACTTTAAGAGTGGGATAAATCCTGAGGCTAGGGCCTCCCCGGTGGCGCAGCGGTTGAGCGCTGGGTTGCGAAGCTGCGCGCGGCCTCTGCGGCGCCGGTTCGATCCCCGGCTGCTCCCCGGCCACCAGAGGAGGGTCCCACATGGCGCGCAGACCTCTCCTGCCGCCCGCTGCTCCCCTCAGCAGTGTACTTCGGTCCTTCTGCCTGCTCTGCTCCCCGCTCTGGCTCTGGTGAATTCTCTCGCCCTCCCGCGCTTCTGACTGTACCCAGTGCATGTATAAACAAAACAAACAAAGAAACCAGCAAACAAATAAATAAAGCATGCCTCTATTAAAAAAAAAAAAAAAAAAAAAAAAAAATCCTGAGGCTAGCGCTCGTTTGAAGTAACTGCCAATGTTTGTCCATGAAGCTGAGAAACCGTCCTTATCCGGAATAAGTGCTAAGGACATTGTAGGTGCCCAATAAATAAATACTTGCTGAATAAGTGTTTAATGAAAAAAATTCTTGAACAGATTTTGAATTGTAGGTAGTGGTTTTTGGGTGACTCTGATCTTAAAATAATCTTTTTTTTTAGTCAGTCTTCTGGTTCAGCAAAAAGGATTATGATGTAGAGGCATTTCAGTGGTGAGGGAGAAAGTTGTATTGGGTTTAGCCTGAGGCATGTGTTCTGTTACCTGTACTTAAGCAGAGCAGGTTGACTCTACTCTTCGAGTCTTTAAGATCCCATTGAAGGGCCTCCCCGGTGGTGCAGTGGTGTTAAGCGCAGCGCTGTGAAGCTGTCCACAGCCTCTGTAGCCTCTGCAGCACGGGTTTGATTCCCAGCCCTCCAGGGAGATACCCACATGGCACAGCAGACCTCTCCTGTCTCGCCTTCTGTTCCCCGCTGTCTGTGGTGAATCCGCTCACCTTCCTGTGCCTCTGGCCTGTACCCCAGCTCTTGTAGAAATAAAAAAATCTTTAAAAAAAAAAAAAAAGCCCCTTGAAATCTAAAATTCCTTGCTTCTCAGTATGTTGAGATGCTTGGGGGGATGGAAGAATATTGTGAATAGTGTACATTTATAGACTAGGGGACAGTTTGTGATGCCTATGTTTATTTTTTTGTATGTCTGGGGTGTTTGTTAAATTTTGTTTATTTGTTTGTCCTCACAGTCAACGACAACACAAACAGCAGAGTGGTCCTTTGGTCCTTCTTTGAAGCTCTTGTTCTAGTTGCCATGACATTGGGACAGATCTACTACCTGAAGAGATTTTTTGAAGTCCGGAGGGTTGTTTAAAAAGCCTTTTCCTAATGATCCCAAACTCATGATTCACTGTTTACCAAACATCTTGGTCATAATAATGTCATTAGTTTCTATGTTTTAATTTTCCAAACTGTACATTCACAGCTTATGTTTCTTTGTGATTAATAGATATTGGGGAGAAGATACCTTCTTAGGAAAGTTATAGTGAAAAATTGACATTTGATTGGCATCATTTCCTACTTGAGTTCTGCCACCATTTACAGGTCCTTCCAGAATGCCAACTCTGTAAATGAAATCTAGGCATAGAGTCCTTCTGTCTTCTTTCCCCTTTGTTTTCATGCAGCGCAGTTGGTTTAGGACAGGACTCTACCAGTAGTACCTTCCTAAGGCAACTGCATTCTTTGGAACCCTTATTCTGTAGTTCAAGTTATTAAAGATTCATTCTGTTGAGTTCTTAAGAGAAACAACAGTCTGGATCTTGGCATTTTCTGTCCAGCCTCATGGCAGAGCTCTGGGACTTTGGAGTATGCTGGCAGGTTGCTACTTTTATACCTTATTTTGTGTTTGTTTTAAAGATAAGATTTAGCCCAATGACATTTTCCCCCTAAATATTTACTTTGAACTGTAGAACTCAATCACCTCCACATTTAAATTGATGACACAAGCAGCTAATAACCAGTTTTTGGTTTCTGCCTAATAATAGAAATCTCTATTATAGCCAGTTCTCTGGGTGTTTCAGTGAATGGTAGTTCTTTCTATGCTGCCACGTCCACTTTCTCCACTCTTGGCACACAGGAGGTATGCATTCACGTAATTGGAAAAATCGGGATTTCTGATGCCAAAGGGTTAAAGCCTCTTGGATTTACATTGCCGTAAAATACAGCCACTATTTTATTTCTGATCAGTGGCATTTTGGCCATTGTTCAATTAGGGTACTGAGCAGCACTGTCAGTACTAGGGTTTTGTTTTTGTTTTTCTTAGGTCTTTCTTTTTTGGCACATGTGAATTTTGTTTTGTATAAAACGAAATGACTTTCAGTCTCTGATGATGGGTTTAAAATTAAAGGAGCATCGGTTTTGGTGTGGGGATGATCCAGGATTATGTTGTGACTGATGTATATTAGTTACTTGTACATTTTTTTGGATCTTTGCAAGGGGAAAACTACAAGTAACGAGTTTTATATACTTAATTTAAATTTGTTACAGGTTTTCATGTTCAGGATAAACAATTTTTCAACCTTGGGTGAAAATACTTGCAACAGTTTAAGGTGACTGTTTTACCTTAGAACAGCTGTTGCATGCCAATGTGTGTGTGTGAGAAACACTTCAAAATTGAATTAAAAGATGTAAATTTAAAATTGGTTGTGTATCTAATCTGCCCCAGGTTCAGTAAATAAACAATTCTTTTAAAAAATAATCCTAGTATTCTGTGTTTTATATGTTGATTAATTCACACTAAAATACTAGCTTATTTGAGATGAGACACGGACATGTTTTTTTGAGTAGTTATGTCTATCATGAATGTCTTATTTGCCTATAAACATGAGGCTAGCGAATAGGAACCCACTTTTAGATAGGTCAATGTTAATATATTATTAGATTTTTCTTTTTGGGGAAAAAATAATTTGCGATATTTTCAGTGTCAACCACTTGGTTTATGAATGTAGGAATTAAGAGGAAATAAATGATCCCAAGGTCCACAGATGCAGTGATTTGTGGAACCAGCAACTAAATCAGCTGCCTTTACATGCCAAAGAAGCTGCTGTTTATCCAGCACTTGCAGTGTCCTGGCGAGTTGCTGAGCACTTTGGGGGGCCTTTCTCGGTTATTCCTTAAAACCTCCACCGCCTTGGGTGCTTTTTAAATTCTCAATTTGGACATAAGGAGACAGGCTTGGAAATGGGTCTCAAACCAGAAAGCTCGTTCAGCAGAGCCTAAAGTGCAGAGCAGATGAGCTCTCTGCCTCTGCTTTCGGAGCCGGCTGCAAGTCCCGTTTTTAAGTTGTCAAAAAGGCTCTTGAGGGTGTGGTCACAGGACGGCGAAAGGGTCGCCTCAGGCCTTCCCCGTCACCTTTGGTCTGACCAGTCTGCATGGATACTCTTGCCGCTTATCCATCCCCCGAATACTTGCGAGACTGCGGCGCGCTACCAGCCGGAACCGCTGGGATGAAAACGCAGAGAAAGATGCCCGTTGCGGGATCTCCCGCTCGGCGCTGGAAGGTGGCGCGCGGGTTTGAGAGCCGCGGGCGCGCGGTAAGGCGGGGAAAGCGTTCGTGCTCGGGACGGGAGGCCGCCCGGGAGGGCGTCGGAAGGGCCTGGCGGCCGCGGGGCCCGCGCAGCCGGAGCCCGGCCCCTCCCGGCGGTCGGCGGGCGGTCGCGGGAGGAAGGTGCGCGGGCGGGCGGCTGCCCCAGGCCGGCGGGGAAAAGCGTCTCAGCTCGGACTCCGGCCGGGACGCGGCGGCAGCGTGGTGGACGCGGGCAGAAAGCGGGAGTGCCGCCCCCGGCTCCGGGCGGCCGGCAGCGGGCGAGTCGGGCGGAGCGCCCCCCCTCCCCGCCCCGGCCAGGCCGCGGGTGCCCAGGCGCCGCGGGCCCCGGCCCCGGAACCCGCCGCGCGAGCCCGGTTCCCGGCCGGCTCCAGTTCCCGGCCGGCCCCGGTTCCCGGCCGGCCCCGGCCCCGGTCGCCGGAAGCGGAAGTGCTCGCGGGCGGCGGCGGCGCGGCCATGGAGCGCGTGACGGAGGGGTCCTGGGAGTCGCTGCCCGTGCGGCTGCACCCACGGGTGCTGGGCTCGCTGCGGGAGCTGGGCTTCCCGCACATGACGCCGGTGCAGGTACCCGGCGCGGGCACGGGGGCCCTCCACGCCCAGGGCGGCCGGGGAGAGCGCGCCCGAAAAGGGCCAGTGCAGATGCCTCGGCGGGGGCTGGAGCTGCAGGAGCAGAAAGAAGGGCCTTGGCGGCCGCGGCATCCGGGCAGCGCAGGGGATGAGCGAGCCAGGTGCTGGCCGCGGAGGAGCTTGGCTCTGCCTCTGGGGTGGAAGAGCCCATCTCACGTGGAGAGCCTGCGAGGGCGGAGATGGGACTGCTGTGCAGAGACGGGCTTTCGAGCGGGAAGAGTAGAGGCGAGGAGGTCAGCTAGGAGGCCACTGTTGAGCGAGATGCTGGTGGCCTGAAGAGGAATCAGTGAATTTTGAGAAGTCAAGTTTGAGATAGGTTTGGGGTTGCTGAGGGACCGGACGTGGGGGTTATGAGAGGAATCCAGAGGAGCGACGCTGAGGTGTCTGTCCTTAGCAGCTGGGTGGGCGGTGGTACCATTTATTGAGATGAGGAGGGCAGGGGGTGGGGGACAGTTTACAGGTTTCAGAGGGAAAATCATGAGAAATGTTTGGAAATGTTGAGCGAGATGTCCACAAGATCCCCAGGAGAGAGGTGGAGGAAGCACCCAGGGCTGGAGGTAAAAGTAGGCAGTGCTGTGTGCCACACCTGGGTAGGTCCGTGCCAAGGAGACTCATGTCTGCTGCCAGAGTTGGCAGTCTAGGGATGGCGAGGCAGCACTGGAATTCAGGACTTAGTCCCCTGTTAGCTCACCTTCCCCTCCTGCCGGCTGTGCAGACCAAGTCACATACCTGTGGGCCAGTCCCTCTGGGAACCGTGGCGACCCTCTCAGAGTCTGCTTCGTGTTGGAGGCCATGCGGGCCGCCTTGTGCATCCCAGGGCTGTGGCCACAGCTGTGGAGTCGTGTCTAACGGAACTTTGCTGACTCTCTCTCCAGTCTGCTACCATCCCTCTGTTCATGAAGAACAAAGATGTCGCCGCGGAAGCGGTGAGTACCTGGCCGATGCAGCCTGTCCTTGTGCTTTCCCTCCAAAACAGGCTGCCAACCAGAACTGCTCCCCTTTGCAGGTCACAGGGAGTGGCAAAACACTCGCCTTTGTCATCCCCATCCTGGAAATACTTCTGAGAAGGGAAGAGAAGTTAAAAAAGAATCAGGTGAGGATAGCTATGTGACTTCTTTTCACTGGGTCATTGTGAGCTCAGTTGAGTAAAAATCTGGTCAGAAGCGTGAAGAAAGTCTGTCCTTTGGTGCATCTGTGTCTGTAAACTCGCCGGCTTGTTAAGACTTAGTAGTGTTCCCCAATTGGTGCTCACACCACGTAGCGCAAAGCTGGCGTTGCCTTTGAACAGGCGCGACATCCTGCGGCCTGGTTGCAGCGCCCACACTGAACAGGTGGGTCCCTTGACGGCTCCTCACTGCTGTGCTGTTTGCGTCTCCTGAGCACAGGAAGGCGGAATGGGCTTTCTGTAGAAGGCATGTCACAGAGGCGTGTTCCATGAGCTGCTTTCAGGAGGAGCAGTGGGGCTGTTGGCCACGAGTGTAATGTTCACGAGTCCGCTGTATCAAATAAGGTGTCTTCAGGCAGAAACGTTAAAACGAGGTGCTGTATGGATCTGTTGACAAAAGGGTTGTGTGTGACCAGAGGCTGGCAGGACCCCGACCCTGTACGGTCCCCTAGAGCAGGGTCACATTCGCTGATCCTGAGTTCATGGCCATGTCACAGGACACAACAGCTGTGAATGATGAGTATCAACTACAGTTCAGAGTGGTCGGTGAGCACTGCCCAGGCCCGGGAGAGCTGCTGGCCTGGACCGTGCCTGGTGGGGTGCGGGCTACAGCGTGTGTGTGTGTCTGTGTGTGTGTGTGTGTGTGTTGGGCCCCCCATGACCGCGAGCTGCTCAGTGTCCTCCCCTCCGTGGGCAGGTGGGAGCCATCATCATCACGCCCACGCGGGAGCTGGCTGTGCAGATAGATGAGGTCCTGGCGCATTTCACCAAGCCCTTCCCCCAGTTCCGGTAGGTGGGTGACTGCTGAGAGCCCTGGGCCGGTGTCCTGCCCACCAGCTCACAGACTCCTTCCTTGTCGTAGCCAGATTCTCTGGATCGGGGGCCGGAATCCTGCCGACGATGTGGCCAGGTTTAAAGAACATGGGTGAGTTTGCTGGGCTCTGCCCCTCATTGCTTGCTCCTGGCACCACATCCAAGAGTTGATTGATGACCTAGGCCTGACAGGGCATTCCCTCATTCCTCTTAAAAAGGTCTTTTCTCCAGGCCAACCTGGAATTTTGCTCTCCTACTCCTTCCCATTTGGCCCGAGGAACGGCCCCTCCCCTGGGTCTTCCTGCAGTGAAATGAGGTGGGGTGTGGCTCCCCCACTTTCCCCAGGCCAAAGACAGGACTTAAGCACCTTGCTTTTCCCCGTCTGGCCACTAAGTGGGCTCATTCCTCCATGGTAATCCTGAGCTCCACACAGACAGGTGGCCACTGTCTGCCCGGCATCTCCCTGGGGCCTCGCACCCTAGCGAGCACCTCTAAAACAGATGAGGGGGCTTAGGATTTTCCCAACTTGCATCTCATTTGGAGTTTGCCATTCATCAGTTACCCTTGGGGTGCCCCTGAGTCTGGAGTCCTCCTGGGCACTGGGTGCGCTGCTGAACGCACAACCAGTTCACATGGATGGTGGCATCTGTACGAGGTGACATCCTCATTCGCACAGGAGTGAGGCTCATAGTGAGTGGCTCAAACTATCTTCGTAAACAGAACCATCACCTCCTGAGCACTCGCTGTGTCCCAGCTACCAGATGAACTGACCGGGCTTAGGTGCCAGCCCCTGCAGGGCCCAGAGGGCGTGGAGGGCAGTGACAGGCCTGAGTGGGCCTGAATGCGCTTCTCCAGCTGCCGTTGCATGCGGGACTCTGGGCTCAGTCATGGCACATTGTGAATTTTTTTATTTTTATTTTATTTTAAAGATTTATTTATACAAGAATTGGGGTATAGGCCAGAGATGCGGGAGGGTGAGAGGATTTACCAGAGACAGTGGGGAGCAGAATAGGCGGACGGACCAAAAACACTGCTGAAGGGTGCAGCGGGGAGACAGGAGAGGTCTGCCGCGCCATGTGGGTATCTCCCTGACCGGCCAGGAATTGAACCCGAGCTGCAGATGCTGCGGACAGCTTCACAGCTGCGCTCAACCTGCTGCACCACCAGGGAGGCCCAGATTGTGAATTTTTAAAAAAGAATACGGAATTCAAGATTTCTGTGTGTTACTGCCAAATTTTTAACTGTCTGGCATGTCATTTAATGAAAAATGTCTTGCCAGTCAACCAATCTGTGGAGGTCCAGGCGAAATTTGCCCTTTTGTCTGCCAGTTTGTCACTGTTACATAAAATCATCTCTGAATCTGTTCAGTGTCATTTTATACACGAGTTCAGGCGGTCGAGTGGCCTGCTGTAGGTTTGCTCTGGGTTGGCTCGCCTTTTCCTAAAGGACCAGCTGGTAACTATTTCACTGTGAGGCTGCGCCCCCTGTCCTGACTGCTCACCTCCCTGTTGAAGGAGCCACGTGGGCGGAGGCTGTGGCTGTGTCCCTGTACAGTGTCACCAAAGCAGAAGGGCCGAGTGTGCTGACCCCTTCCCCAGGCCTTAGCCTGGAGTCTACGTCTGTCTCGCGCACAGCCCGCACTTTCCCTGCCCCCCAGCTCTCTCCACCCCCTCTCAGGGTCTCCTCACTGGGGTGTAGATGACTTGAGGGGCTACAAAGCTTGCTACAAGGAATCCCGAATAAGCCCACCGTCCAGAGGTCACGGTGAGTGTTGACTTGCTTTTTGCAGCGGGAACATCGTGGTGGCGACCCCCGGCCGCCTGGAGGACATGTTCCGAAGGAAGGCGGAGGGCCTGGACCTGGCCAGCTGCGTGCGGTCCCTGGACGTGCTGGTGCTGGACGAGGCGGACAGACTTCTGGACATGGGGTTTGAGGCAAGGTACTGGCTTTGGGCTTCACTGACCCCGGGTGACACTGGAGGAAAAGGGGCCTGCATGGCCTCCCCCGTCACTCGTGGCTGCCTTTGAATTTCAGACATCAGTTGGCTCGCGCGTCCTGTCCCGGCACCCGGTGTGCATCCTGTTCTTCTCTTTGATTTTTTTTTTGCTTCCTGGCTTTTGCGTGAGGGCTGGGATCTGTGGTGGATCTTAGATCTTGGTGACGTAGCCACGGCCAAGGCCTGCACGCCAGGTTGCTCCTCCCGCCTGCCTGTCCCCGCCTGGCCGTCCTCAGTTGCCCGCTGTATTTGAGGCTTCTGACTCTCTACCCCCGAGGCTAGACCAGCCCCAGCCCGGCGCCTGCTCGAGCATACGCTAGTCCTGCCCGGTCCGTCTCGGCAGCTCAGGGCGCCATAGATGGGCCGACTGGCGATGGTGCGGGCCTGGGGCTTGCTTGGACCGGCCCGTGCCAGGCCTTCTCCTGGCCTCTGCTTCTTCACTTCTCTCCAAGCCAAAGAGCCAGTGTTGGCATCATTTTTACCACCTGTGGCTCCTCTTCCTGTGGCGTCTTCCACGTTGGCAGGTCCGTAATTGCCCAGAGCGTCCTTCGCTCCTGGCAGAGGGAACACTGGGCGTGATGACGTGCAGCGCGGCCTAGTGGAGGCTGGCAGGGGGTGGGCCGAGACGGCTTCCCGCTGCCACATCCACTGTGGCGGCCCGTGATACCCTCATGTCGCGCATGTCACCAGGTCAGAGTGAGCACCTGGAGGCCAGCGGGGCTTTTCAGCTCCCCAAAACCCGCGGTGTTGGCCGAGGATTAGTCAGCGGCGGGGAGAAGAAGAGGGTGTGCGGGTGGCACCTGGCAGGGAGGGGGAGAAAGGCCTTGGATGCTTAGGTGCATTTTCCTTCATGATTTCTTTTAAGGCTTCTGTGTTTCTTTTGTGATAGATGCATGACTGGGTGTGTGTGTGTGTGTGTGACAGTCAAGTGCGCCGTTCACTGGTTTTTTCTCTCAGGACGCTTTATATCTTAATTTCACTCACTTTTATTAGCCCCCCCCAGTGTAAGTTTAATTATCTGCTTATATTGGGGACACCTTGGGAAAATGAGGGTACAAAGAAGTAAGTCGCCTGTTAACTTTTCTCCCGGTTGTAGCTACGGTCAGTGGGGTAATGGCTTCTCTTGCGCCTGCTGACGTACCTCTTTAGAATCATAAAACTCTAGTTAGCAACGGGGTTCCGAGACGTGTTAACATGGAGCCCTCTTTTTCAGCATAAACACTATCCTGGAGTTTTTGCCAAAGCAGAGGAGAACGGGCCTTTTCTCCGCCACGCAGACGCAGGAGGTGGAGAGCCTGGTGCGGGCCGGCCTCCGGAACCCCGTGCGCATCTCGGTGAAGGAGAAGGGCGTGGCTGCCAGCAGCACCCAGAAAACCCCCTCCCGCCTAGAGAATCACTACATGGTGAGCGATGGGGTAGGAGTGGCGACGGGGGTCTGCGGACGCTGACTGTGGTTGAGGACCCTGCGGCGTGTTCACGAGGCAGCCCCTACTCTCCAGACAGCGAGTCCCTGGCGCCTCTGGGCTGCGAAGCCGGCGGCTGCTGTCTTCTGTGCAGAACAAGGCTGCAATCGGCGCTGTCTTGGGTGCCTGGAAAGGTTGCTGAAATCAGACAGGCTCGTCAGAAGGGGAGTGAGAGACAGAGCTGAAGGCTCTGCCGAGGCTGGGCTGGACGAGGTCAGGAGGCCTGGTTCAGGTGGAGGCAGGGCCCGGCCCACCGTGGGCGTATGGAGTGCGCCCCTGGAGGAAGATAGCCTGGGTACATACTGGCTCTGTCCTGTACTAACGCAACCAGTACTGTCCGTCACCTACAAACAGGGGCCTCCAGGGGCCCCTGCTCTGTAGGGCTGTGTGAGGATTAACTGGTGAATGCAGGTAGAGGCGTTCGGGTGCGTGCTCAGCGTGCTGTGCTAATCAGCTCAGCCCTGGGGCTCCCAGCACCACGTTCTGCATTCACCGAAGTTACTGACGCAGTGTTAGCACTTGAACGAAATTCCACCCAAGGGCTGGGTTTTGGTAAAGATGGGGTGTGCCTTCAGGGGGGTGTCAGTGTCTCCAATTTAGAGGCCTGAATAGAGCATTTGATTGAGAAGTTAAGAGACTGCAGTCTCTCCCCAAGGAGGGATTTTCAAATAATAGGTACATTCCTTTCTGGAAACTTGAATTCAACTTGGGGCTATGACTTCTGCACTCGGCTGTGCCTCAGGCTCTCCTGGAGCTCTTAGTGTAGGCTCCTTGGTCCACTCCCAGACCGATGGAATTGAGTCCGTGTGCTGCGCCCAGGAATCTGCAGTTCAGAAGGCCGCCTGGCAGGGGCGGTGCAGCCAACACAGTCCTATCAGTGTCCAAAGCGACGCGATGCTGTGACTTAGGAGGACGGCCTTTCCCAGTGGGCGACGTTTGTCCTGAGCTAAGCGGACTGGTCACCTTTCTGCTTGCATTCTGTGCTGTTCTCGGAGGAAATTAGATTCCTTATCTTAAGAGCCAAAATCGAAAATAGCCATGGGGTTGTTGCCGTCGGTGTGTCACCGTTGCGTTGGTTTTCCTTCCCACTTGCAGGTTTGTAAGGCGGATGAGAAATTCAACCAGCTGGTGCATTTTCTTCGAAACCATAAGCAGGAGAAACACCTCGTCTTCTTCAGGTAATCCCTCCGCTCGAAGAGCGCCTGGCTCTCCCAGCCCAGACGGGCAGGTTGGGATCCTTCCAGGCTGGGCCTCCCGCTTGTGTGTCTGGCTGCGGGGAGCTGGAACCCCGCCTCTGGCTCAGCCGCGGCCTGCCCCTCCCAGGCGGAGCAGTGCGGAGCTGGCCCTTCCTGCCTGGCGTGGAGGCGTTTCTGCAGTGGTCTTCTCCTTCCTGTGTGTCACCTCACAGTTCTCAGAGATCACAGTGACAGCTCTGTCACGCCTGCATTGAGGGCAGATGCAGGAGCAGGGGTGGAGGAGGGATAAGGCGGTGTCAGCTCCCTTGTATCTGCTTCATACCAGAGAGCAAATTCCCTCCCTGCTGGCGTCAGTTTGCATTTTGGGGGCCGCTCGCCACCCTGGCTTAGTAGAGGAGGGGAAAGGGAGCGTGCAGTGGGGAGCTGGGGAGGGTGTGGCTGAGAAGGTGCTCAGTCTCCCCCGCGTCTGTGCTGGGGTCTTGTCCTGTAGTCAGAACGTGCACGGGGCACAAGTTGCCTTATTTGGGCTTTTCCTCTTCCAGCTATACCCATCGCGGTATTTTTTGGTAATACCAAAAAAAAAAAGTCTTTCTTTCCCATGTTATTCCCCCAGTAAAAGTCTCTGGACTACCTGTGTTGACCACAGTTAGAAATGTAACCTGGCGTCTGCTCACACACTAAGTTGAAACTTTGTCCCCAGACCTGGCCCTCAGCTCGGTGGGGTGTGTTCTCATTTCCTCTGCTCTTCTGGTCCAGGGTCGCTAATTTGACTTCAGGACCAGGGAGCCTGTGGTCAGGGTCTGTGGGCTGTGACCCCCAGTGTGCAAAAGGCCTGACTGCACTGAGGGGACTGTGGAGTAGGGGAGCGTCTGGTGGCAATCATACAGGTCCTGAAGAGGGGGTTGAAGTAGAGTCAGCCCCATGGGCAACACCGGGCCTAGGGGAGTGGGGAAGACACTGCTCTGCCTGTTGCTGCTCTGAGCTTAAGGTCCCTCATCTGGGGTCATCATGTGGGCGTTCCACCAAATAAAGGGGGCTTGGGACAAGCCCTTTGTTAGGGTGCTGTGTAGGGAACTCAGACTCAAAGGGAAAGTTGAGTGCTCAGCCTTTAAGAAAGATGGGACTGGGGAGCCCTAGAAAACGTAGGGGCAGAAATTGACAGACCATCACTTCAAGGCTCACCCTTGGACCGGCCCACTTGAGAGAGGATCTGATTGCCTAATGTAGGCTAACCGCCCTCCGGGTCATGCCGATGGGGGACAAAGCTCCCCAAAAGGGAAGCAGGAGTGTTTTGAAATCTTACAGGACTGTTTACATTGAATGTCTCCTGCAGCTTAATTAGCTTCCGGGGGCCAGGGAAGGTGCCCTTGCATAACATCTTTCGGTAGGAGGAAGATATCCTTGGGATTTTAGCTCCTATTTGTGGGATCTTGAACAGAAGTCAGAAGACTGACTTCCTTGGCTGCGAGGGTTTCGGGTGCAGAGCTGCGCTGTGGGTGGCGTTCATGGCCCTTCTCTGCGTTCTCCCAAGAGGATCGGGTTGTGGCCAATGTGTGGCACACATGTTTCCTACTCGCCCCCCAACCTGCAGAGGCCCGAGCTGGCCACTTTTGAGACCTCTGTCCCTCTGCAGCACCTGCGCCTGCGTGGAATACTATGGTAAGGCCCTGGAGGGTCTGGTGAAGAATGTGAAGATAATGTGCATCCATGGAAAGATGAAATACAAGCGCAATAAGATCTTCATGGAGTTCCGCGGATTGCAGAGGTGGGTCAGCAACCCGGCTGCTCTGTCTCGGGTGCCTCTGCCTCTGCACCTTCCGTGTGGCATTTCCGCAGCCCAGATCCCTCTTCCTCCTCCAACCCACTTCTCATGTCTCCTCTGCATAAAGCAAGCCCAGAGCTGTCTCCTGGTCCTGACCCCACCATTTGCTGGACTGACTTCTGTGGTCACCAGTCAACTTATCTGCTAGATTTTTTTTTTTTAAAGATTTATTTTTATTTATTTATACAAGAACTGGGTACAGGCCAGAAGCATGAGAGGGTGAGAGAATTCACCAGAGACAGAATGGCGAGCAGAACAGGCAGATGGACTGAAGACATGCTGAGGGGAGCAGCGGGCGAGGCAGGAGAGGTCTGCCACGCCATGTGGGCATCTTCCTGGCCGGCCAAGAATCGAACCTGTGCTGCAGAGGCCGCGGACAGCTTCACAGCACAGCGCTCAACTTGCTGTGCCACTGGGGAGGCCCTTGTCTGCTAGATTTTAGGCCTCATAGGAACAGGAACCTGTCAGTTGTGTTCACTCCCAGGTTCCCTGGCCTCTGGCCCAGGGTCTGGTCAGTGGGGGTCTGAAAACTCTGTGGGATAAGCAAGTATGCCACAGGGGTGTTAACCCTGTCTTGACTGTTAGGTGGGCGACTATAGGAGGGAACGCAGGGTCTGCTTGGGACCAGGGTATGGCTGTGCATGTGATCAGTACTTTTTTCTAATTTTACGCTCCTGGCTCTGCTGAAGCATTCTCAGCGTGGCGCTGCTGCACTGCAGTCTGGGAGGGAAGTGCTCGTTTATCTCTACTTGGTTGCAAAGGATTACACCCTCTGTAGTTTCTTTTTCCCACACGGAAGTTATCCCAACTGGACGTGTTACTGCTATGTTACCGAGATCAGTAAGGGCAGTTGATGGCGATGAAAATGGCATCTTCTCATTTTCTAGTGGGATTTTGGTGTGCACCGACGTGATGGCCCGTGGAATAGACATTCCCGAAGTAAATTGGGTCTTGCAGTACGACCCTCCCAGCAGTGCCAGGTACCGCGTGATAGGATGCCTGCTCTCTCTAGGAGCCTAGCCTGACAGGATGTGAACCCGAGGAAGGTGAACATGTTTATGAAACATTTCAAGTAGAAAAAAACAGACAAACAGATCCCTAATCATTAGGCTGCCAATCGTGATGTTGTGTGTTGAGCAGAGCTACTTTCAGGTGCTTCTTAAGGTTCTTACAGAAATGCACAAGACCTCTAAAGGAAAACTACTAACACCATGTATACAATTTTAAATTTTCCTCCTCAAAGTAAACATGCACCATGCTGCCAGACACAGGGGCGCCTTAGATGCAAGCCCCGAGCAGTCATGGTCCCCTCTCGGTGGAGGGTCACAGGTCACGTATCTGTTGTACTTCTCGCTGTTTCCAAATCTTCCGGGGCTGTGTCTGCATCATCAGCTAGGCACACACGGAATGTGGTCCAGACCTGTGTGGTGTGTGATGGATGCTGGTGGCCGCGAGTGAGTGGGCTGAGCTGCAGGGCTGAAGGCCCTTGCTCTGCAGTCAGCGTCGCGTGGTGGCCTCGTGCCCGCCCTGTGTTCACAGTGCCTTTGTGCATCGCTGCGGCCGTACAGCCCGCATCGGCCACGGGGGTAGCGCGCTGGTGTTCCTCCTTCCCATGGAAGAGTCCTACATCAATTTCCTTGCAATTAACCAAAAAGTAAGCTGTTTTCTCTTCATATAAAATGCCTGGTGATGGAGGGGGTTGAAAAGTTCTTTTTGGGTAATCATTCTGGGACACAGATGAGGGGTCACAAGGTGGTGCTGTAAATGCAGGGACCTGGCTGGCTTTGAGGCCTTTTAGTGGCTCAGCCTCAGCAGGGGGCAGCCACCGTGTGGCCCTGCTGTCTAGTTACTTGGGAACATGCACCTCACATTGCCTGCTTCCAACCAGAAAGAAGTTAGGAATGTCGTGTAAAATCTGATTAAAACAATTTGTAATTTTTTTCCCCAAAGATTTAAAGTACTTTTTGTACTTTATTTTGGGTTGTATTTAACTTCAGGGTCTCTGAAATCAAAGATTTGTTCTGCTTTGGTTTTGTTGGCACTGCTGTGGGGGGACTTGGGAGTGAGTTGGGAACGTGGTCTCTCTGCAGTGCCCCCTGCAGGAGATGAAACTCCAGAGAAACACAGTCGACCTCCTTCCAAAGCTCAAGTCCATGGCCCTGGCCGACAGAGCTGTGTTTGAGAAAGGCATGAAAGCATTTGTGTCGTTCGTCCAGGCCTACGCGAAGCATGAATGCAGCCTCATCTTCAGACTGAAGGGTGAGTCAGACTTCTCACAGGATGCATCGCCGCCTTCGGTGGTTACGAGCCTTTCAAGTAAAAACTGCTTTGTCTTCTAAAAATGTTAGGCATGTTTCTAAACACTTAGAAGTAAGTCTTCCCAGGGTCTGAGGAGACAGACTAAACTGGCTGCTAAGTATTGCTTTGTAGTAAAGTATACTTATTTTATGTATTTTTTTTTTTTTAATATTTTTTTAAGATTTATTTATTTATACATGCACTGGGTACAGTCAGAAGCACAGGAGGGTGAGAGAATTCACCAGAGCCAGAGCAGGGAGCAGAGCAGGCAGAAGGACCGAAGGACACTGCTGAGGGGAGCAGCAGGTGGCAGGAGAGGTCTGCGCGCCATGTGGGACCCTCCTCCGGTGGCTGGGGAGCAGTCAGGGATCGAACCCGCGCTGCAGAGGCTGCAGGCAGCTTCGCAACCCAGTGTTCAACCGCTGCGCCATCCGGGAGGCCCTATTTTATGTATTTTAAAAAAACCTATCTTACAGTGAATCCACTAGATCAATTGATTAGAAAAAGTTAGTGTTAGGAATCTTCCACTGGTTGTTCCTCCCATGCCAGGTGTGCTAATTCTGATGTTTTGGTTTAATCAGACCTTGATTTTGCTAGTCTTGCTCGAGGTTTCGCCCTGCTGAGGATGCCCAAGATGCCGGAACTGAGAGGAAGGCAGTTTTCAGATTTTGTGCCTGTGGATGTTGACACAGACACCATTCCATTTAAAGATAAAACCAGAGAGAAACAGAGGCAGAAACTACTGGAGCAGCGGAGGAAAGATAAGACAGAAAATGAAGGAAGAAAAAAATTCATAAAAAGTAAAGCTTGGTCAAAGCAAAAAGCCAAAAAGGAAAAGAAGAGAAAAATGAATGAAAAAAGGAAACGGGAAGAGGTGAAGTTTTCAGTTTTCTTTATTCCTTCAATGTTCAACCTAGAATCCTAAGCAGATTTTACTGTATCTTTTCATAGAAATTGTGCGGGGCGCTCATATTTCTGTATTATGCTAGAGACTCAGGGTGGGAACAGTCTGTTTGCCAAGCTGTTCTGAGAGAGTAGTTCCTGATTAAAAATTGCTGGTTTCGCTTGAAACACCATTGCTGAGAAATTCAGTAGTTTGTTGTTCTCTTCTGCACTTAGGGTTCTGATATTGAAGATGAAGACATGGAGGAGCTTCTTAATGACACAAGGCTCTTGAAAAAGTTTAAGAAAGGCAAAATTTCTGGAGAAGAATTTGAGAAGGGGTTGCTAACAAGTGGCAAAAGGACCATCAAAACAGCAGACCTCGGGGTGTCAGATCTGGAAGCTGCCTGCTGACTCCAGGGTGCAGTGGGGGCGTGTGTATGCAGGGAGTGTCCGCATGGCCCTGCTCAGCAGACGGCGACTGTTGGCTCTTGCTGGCCACCCAGTGGACACCTAAGAAGTCATCTGAGTGCCATTCTTTCAGACTAGAGAGGCGTGCAGGGGATTTCATACTCATGAATGTTTTGTTGCAAGCCTGAAGAAGTATAACAGAGGAAAATGTGACAACATTGGAGTGAAAATGGGTCACTTATTATAGAGCTCACCTTTCTGTGGCTGTCTTAGCCTTTTTTAATGTAGGGATGCTGAGGTTTACTCAACTTTAGCCTTGTCAGATCCTCCAGTGTGTCCTTACCCCGGCAGAGGGTGACTGACGTGGCTGGGTCTTTTCTACGAATAGCCCTCAGTACTGTTTTATTGTTGAGTATCTGAAAAACAGGAACAGCAAGCCATATTCTGGAAAAGATCCTGCCTTTTGAATAAACGATGCCCTTCCAGGCGACTGTGTCTGATGTGTGTGAACAGGGCTGTGCGGTGCCCTTGCCACGGCGGCCAGTGGGTCTAGTCCCCAGAGTCAGTGTACAGGATGGATGTCCCCAAGTGCAATTTTAAAGAGCTGTTCATAACCCACTCATTAAAGGAAATTCCATCTTTTTTAGTTTGTGGGAGTTCTGGAAGGCATCTCGGTGGTTTCTGCCTGCTTTAGGTCCCCTCGGGAGATCCCCCTTCGTCTGGCTTGATCCTGGTGGGGGGACGGCAGCCCCTGGCTGGTGTTCACTCCTGGAAGTCTGAAGCAAGTTCTTCCTTTCGTACAAGTCAGGAACTCCTGCCTTCTCAGGCCTGCTGCTCTAGCATCCCTGTTTTGGAAAAGCAGTCTGGAGAGCTGGGAAGAGCAAGGGAGGGGACGTGGGCCTGTCTTCTTCATCAGTAAGTAGCCAATAATCTAACTTGTATTCTGGAAACTGGAAATGAAAGTTTCTGGAAACCGTAAGCACAATTTAGGTTGGATTTTAGAGGAACGATGAACATATCTGAGATGGGACTGAAGTGAATACAAAATTCTCCAAGGCTTATGACTTTGAGTCCTCATTCACAAATCTTCACACAAAGCCAATTCCGCTTTGGCCTTGTTCACCAAAGGGTCCAGAAGCTGCTCAGGCTGCACGGCCCCACCATCTGGGTGCGGCAGGGGCCGGCGGTTATAGATACAGCTTGATGAGCTCGTCGCTAACTGCCGAGGGTGTCAGCACTCCCAGGTCTGTAAACAGCAGTGTTATTAAGGAAGGAGAGGTGTAGTCCACCCACGGGTGCTCCTCCTTGAGGTCCTGTCCAGTCTGTGCAGACCTCAGAGTGTCTGCCTTGTACTGTGGAGACAGGAAAGGCACGTTAGTCGGCCCACCCATCTGGGATCTGAACCGGGGAGGCTGTGGCCTGAGTGGCCTGTGGGCTGCTCCTTGAAGGTGCTCTCCGGACATGGGGAGACGGCAGCTGTGTGGCCCCATGAGCCGCGGCAGCCAACTAGCCAAGGGCCACAATTTAATGAAAAACCTAAGCCCCGCATTCCCTCGCTACTGAGCTGGGCGGCCTCCTCCAGAACTCTGATCGCTTGTTGTCTCCGGACAACAAGGGCACCCGACACTGGGCATGGAGTGTGTCACAGAACCCTGTCAGTGTTACTGCCCCATTTCACAGATAAGTAAAGCCCACAGAACAGAAAATAGAAGGGCTTGCCCAAGGTCACATGGCTAGGGCCGAGATGGTGGCTAAGCCCAGGCAGTTGAGCCCAAAGCTTGGACTATCAGCCACGAGCTTTCCCTCTCTCTGCTCAGCCTGTATCTACTGCTGCTGAAGTGAGACACTGAAGGCTGGATGTGTGTGGACAGGGAGACTGAATCTAAATCCAACTAGCAGCAATTTACCTTCGTAGCTCAACTGGTGGAGAAAATGGCAGTGGGAAGTGAATAACTTAGTGGAACGTTCTTAGCCCTGCATTCCCCCAAGGTTTCAGTTTAGCCTCATTCCCCTTCAAGTATCTGAAACTTGCCTTAAACTCATCTGGGACATCTTGCTGGTTCAGTGGAAAGAGCCGCACGAACTTGAAACTTTCTGCAACCACATAAAAAGGCTTGTTCTGTGCTTTGGCACACACGGCCATCTGGTTGGTTCCAATCTGGGAAGTTGGAGGAAATGGAGAAGGATGAAATCTCACAGCAGCCTCCAGTGGAAGCAGCAGGAAGGTGAGTGGTTGTGACACGGAATGCTGGCTTTGGACTCAAACAGTTTTGAAAAACAACAAACCAACCAAAAAAACATTTCTCCAAAGAGTCGTGGTCAGTGAGCGCAGGCAAAGATGCCTGAGACCCTAGCCACTTGGGAAGGGCAAGTTGGCCACTAGACGATGGCTGGGATTAAAGGGAAAAAGTGGTGAGTGCTGGCGCGGGTGTGGAGAACTGGGGAGGTCCATGTTTTCACTGCTGTGGGGATGGAAATGAGGCAGCCGCTGTGGAAAATGGCTCGGCAGTTCCTCAAAAAGCTAATCAGAATGACACAATCCGGCAACTCCGTCCTGGGATCACGCCCCAAAGAACTGTGATCAGGCACTTGGGCAGGTAACTGTGCCCATGCACACAGCACCGCTTCCCACAAAAGCCAAAGGTGGAAACCACTCAGTGTCCACCCACGAGTGAATGGACGACAGTGTGGTCCAGCCGTCCATGGAATGTCATTCGGCTGCTAACAGGAGCGAAGTCTAACTCCCGCTACAGCACAGGTGAGCCCTGAAAATATCACATGAAGTGAAATCAGCCAAACCAAAAAGCACAAATCTGGTGTGACTCCATTTACATGAGGCACACAGGGCAGAGACATGTCTCTTATGGAGACAAGGCAGATTAGAGGCTGGGGCGGGGGAACAGGAAATTTCTCCTCAGTGATAAAAGCTGCAGTTTGGGATGATGGGACAATCTGAAAAACAGTGGTGATGGTTGCACAACATTGTGAGTGACTAACGCCACAGTCGTCGTATACGTACAAGTGACTGATAGCCATGATGGCAAATCTTCACCACACGTAACAAACGTTCACAAAATCTTTCTGTGTTAAGCAATGAATAGAGGGATTAGAACACAACTGACAGGATGATGCTGGAGTCAAATATGCTCAAGGGAAAAGAAAAGCCAAAAACCCCAGTTCCGATGAAAGCATGTTTTGAGAAGCTATAAATTACGTTCTCCCAAGTGATTCAATCTCCAAAACAGAAGGAAATTTCACCAACATTGACTGACCCCTGGTGGCCCAGGGGACGCAGAGGTGAGGTCCTGAGCTGAGCGGGACGAGGGGGGCAGTCCTCATGCCCCGTGCTGGTGTGGGGCCCGGCTGTGTCCCCGCGCCATAGGCAAGGCGCTCAGAACGGGTCAGCCTACCTTGTTAATAATTCCTCCATTCTCAACCACTCCCTCGGCGCCGACTATGACGAGATCCACTCTCTCCATGATGTAGCTAAGGAAACAAAAACAAGCTGTTTTATCCTCTTTTCCGGCTTTGTTAGCAGCAGCATCACCTGCGGAGATGACGCCTGCACCTTCCTCAGGATCAGCTCCTCTCACGACTTCACGAGAACATTGGGTGCCCGGGCAGTAGACCTGGCCCTGCAGACCAGGGGCTTAAACTGCTTTGGCCCTGACCGCACGCTGCTCCCAAGTGCGTGCCCACGTGTGACAGACACAAGGAGCTTTGATCAGCGTTTATCCTGACAGGGCGCAGTGCCCTCCACTTCCAGTTCTAGTTCAGTATAAGCAAACATTTCAGGCCTCTCTGGTGGCGCAACTATGAAGCTATCCACAGCCACTGTAGCACGAGTTCGATCCCCGGCCAGGGAACAATCCACGTGGCGCAGCAAACCTCTCCTGACTCACCCGCTGCTCTTCTCAGTAATGTACTTCAGTCAGTGTGCCTGTTCTGTTCCCCACTCTGTCTCTGGTGAATCCTCTCACCCCCCGCATCTCTGGCCTGTACCCCAGCTCTTGTATGCATAAATAAATCTTAAAAAAAAAAAAAAGCAAACACTTCAAAGGCCCGAGTGCTCTGGTGCTGGGAAGAAGTGATGTGGAATGTAAGAATCTTCTCAGGAGGGTGAACACATTCCTAATTTACTTGCTTACTTGCCCTGTGTTTTTTCTTGCCAAGAGGTTACCGCTCCCGTTTTCTCTTGGGAGGGACAGACAACCCGCGGCACACACGACCTCGGCTTTAGTGAGGAGTCGCAGGGGTGAGACGAGGAAGCCCTGCGAGCCTCGGGACAGCCCTGTGTTCAGGTGGAGGGAGCTCCGCCTCCACGGTGCCTTCAAGCCAGTCTCTGCAGCGGCCTCTTCAAAGATGCCACCGCAGGCGAACCGCCCCCCCAACATGCACACCCCAGTCTTGTCTCTGCCTCCACCGCCAAGACCTCGCAGGGGCTGGCTGGCGTAGTGCTGCCGTCAATTAAGACGCGGAACGCTGCCCAGGGTACATTTGTACTTTTATGAGTGGGACTCAAACCTTCAATCTGGATACCCTGCTCCTCCCAGCCCTGGGTGTGGGTGAGGAAATGGGATCGTGGTCGGGAAGACAAGCTCACCCCACAGCAGCGTCCAGGACCACGGTGACCGGGACGTTGAGGTGGCAGAGGGCTTTGGCCATTTTCCTCCTGGAAATGACATTTAAAAAATATTAGAAAAAGCCCAAGAAAGCCCCACAGCGGGGTATGACGGTCCCCCTAGACAGTGAAAATTCACGTCAGCTCACAACTCAGCTCATCAATGAAGGGGCAGATCCCAAGACTCTGGACGGAGGGAACAAGAATTTGGGATCTTTTGGAGGAGGTATGTGTTTCTGGAAAACTATAATCTTAGGGAGTCTTGGCAAGAGAGGCGAATTGAGGAATATAGAAAGTTTTCCTTTTATTACATCCTAGATAACATGTGAGTTATGTGCTCCTTGGTAAAAATCTTTCAACCCACACACTCTCCTGTCACTCCTCTGACTTAACTACGTCAATCAAACCCTCCATCCCGGGCCATGACCTCCTGCAGATCCCCAGTGGTCTTTCTTCCAGGTAGGGACGGGCACCATCAAGGACAGAGCTGCCGCCCGACAGGTCAACGGGGATGTCCTGGCTCCTGGCGGTGAATTCTACCCTGCAGTGTGCTCTTTAAAGCGACCTCCAGGCAGACCCCCCATTGGGAAGATACTTGCCCTGACAAGTCGGGCTGTGACTCGGTGATGTACACACTGAAGCGCTTCTTGGCCACCACAGCCGCTTTCAGGACCTTCAGGACCACTCTGGAGTAGGCGTGAGTCAGTATTCTCTGTGGGAACACGAGACGGCGCTGTTAGGGGAGAGCTGCTGGGCCCCCCGCCGCCTGCGCGCGGCTTCCTACAGCCTCTCGTACACTGTCTCACAAACCACTGTGGTCAGGATGGTTCCCTGCTTGGACTGTGACGCAAGCCCAGGTACAAGCCGAAAAGGTTTCTGTCAGGGATACAGGCTGGACTCCCAGGCCCACAGAGTTACAAGATGTAAGATATAAAAGCCTTTGTCTGGGCCTCCCTGATGGTGCACTGCACTATGAAGCAATCCGCAGACTCTGCAGCATGAGTTCGATCCCTGGCAGGCCAGGGAGCAACCCACATGGCGAAGCAGACCTCTCCTGTCTCGCCCACAGCTCCCCTCAGCAGTGTGTTTCAGTCAATCCACCTGTTCTGTTCCCCACTCTGTTTCTGATGGATCTCTCACCCCCTGCATCTCTGGCCTGTACCCTGGCTCTTGTATGCATAAATAAATAAATATTAAAAAAAAAAAAAAAGCCTTTGTCATGGACGGCCCCCTAGCTCCTGGGGGTTGGTTCTGCTACTGCTTAGACATGACTGGCACACTTGGGTCCATGAGCGCCAGGCAGGCGACATGAATGGGTGTAGTGGGCCAGAAGGGCCCTCAGCGGCCTGAGAGGCAGCCATAACCTTGCTCCCAGCTGGCCCCAAACGCTTTGCTTGCAACTGGTTTTTGGACAAGTTCCACTCTCATCTGTGATGTCACTGACTTAATAACATACTTCAAGGGCTGGGAAGAGGACAATAAAACAGGGTAAGATTTCAGAGTCAAAATTTTATGGGCAGTGGAGGCTTCCTGGCCCCAGGAGTCTGTGGTGGCAGAGACACTGTGCCAGCTTTATTGTCCCTTTGCTGTAGCGCCAGCCTTTCCTCACGAGACCTGTAAATACTTGGTCGCACTGCTTCTCTGTGACAGTGTTTGAAATGAAGTTAAAAAGAGAACCTCAATCTAGTGCTGACCCTCGCGGGGAAGACGGCCACTAACCAGCACAAGAGCTATTACGCGACTCCACGTTAATTTAGTGCAGACCCAATAATCAGAAAGCCTCGAGTTAGACGTCTTATTAAATGGAGATTCACCCACTGCTGTGCCAGCGATGCTCTCTGCCTGTTTAAAATGACAATGTCTAGAATGGCAACGTCTGGGTTCCCGTGCCCACTGCATGCCAAGCCACAGGGCAAGGCCTGCACAGCGACCTTGTGAGGGTGGTCCTAGTTCTACCTCCACAGAGGTGGAAGGAACTTCCCAAGGTTACGCAGCAAGCTAAGCGGCAGAGGCAGGATTTCCCCCCAGGAGTCTAACTCCTAAGTCCCTGCTCCCCATTCCCACAGAGGACAGACAGCTACTCACCGCCCCATCTTTGATGAAAGTATGGCACAGATTTGAAATTTTCTCTCTCGACTGCCATATTCTGTCGGAAAAAACCTCTCCCCGCTCGATCATGATCTTTTTACATTTGGAGTAATCCTAGGAAGAAAAGAGCAAAATGAGGGAGAGGGGACGTTCCACGCCAAGCTGAGAATACTGTCACTAACAGACACGTAGGAAGGTGACCGGAGGGAGGGGGCTTACCGAGTATTCCAGAGAGGTGAGACTGATGAAGCGCAGGAAGAGCTCCCCGCCCGAGGACACGGCCACGGAGGAGTCCACGCCACAAAGGGTTTTTATGGCACTGGTGAGATTCGCTCTCAGTCCCTGGATCGTCTCCCCTGCAATGGCCACACGATGGATGTAAGTTCAATGTGGAAGCACAGCCCATTGTGGGTCTGTGATTCATTCATTCATTCAACCAACCAGTATTTACTGGCGCCTACTGTATACCAGGGCCTATTCTAGATGCCAGAGACATCCATAAACAAGAGAGACAGGGCCCTGCTCTGAGGAAACTCCTTTTCTAGTGGAAGAAGCAGACAATGAACAAACACTCAAAAAAGTAAGCAAGTGAATCCATTACAGATTGTGATGAGCACAGCAAAAAGCAGAATGATGAGAAAGGTGGAACCCCCTAGACAGAGTTAGCAGGAATGGCCTCTTTGAATGAGGAGCCTTTAAATTAAGCAGGAAAGGATCCAGCCACTTAAAGACCCAGTGGGAAAGGCTCCAGGGCCAGACTGCGACATGTGAGTCCCGAAGATGGGAATCAACTTGGAATGACAAGTGCGAGGCCAGCATGGCGGAAGCTCACTTCAGCAAGGGGCAGCCAGGAAGGAAATTAAGGCTCGGGGCAGATGAGTTCTGCAAGGCTGAGGTTGTCTTAGACACGCTCCAGGCCAGTCCTTCGGATGAAAGGCTCTACTATTATTCTGCTTCTACAAAATATCATGCCATATGCAGATGCTTACATTTAGGATGCCTGAGTCACACAGAATGATGATACTAAAATTTATTCTGGAGCATCTACACAAGATAGAAACTTCATGAACACTTATAAAGCTGTACTACTGCTATAATTTCAGCTTCATAGTTAACCTAATATAAAATGGTCACACTTAATTCAAAGCATATTTCACTTATGAAAGGAGAACCCAACTGGTAAAAACTTGAGGGCTCTCGCGACATTAAAAGGATGAAAATGAAGAACTGGGCTTGGGCTGCCTTACCTGTGTATCCACACACTCATCTCTCATTTTCTATGCTTCTAACAGATATTAGAAGACATTCCTAAGGCCCAGAGTGTGTGAGGATGACCCTCTTTACCTTTGTCTCTCTTCAAGAACTCTAGTAAAGTCCGGATGGCAGCCACGGCTGAGGCCATGTCGGGATCTTTTTTCATCTGAGACTTAAAGTATTCAATTAACTCTGGGAAGGGAGAAAAAAGCGATTCAGCAACTTAATTTATAGACTGTGAGACCAGAGAGCTGGCCCATGAATTGACACTATGAAACAAACAAATTTTAAGAACACTTTCTATTCCAGCATCTGGTTTCAGGGGCACCACAGATGTCGATGGGGAGAGAGACTATGCCACTTTAGTGGCTCTCTTTCTCATATCTAAAACGCTGTCTATGTACTGTGGCACGAACTTACTAAATAATAGTGAAATGTCATTCTCCCTTCTGTCCTTGATGCCAAGTCCTGAATGATTCCAAGGACCAACCATCTTACCAAATTCCCACCCCTGCAGACAGTCTATAACCATTCAAGCCTATTCACATACATACGTACGTGTACTGTGCACCCATAGGTCCATGCCCCGTACCTTGCCTAGAAGGTAACAGATGCACGCGTTCTTGCTCTCCACTTAATGAAACATCTTGATACTCACACTGGACGGGCGCATCAGTTGCGCCTTATTGTTTGGCTTCTAGTACCAGATCCAACAGGCCAGGGAGTCTCACTTATATCTCACATATGAGGAAATCAAGCGTGCGATTTCCTCCGAAATCGCACTTTTCTGGGGGGCACTGGAAAGCGTGGGCAGAGGGGTGTCTGCGGATACTCTCAGGGCCACCCCCTGAACACTGGGGCGGCGAGAGGGCTCTAGCTGGGACTGGAGGAAGCGAACCAGCCAGGCAGCCAGCGCTTGGAAAGTGACCTCCCCGGGAGCCCAGCCCGAGAGCGCGAGGGGAGGGATCCCGCAGCCCCGGCCCGGCCCCATTTACCCTTGTCGTCCATGGCGCCCTCCGGACCGCGGACCCCCGGCGCCCAGAGCCGCGCGCGCTGCCCGGAAGGGCCCGACGACCGCGCCGCCTCGGAGCCGCGGAGCCTGACAGCGCGCCGCGAGGCTCCGCACCCCACTTCCGGCGCTTCGGGGCGGGGCCGAGGGTACGGGGCGCGGCCTGGGCCAAACCGCCGGGCGCGTCACTGGCGGCGCCGGAAGTGGGCGCGCGGGATCCCAGCGCTCGCCGACGCCGCGGCTGTGCGCGGAGGGCCCGGGCCGCCATGGTCTCAGACGGTGAGGGCCGCGCCGGTGGACCCCGACGCGGGCTGGGAGGGCTCGGCCGGCCCGACCCGGCCCGGCCAGATGGAGTGTATGGGGGGGGCCGGGTGAAATCCGCGTGGCCTTTGGAGGAGCAGCGAGTGTGTTCATTCATTCAGGGCATGGTCTGGGCTCGCCTCTTGTGGGCCCGGCGCTGCTTTCTGCGGGGGGAGCACGGCCGAGCGCGTGACAGGCCGGGGCCCTCGTGGACGTTACAGTCTAGTGGGCTTGCAGATAATAGCGAGCCGGTAAAAATAATTTCGAAAGGTAACAAGCGCGGTGAAGACACGATAACGGGGTGATGTGGTCGTTTGCATGGGGCTTGACCAAGGGGGAGCTACTAGACACAGGAGTCCGGGGAAGACCGTTGAGTGGATTCTGACTTGAATGACGTTGGAAGGTCTATGCGAAGGCCCTGTGGCAAGATGAGCCACTGCATTACACTGAGAAGACAGAAACAGGGAACTCGGGGGCAGGAGAAGCTGGGGTCAGACCACCCGTTAGATCCCGATGTCTTGCAGGATGAAAAAAAAGGCTGGTGGCAGAAACAAAATGCGTTAGAGGGACGAGCTCAGCCAGCTGCATGGCCTTTGTGGACCATGGTAAAGAGTTTGTGCTTTAAGTGCAATATGAAGCCATTATAGGGTGTTGAGCAAGGCAGTACTACTCTGATTTGTATATTTTATCCATCACTGGCTGGTGTGTAGAAAATGGACCCTGGGGCCCACGAGTAGAAATTAGATTCTTTTGGAGACTTTTAACACTTGCCCATACTTCTCTTACCAGTTTTAATCCATACCGCAACTCTGAGGGAGGCAGGCCTGGCATGGCCCCTGTTTTTTTTTTTTTTAAGGTTTATTTTAATTTATTTATGCATACAAGAACTGGGTGTAGGCCAGAGGTGCAGGGGGTGAGAGGATTCACTGGAGACAGAGTGGGGAGCAGAACAGGTGGATCTACTGAAATACACTGTTGATGGGAGCAGCAGGGAGACAGGAGAGGCCTGCTGTGCCATCTGGGTCAGCTCTCTGGCCAGGGATCAAACTCAGGCCACAGTGGCAGGCGATAGCTTGACAGCGCTAAGACTAACCCCTGCACCACCAGGAAGGCCCGTGGCCCCTGTTTTCAAATGAGGTAGAGGCCCAAAGAAAGATATTCACAGGAACATTGTAGTGTAAGGAAACATCCCTCTCCTGACAGGCAACATTTTGTTTATCTCACGCTTCTTGATGGTACAGGAATGGATGGCCCTGAGGATTATGGTGTGGGGCCTAAGGGAGAATAAGGCCAAAGGCATGTGGACTTATGGGAAAAGGAGTAAAGGCTTGTGGGAGACAGTTATTAAATCCTGTGTTGCACACTTTGTTGTGTAATATACAGGTGTTATGTCATTTCAGGATTAGCAACAATTTTCCCTTAAGGAATCTACAGTCTCATGGGCTAGATTGGGAAGCCAGATCAGAAACCCCATTAACTGAACTGAGGTAGTGAGTGCTTAGTGTCAGTAGGAGAGGGCTGGTATGTGTGGACAGAAGTAGACAGAGGGGCAAGGAAGAGCCACCACATAGATCGTGCAGATCTGTGTTCAAAGCAGGATGTTGACTTTGCTTCTGGCTATGGTGTGGGGCGCAGCTCCAGACCCCACCTCTGGCGTCCCATGTGATTTAGAGCCGGTTTCATTTGCAAAATAGCAGTATTACATTTCATCCAAACTAAGCATATCAATTATGAAATGTGCTTTTATTTGATATGCCCCTAACAAAAAAGGCTGCCAATCTTAATTGTAAGTTACTGTTCTGATTTCGGCCATCATTAAATGTGAAAACAAGAGAGGACATGTGTCTTATAATTGTCAGCAAGCAGTGTGATGTGGAGCTGGGACCTGTTAGAAGACCTGGAGGGGCTTTTGGAAGAAAAAGGTAGACTGGTTTGAGGCTTTGGAGAGTAGGTAGGACTTTGATATGTCAGCAGAAATCAAAGATGGGGTGGGGATTATTCCAAGACTAGGAGACACGGAACTGATTGTTTTTTTGCTAGTAAATGCACTGAGTTTTTGATAAGGTCTGAGTATCTGTCACCTCAGAATGTAGGTTCCTTGAGGACTCGACCCAGAATCCTCAACACCTCACACAACAACAAATGCTTAGTTGTTTACTAAACAACTAATGTTTAGTTGTATCTGTCACTTTGGAAAGTATCCTAATTCCTTTTCACAGTAAAATCTTCTTTACGTTGCAGTTGCTTTTTCCCCTTTTAAAATTTGGTGCTTGTCTATTTCTGTTCATCTGCCTGTTCTGCTCCCCACTCTGTCTCTGATGAATCCTCTCACTCCCCACACCTCTGGCCTGTACCCCAGCTCCTGTGTGCATGAATAAATAAATCTTTTTTTTTTTAGAGGTTTTATTTATTTATACAAGCACTGGGTACTGTCAGAAGTGCGGGAGGGTGACAGAATTTACCAGAGCCAGAGCGGGGAACAGAACAGACAGAGCACCGAAATATACTGCTGAGGGGAGCAGCAGGCATGGCAGGAGAGATCTGTCGCGCCATGTGGGACCCTCGCCGGTAGCCGGGGATCAAACCGGCACTGCAGCAGCTGCGGGCAGCTTCGCAGCCCAGCGTTCAACCACTGCGCCACCGGGGGAGGCCCAATAAATACATCTTTTAAAAAAATAAATAAAATTTGGTGCTTAATTACATTTGGCCTTGCTGCCAGGTGATCTGATGGATTTGGGCCAAATTGATTCCTGTGTCTCCCTTTAAACCTCTGCCCATGCCCGAAATTCTACTAGTGATTCTCACTACTGTTGAATCTGTGTCGCTGTTTTTGAGGGCCATTCAAGATGCATTATCTTTGGATTCATCCTCATGATTATTGAGCACATGCATGCTGTGTGCTAAGAATATAGAACAGTGACAGAATAGGCAGAAATCGCCTCCGCTCACTCGCTTGCTCCTTTACACACTCGAGTTCATGAAACATGTGCGGGCGCCTGAAGCAGGAGAGGGCTTGTTAGGGGATTGCGGAACTTAAGATCTTTTACATGTTGAAACTGTTTGCTTAGATTCATTTTCATGAGGCTAATGTTTTTTATTTTCTTTTGTGTTGCTATTTACAGAAGATGAATTGAACCTTCTAGTGATCATCGTTGATACCAACCCAATTTGGTGGGGAAAGCAAGCATTAAAGGAATCTCAGGTAAGACTGCTCGAGGCGGCCTTTGGGTAGCTCTGTTTCAACCGAGCTCATACTGATTTTTAAAAACCAGTTTTATTCTCTGTCAGGTTACCCTTTGTTTTGAGGTGCATGCTACTGAGATAACTTAGGGGTACAGATGTGGGAATGATGCGCAGTGGTCAGATTCAGGATATGATGTGGATTCACAGCTGGGAGCTGAGGAGAGGGCAGAACGTAATACATACTTGAAGAAAACCAGGAAAAATTGATGTCATCAAAAGCCGAGAACAGAAAGTATTTCTGAAAGAAGCAGAGGTTTATTTTTATTGCTTTTTTTTTTGTTTGTTTTGTTTTTTAAAGATTTATTTATTTATTTATTTATGCAAGCACTGGGTACAGTCAGAAGCGCGGGAGGGTGAGAGAATTCACCAGAGCCAGAGCGGGGAGCAGAGCAGGCAGAAGGACCGAAGCACACTGCTGAGGGGAGCAGCGGGCGGCAGGAGAGGTCTGCGCGCCATGTGGGACCCTCCTCCGGTGGCCGGGGAGCAGCCGGGGATCGAACCGGCGCCGCAGAGGCCGCGGGCAGCTTTGCAACCCAGCGCTCAACCGCTGCGCCACCGGGGAGGCCCATTATTGCTTTTTAAATTAAAAAAAAATTATTTTTTTAGAAGTGGGGTAGAGGCCAGAGTCACTGGGGGTGAGAATATTCACCAGAGAAAGCGGGGAGCAGAACAGGCAGATGTACCAAAATACACTGCTGAGGGGAGCTGCAGGCGAGACAGGAGAAGTCTGCACGCCATGTGGGACCCTCGCCGGTGGCCAGGAATTGAACCGGCGCTGCAGGGGCTGCGGGCAGCTTCGCAGCCCAGCACTCAACTGCTACGCCACCAGGGGAGGCCCCAGTTTGTCCTTTTTTATGGCTGAGTAGTAGTCTGGCATGGTGTAGTAGTTGGTTCAGTCATTGACCGATTGAAGGTCATTTGGGTTGTTTCCACTTTTTTGCTATTACAATAAAAAACTGCTCTGAAAATTCGTATTCAGGTTTTAATTTCTCAGGGGTAAGTGCTAGGCAGTCATAGGCATGGCTTTATAAGAAACTGCTCACGGGCCAGCCGGGATCGAACCCGCACTGCAGAGGCTGTGGACAGCTTCACAGTGCTGTGTTCAACCGCCTGCGCCACCAGGGAGGCCCTGAATTTGCATTTTCTTAATGCCTGGTGATGTTGAACTTCTCCTAAGTTTATTTGCCACCCGGAGAGCCTCTTTGGTGAAATGTCTTTTCACGTCGTTCGCCCAGTTGCCAATAGATTTTTTTCAAACTCTTGAGTTTTGACACTTATTATGTATTCTAGATGGTAGGTAGGTCTTGAAGACTTTTGCCTGTATTCTCTGTGAAAGTGTGTATTTAACTCTAGAATCCATTTTTGAGTTCATTGTATTAATGGGCTGCGAGGTTTAGTTTGAGCTTTGCTGTTTTGCCAAATAGATAGCTAATTGTCCCGGCACCATTTCTGAAAAGATTACCCTTTCACCACTGATTTGCTTTCACAGTTTTGTTAGAAGTCATCTAGGCTTTTGTGTGTGGGTGTTCTTCAGGGCCCTGTCTGTTCTGTTGATCTGGTGTCTGTCCTTCCACCCTTCACACACGTCCCTGTTTACTGGAGCTTTACAGTGCTAGACACCTGTAGGCCATCCCCTGAATGCTATGCACAGAATACTTGGGGCCTTTCCAGCCCTGACCTAATTACGTGGGTGCCTAACTAACCTTTTCTAATGTTGTCTGTATTTCAACAGTTTACCTTATCCAAATGCATAGATGCTGTGATGGTGCTGGGAAATTCTCATTTATTCATGAATCGTTCCAACAAGCTTGCCGTGATAGCGAGTCACATCCAAGAAAGGTAGGACTGTTGTGGCCGGTGTGACAACCTACTGAGTGCTTAACCTCTGATGTTTTGTGCCAGTTCGCACGCACCGTTCATGCTCTGTGTTGCACAAAAATGTCTTCCTGTACCAGTGAACAAAATAGCATCTAGAATCAGCACGGGGGCCTCTCTGGTGGTGCAGCGGGTTGAGCGCAGCACTGTGAAGCTGTCTGCGGCCTCTGTAGCGCTGGTTCGATTCCTGGCCGGCCAGGGAAATTCCTGTATGGTGTGGCAGACCTCTCCTGTCTCACCCGCTGTGAGACACTCTAGCCCATCTCTGGCCTGTATACCCCTTAGCAGTCTATTTCAGTCTGTCTGCCTGTTTTGCTCCCCGCTTTGTCTCTGGTGAATTCTCTCACCCTCCCATGCCTCTGGCCTGTACCCCAGTGCTTGTATAAATAAAAAATCTTTAAAAAAAGATTTTGGTCGTATGAATATTGAAAACCTAGCAGGGACGCTTCACGGGTACAGGCAGCTTAGGCAGATGCAGTTGAAAGAGAGGCTTATCAGAGCGCACAGGCAGCTCCGATCTCCCCTCATTCCACAGACCTCAAATAATAAACTAGTGCTGAGTTAGAATTCGGTATGGATCTCTTCTGACTGTCATCTGGGAAGGAAAAAGAGGAACTAGCATTTCTAGAGACAATGACAAGCACCCTGCTTATTTCTTCTCGTTTTTCAGAAAACAGTGTATTCATGCAAGCTTGTGGTAGTAGAATCGTGTTCGCCAATTTGCTCTCTTTTATAGGTTTATTTATTTATTTTTATTTATTTATTTTTTATAACAAGGTTACTCCTTCTCTAGGTCAACAGTTTTGTTTTTTTTTTAAGATTTATTTATTTATACAAGAATCGGGGTACAGGCCAGATGTGCGGGAGGGTGAGAGGATTCACCAGAGACAGAGCAGGGAGCAGAACAGGCAGACAGGCTGATATACACTGCTGAGGGGAGCAGCGGGCAAGACAGGAGAGGTCTGCCATGCCATATGGGTTTTTCCCTGGCTGGCTGGGAATCGAACCTGCGCTGCAGAGGCTGTGGGCAGCTTCACAGCACTGCACTCAACCCACTGCACCACCGGGAAGGCCTGTAGGTTTTGTTTTTTTTTTTTTTAAATGAAATGTGTATAGAGTCTTTGTGAGTCCAGAATTGGTGTGGTTTTGTTTACTTCCTCTGCTGAATACTTGTTGCTGTTCAGCAAGGGTAGGAGTCCTTTGTAACTTGCTTTTTCTGTTTCAGTCGGTTCTTGTATCCTGGGAAGAATGGCAGGCTGGGAGACTTCTTCGGAGACCCTAGCAACCCTTCTGAATTTAACCCCTCAGGGAGTAAAGACGGGAAATACGAGCTGTTAACAGCAGCAAATGAAGTTATTGCTGAAGAAATTAAAGATCTAATGACCAAGGGTAATGGTGTTTTTTTCCCCATCATTGTGACCCGGCAGATGTTGAATGTGGAGGTGTTTGGGGTTCGGGATACTGTCTGCTTGCAAGCTCTTTTCTTCTCTAGCATTATTTTCATCGCACATTGTCTGCTCATCTCCAGTGTTCGACACTGTCACCGGCGCCTCTACCTCTTGAAGTACACTCTTTGGCTTCCAACGCTATCCTTTTTTTTTTTTTTTAATAGAGGCATGCTTTATTTATTTGTTTGCTGGTTTGTTTGTTTGTTTTGTTTATACATGCACTGGGTACAGTCAGAAGCGCAGGAGGGTGAGAGAATCCACCAGAGCCAGAGCGGGGAGCAGAGCAGCAGAAGGACCGAAGTACACTGCTGAGGGGAGCAGCGGGCGGCAGGAGAGGTCTGCGCGCCATGTGGGACCCTCCTCCGGTGGCTGGGGAGCAGCCGGGGATCGAACCGGCGCCGCAGAGGCCGCGGGCAGCTTCGCAACCCAGCGCTCAACCGCTGCGCCACCGGGGAGGCCCCAACACTATCCTTTTGATCTGGTTTTCCTCTTTTTTGAACTGTTAAAACTCAGCTGAGTTAATTTTTAAGGTTTTATTGGCTTTATGCAGTGATCTGGGAGTCAGGGCTGCATCCGGTCTGGCAGACAGGAGACACAAAGGAGCTCCGTTTCTGTCCCTGATTTCTGTCACCTCCCACTACATTCAGGGTTTTCATGTTTGACTCCTGTGTTAGCACACCCAGCATCTACTCAGCTATGAAATCCTGTTAGTTTAGCATCAGAAAGTAACCCCCAAAGCCCGTTCCTTCTTTGAACTTTTCCAGATAACACCAGTATTTTTTCACTATTTATTTTCTATTGTGGTGAAATAGACACATAAGACAGCACTTAGCATTGTAACCATTCTGAAGCGTACACTGCAGCTGCATTAGCTGTATTCCTATTTTGTGCAAGCATCACTGCAGTCCATTTCCAGAACTTTTTATCACCCGAGACAAACTTGGTGCCCATTGGACAGCAGCTCCTCGTCCCTCCTTGCTAAGCCTCTGATCACCAGGAGGTTTTTCGTCCCTCCCTGCTAAGCCTCTGATCACCAGGAGGTTTTAAATTGAGAAAATGATTAAAAATAGCTCATTTAAGCATTACTGAGAAAAAATTGCTGTATTTTTAAACCCAGTTTGAAAATATGGTCTGAATTTTATTCACGGAGGAGGTGGCTTTGGTCAAAAATGATTTTAGTTCAAGAAAGTTGTGCCTGCCTGGTGGCGCAAGGGGTTCAGTCTCAGCACTGTGAAGCATGCTGCAGCCACTGCAGCATGAGTTCGATCCCCAGCCAGGGAGCTGACCCATGTGGCGCAGCACTTTCCTGACTCCCTGCTGGTCCCCTCAGCAGTGTATTTCAGTAGATCTGCCTGTTCTGCTCCTCACTCTGTCTCTGGTGAATCCTCTCACCCCCTGCATTTCTGGCCTGAATACCCCGGGTCTTGTATGTATAAATAAATAAATCAAATGTTTAAAAAAGAAAAACCAAGTACCTAATGTTCCCTTGCCTTGTGTTTTCTCACTTGCAGGTGACATAAAGGGCCAGCACACAGAAACCCTGCTGGCGGGGTCCCTCGCCAAAGCGCTCTGCTGTATCCTTGCTGTCGCGGCCGTTCACGCGGTGGCTTCTGTGACCAACATGCTTTGACTTTTGAGGTTTCTTAGAACTCTGGGTACCCATATTCAGGGACGGCGTGAGTCTCCTAAAGTGAGAATTATCAAAAGACAGTTTATCTGGCTTTGAAATGTTTTTCAGACAAGCTAGAACAACGTGAATCAGAAACTATAAGAAAACTCTTAAGTTTGTCCACCTTGTTCTGCTCACAGCAGGTGCTACTTCGGCTTACTTCCTTGTTTCTCATTTTGATGAGGGGGTGGGACAAGAAGGGAGGAGGAGCTTTCGCTTCTTTAATTTTTGTTTCCTTTGGGGTGGGGCAGGTGTTCACTGACCCTGGGCTGATAAACGAGTGAAGGCTCGGCCCACAAAGGGCTTCCTTACTCAGCGCAGCCGGGCATCTCGGGCGTCTCATTTCTCAGAGGGTCTCCTTTCTAACATAGTTTAATTTCTTTGTCTTGGACTTTGTGGGTGCCTGCGTGAGGCTTTCCTGTTGGTTCTCTTCTTGGACGTGGTTGTTGATTTCCCTGTGGCCCCAGTTCTCAAAATTAGGATGGGGCGGGTAGTCCCAGGACACCCATATCTTGGCAGTTTAATTTTCTGGGACAGAGAGCTTATTTTAGTCAGGTTACATTATAGGCCTGGTTAGTTGCTACCTTAGTAATCACAGAACCTCCAATAACTCGTTTTGTGTATTGTGATAAATGGAATATTTCCTTTTTTTCCCTTAGGTAAGTGGATGCTGGGTTTATTTAACTAGCATATTTGAGGTTTGTTTTTTTCTGTTTACTATGAATATTTATGAAATTAAGTAAAAATTTTTTCCTTAATGCTAGGAAAACAAGACATTCATAGAATGAACAAGGAGGTTAAAGGTAGGAGCCTGCATTTTCTATGAGAAATGTAATACATATTTGCTACTGTAAATTTAGTGAACTGTTTAAAAATTAGAAAACTTTACAGTATGTTAATAAGATTCAGTTACAGTGGGGTTTTTTTTTTTTATCTCTATAGATAATCAGGAAATGAAGTCAAGAATATTGGTAAGATTTTTGAAAAATCAATACATTGTTTATCAGCTACAGCCAATTAGAAAACATGAGTAATAAGACTAATTTACAATGGAAGCAATAAATATTAAATTCCCAGATTTGATTTAGCAAGCAATATGTAAAACTGATCAAAAAATAAATGTCAAATAGAGGAATTTCATTGTTTGCTTCTTGCTCAGCACAAATGAAAAGCCTAGCATTTCTCAGTGCGGCTACGAGCTGCCCAAAGGGTCCATGAGGGTGTTCATCAGAGCCTTGTTTAGGGCTGGAAACTGCTTAAATGTCCTCTGGACAAAATTACTTAAATAGTGGAAATCTGTGATGTCAGCACGAACAATGATAACACATCCAAATTCCTTGACGTGACAAGTTTTCTCCCCGTGTATTTCAGACAGAAAAAGCAGATTGCAAAACTGTGTGTGTGTGTACACACATAGGTGCTCTCTAAAAGGGGGTGCATCAACCTATTAACACAGATTGTCTCTTGAGTAGTATGATTGAGGGGAATCTTTGAGTCATTTAAAACTTAGATATTGTTGGGCCTCCCCAGTGGCGCAGCGGTTGAGCGCTGGGTTGTGAGGCTGCCCGCAGCCTCCACGGCGCCAGTTCGATCCCCGGCTGCTCCCGGGCCACCAGAGGAGGGTCCCGCATGGTGCGCGGACCTCTCCTGCCGCCCGCTGCTCCCCTCAACAGTGTACTTCGGTCCTTCTGCCTGCTCTGCTTCCCCCTCTGGCTCTGTTGAATTCTCTCAGCCTCCCGCGCTTCTGACTATACCCAGTGTTTGTATGAATAAATAAATAAGTAAATCTTTAAAAAAAATAAAAAAATAAAACTTAGATATTGTTAATAATGCTAAATAGGAAGACAACTCAGAGGAGGTGATGTCGCTCATAGTTGCAGTGACTTGTGATGGTGCGGGAGCAGGGCATGAAGTTGTTCCTGGAATGTTCTAACGCAGCTGTGATCTTAGGTGATTAAGGCAGCAGAGGACAGCGCACTGCAGTATATGAACTTCATGAATGTCATCTTTGCAGCACAGAAACAGGTAGAGTGAGTGTTTTCTTTCTAAAGAATATTTGTTTTGTAATGAAGGAATAAGTTTCATTTTTTTGAACGACCTGCTTAGAGGGGTTTCGTGACTGCATAGCCTTTATTACTGGGTTAGGAATCTGGATTCCATAGTTTGCAGTAGTCATTTATCTATTTTGGGTCCTGGACCCCTGGAAACTCTGAAGGGTTCCAAAAAAACATGCACTCAGGGTCTCCCTGGTGGCTCGAGGGGTTAAGCACCACACTGTAAAGCAATCCGCAGCCTCTGCAGCATGAGTTTGATCCCCAGGCAGCCAGGGAGAAACCCACATAGCGCAGACCCCTCCTGTCTCCCTGCTGCTCCCCTCAGCAGTGTATTTCGGTCAGTCTGCCTGTTCTCTTCCCCAGACTGTCTCTGGTGGATCCTCTCACCCCCCGTATCTCTGGCCTCTACCCCAGCTCTTGTATGCATAAATAAATAAATCTTTTTAAAAAAACATGCACTCAGACCCAGTTTTGCATATAGTCTGATGGTGTGCACGTAACCCTGTTGACTCGTCCTCAGAACCCCTGATTGTATGGTTTACAGCATGCTTGCCTCATTTTCTCTCTTCACTTCAGTGAGGTTAAAGACTTGCTGTTTTTACTTTGCAAATAGCTGAAATGGTCACATGAATTATTGCTAATACCTTTGCTTTGATCTGTTTAAAAAAAAGGCTTTCTTAAAATTTAAGTTTTGACATAACATGCAGCTATAAGCAGGCACAATATTCTCTGTTTTGGAGTGGCACAGAATGTAGTGAAAAGACCCTGGACTTTGGGGTGATGGCACACCACTTCAGGGGATGGCGGCTCTGCCCCTCCCCCACTCTAGCCCAGCCGGGAGTCACTGCTTCAGCTGCAGCATGCAAGTCAGACCTGCCTGGCAGAGTTTTTATGCATATTAAGTGGGCCATTTAAAGACTAGAGTCTGGCACCTAGTAGGTACTCAGTTAATGGTTATTAATCCTATAATTTCAAAATGTTTATTTCAGAATATTTTGATTGATGCCTGTGTTTTAGACTCTGACTCAGGACTCCTCCAGCAGGTATGTCTTAAATGAGGTTTGGTGTCAGTGTGGGGCAAATGAGGTGTGTCTGGGCCCTGTTGTGAGATGCTTTCTCCAGGCTTCTCACGTTTTCAGGGATGAGTCTCTGAAGCTGTAGATGGCAGCACCCTCAGCAAGCTGGTCTCTTTAAAATTTTTATTTATATTTTACATAATGATTTTATTGACTTTGTAAAAGCGAGTCATACATTAAATGAATTCCAGCAACATAAACAGGTGTCTTTTTAGAAGGTAAAAGAAAAAGCTCTTCAAATCCCTTCATCCAAAAGTACCAGTGTTAACACATAAGTGGCACCGCTGCTGAGTTTTTGAAATGAGTCTCGTTTGCCTTGAGATGTGCTGGCTTTCAAAGACTTTGTGTGAAAAACAGCATGTAAAAAAATCTCATTAATGATTTTTATATTGGTTACATGTTAAAATAATAATGCTTTGGACATACTGAGTTAAATAAAATGTTATTAAAATTACTTTTATCTCTTTCCTTTGTTATGCGACTTGAAAGTTTTAAACTACAAATGTTACCTCCATCCTTCTGCTGTGGACAGTACTGTCAGGGCTCACCTTTTAATCCAGAGGAGAAATAAAATGAAAATAAGACTGAAGAAATTACCAAACTATTGATAAATGTTTCTTGCCCATGAGAAACAGGTTTCCTGAAAGGTCATTTATAAGCGAAAACTGGCAGTTCTTGTCTTTTAAGACTGTCTGTGTGGGTGCCTCTTTCCTTTTTTCCCTTCCTCAGTAAACTTGCCTGTGCTGATGAGTGGGAATGCCTGCTGAATTCTTTCTCAGAGGCAACCAAGAATCTCCGCCTCCCCCCCCCAAAAAAAAGCCTAAAACTATAGAAGACCTTGGGTGCAGGTGACTGCTGGGAATGAGGAGTAGGGAGTGGCTTCTGAGAATCTGGGGTTGTCTTATTTCTTAGGCTTAATGGTAGGTACATAGTGTTCTTTTGGAATGTAGGAAGCCTGAAACTGCTTCAGAGAGTTAAACAGAATTACCATGTAGCTCAGCAGGTCCCTTCCTAGATACACGCCCAAGGGCGTGAAAATGTTCACACAGAAGATGGTCCAGGAATACTCATGGCTATGCTAGCCATGATAGCCAAGGGTGGAACGATCCAGATGTGCAGCAGCAGCAGCAAGTGGATAAATAAATTGCGGCCCAGCCATACTTTGGCGTGTATTTGGTCATAAAGGAACAAAGTGCTGACACAAGCCACAACATGGGCGAGCCTTGAAGATATTCAAGGCAGTCCAAAAGACTCATGTCATTTGGCTCCATGTCTAGGAAATGTCCAGAACAGGCAAGTCTGCAGAGACAGAGCTGTTTAGCGGTTCCAGGGACTGGGGGAGGGAAGGAGAGAGAGTAGCTGACTAGTAGGTACTGGTTTCCTTTTGGGGGAGGTGAGAATGTTCTGGAACTATATACTGTAATAGTTGCATGACTCTGAATATAATCAAAACCAGGGAATTGTTCACTTTAATGGGGTGAATTTTAAGGCTTGTGAGTTATACCCCAGAGCTTTTATTTAAACATAACGAAAATGAGTAGACTTGGTAAGATTAAAAACGTATTAGCAGCAAGAAAATGGGAATAACGGTGTAGACTTTCTTACACTACAGTCTTCTTATGGCGAAAGGGCATGGACCAAGGAGGGGCACAAGGTATTTGAGCATCTCCAGAGGTACCTGGAAGTTTCCGGTCTCATACATTCTGGGAAAAGAGTCCTTTCATTCTCTGGTCACATCCTCTGGAAACCTGATGAATCGCAGGCGGGAATTACCTCCCTCTGCAAAGACCGAGTAAGAGCTGCTATGGCAGAGAGCCCTTTGTGTCTTGCAGGCTTGTGACATCACAGGGGGACTGTACTTGAAGGTGCCTCAGATGCCCTCCCTTCTGCAGTATTTACTGGTAAGGAGACGGCAACAGTGACCCTATCACCTTGGGCAGGGAGACCCCTGTTTCCTCGGGGACAAATGAGGACAAGATGGCTGATGCTAGTAATAAGAAAAAAGGAGTGGCCGGCACCCCAGTTCTTGTATGCATAAATAAATAAAAATAAATCTCTTAAAAGAGAAAAGGAATGACTGGGTGACTGAGAGGGTTCAAAGGTAAGAAGGGCAGAGCTCGGCTGCCTTTGCAGCCTGAGGACTGTGTGAAGCTTGTTTTATGAAGGTTTACAAACCTCTCTGTGGGGGCACTCAATAATTGTTGAATGAATAAAACAGGGCACCTTTCAAAGCAAAACCCTAATGTCCCTGTTCTCCAGTGTTGATTAACTGATACCTGATATCTCTGTCCTGACTTCTGGCTATTTTCCCCCATGTTTTGTTTTATTTATTTGTTTTTTAATTATTTATGCATACAAAAACTGGGGTATAGGCCAGAGGTGTAGGGGGATGAGAGGTTTCACCAGAGACACAATGGGGAGCAGAACAGGTGGATCTACTGAAATAGACTGCTGAGGGGTGCAGTGGGGAGACCGGAGAGGTCTGCTGCGCCATGTGGGTCAGCTCCCTGGCTACCGGGACCCAACTCATGCTGCAGTGGCTGGTGATAGCTTGATAGTGCTGACTTAAGCCCCTTTGCCACCAGGGGGGCCCTATTTTCCCCCATGTTTTATTTTATTTATTTTTTTAAGATTTATTTATTTATTTATACAAACACTGGATACAGTCAGAAGTGCGGGAGGGTGAGAGAACTCACCAGAGTCAGAGCAGGGAACAGAACAGGCAGACCGACGAAGTACACTGCTGAGGGGAGCAGTGGGCGGCAGGAGAGGTCTGCGCGCCATGTGGGACCCTCGCCTGGTAGCCGGGGATCGAACTGGCGTGGCAGAGGCTGCGGGCAGCTTCACAACCCAGCACTCAACCGCTGTGCCACCAGGGGAGGCCCTTCCCCCATGTTTTAAATAAAAGTGCCTTGGACCTCCCTGGTGGCCTAGGGATTGAGTCTCAGTGCTGTCACCTCTGCACCCTCTGATCCCTAGCCAGGGAGCTGACCCACATGGCACAGCAGACTTCTCTCTCCCCGCTGCTCCCCTCAGCAGTGTATTTCACTCAGTCTGCCTGTTCTGCTCCCCACTCTGTCTCTGGTGAATCCTCTTACTGACCCCCACCCCTAGTATCTCTGGCCCACACCCAGTTCTATGCAAAAAATAAAATAAAAAAAATGAAGTGCCTTTTTTTTTTTTTTTTTTTTTTTTAAACAGTGGGTTTTCCTTCCTGATCAAGATCAGAGATCTCAATTAATCCTTCCTCCCCCAATTCATGTTGACTACCGGGCAGCCTGCTTCTGCCATCGCAACCTCATTGAGATTGGCTACGTCTGCTCTGTGTGCTTATCAAGTAAGTCCATGTCCTGAGTTGGGCTTGAGGTTTTTTCCTTCTTTTCTCTATTGGGGTGGACAGAATGTATTTCAAATGTGGGGTTTTGAAACCATCCTGTTTGTTTCTTGTTTTTTTTTATTTACAGTTTTCTGCAGTTTCAGCCCTATCTGCACTACGTGCGAGTGAGTATCTTGAATTAGGGTGCTAACCGCCCCACACTTGAGAACAGAGCCTTGAGGAGTGTTTTCTGTGTCATTTCAGGACAGCCTTTAAGATTTCTCTGCCTCCCATACTGAAGGCCAAGAAAAAGAAACTGAAAGCGTCTACGTGATAAGGGTGGTTTTCTCTCTCAGCACTAAGAGAGGTGTGATGGTGCCATCTTTGTTTGGAAGGCTTTGGAAAAAATACAGGTGTGTGAGCTGATTTGTAGAGAAGTTCCTCACAGGAGCTATTTCTAAAATACCATCCTCATCCTGTGCTTGGGGGCCCTGCTTTACTTGAGGGAGTAATTCTATGCATATGTACCTTAAATCTTTTCTGACTGGTTTTTATCCAGGTGGGAAGAAAGCACAAACTTGAGACTTTCTTGTAATGGGGCAATCTTTTGTCAAAATCAGTCTGTCCTGACTGACTGTAGACTTTAGAACCAGTGACCCAAGTCTACGTTCTTACTGTGAAGCAGACAACATGTGAAATCTGGGAAAAGTGACTGTTTGTGAATTGATAATATTAATCAAGATAGAACATCTTACTTGAATTAACAGTTAACTTCAACAATAAACATATAAATAAAAATCCTTATTGATTAAACTGAGATCTGGCTTCCGCTATTAGCAGATACTTATTCTTTTTTCTGCCATCATTACATCAATAAGTGTTTAGACCCTTATCCAAATAATAATAATAGTTTGTCACTAAAGAATCACAAAATCTGATTTTAAATAAGGAGAGTGAGTGGACTAGTCTGGTTGTGATTTTTTCTTCAAAAACAGTCCTGGGGAGAGCTTGTTTGTGAAAGCTAATGTCTGAGTTCTAAGGGGGACTTTCCAGGAGAGAATGGAGTTGTTAGAATTAAGTGTCATCCCAGAGTTTTCCTTTTTTTTTTTTTTTTTTAAATTGATATAACATTGGTTTACGGTATCATATTTGATCCGGGGGTACAGGCTCATACACCCTCATACATGTCTCACGCCACACCCACCACCAGGCACCAATCCTCCCCCACATCCTGGCTCGGCTCCCTCTCCCCGTCCCATAGCCTTAATTCTCTGGACAGATTTCTGTTGTTTATTACTGGATCAGTTTTGGTGGACCCTAGCATTCTTTCTTTTTTGATGAGAAGAAAAAAAGCATTATTGGACACCAAGAAGCTTTGGACTTGATACGGCAAGCTTCTGTAAGTTCACATGAAAAGTTGTTCACAATTTCAACAATAAAAATTTTTTTCTATGTAATCTTGAAATTATTAAACGTGCTTTTAAGTTTTAGCATAATGGAGGGAGGTTTTCAGGATGGTGGTTGGTTTGATTTCGGATATAATTTTTTTGTTATTTTTAAAAGTATCTTGAAAAAAATTCCATTTGTGTACAAAATCTTGTATATGAATTAAGTTTTGAATTTTCTCTTTATGCCATCTCAGAAACAATTTCAGTCAAGTAATCTGGTGTTTGGTTAGATAATTATAGGTAGATTTTTGTCTTCTGGATTTACAGTTTTGTTAAGTTCACAAAGGTTTTTGTTAAGTTCACTTGAAAGTTAATCCTTGATTTTAAAAACCTGTTTTTCTTTTAAAAATAATGTTTAATATTCACTGCCTAATTAAGTATAATGGAAGTCAGTATTTTATGTGTAGGAAATACAGGATCATATATCTAAAAAACAGATAATTTCAAACAAGCTGATATGGTTTCGTTACTTTTTCATTTGAATTGTTTCATGTACTGAATGAGTTCTGTTTAAGTTTTATTGTATTTGTAGTTATTTTATATAAATTTTTATTGCTTATATTTACTTGAATTATTTTCTTACTCATAAAAGTTAGAAATGAACTATAAGAAAAAAGCAAGGGAGGGCCTCCCCTGGTGGCGCAATGGTTGAGCGCTGGGCTGTGAAGCTGCCTGCAGCCTTTGCAGAGCCGGTTCAATCCCCGGCCACCGGCCAGGGTCCCACATGGCGCACAGACCTTTCCTGCTGCCCGCTGCTCCCCTCAGCAGTATGTTTCGTCAGTCTGCCTGTTCTGTTCCCCGCTCTGGCTCTGGTGAATTCTCTCACCCTCCCGTGCTTCTGACTGTACCCAGTGCTTGTATAAATAAATAAGTAAATAAATAAATAAATCCTTAAAAAAAATAAACAAATAAACAATCTAAAGGAGGAACAAATAAGACCCAAAGTTAGAAGGTAGGAAATAATAAGAGTGGAGAGAAAATAAGACTATACAAAATATCAATGAAACTAAAAGCTAGGTTTTTTGAGAGCATAAACAAAGTTAGATAACCTCTAACTAGGCTAACAAAAAATAAAAAGAAAACAAACTGAATCACAAATTAAAGAGAAATTATTACAGAGAGCACAGGAATACAAAAATTCATAAGAGAGTGCTATGAACAACTAGACCAATATATCCAGTAACCTTGAAGAAATGAATAAAATTCTAGATCAACATAATCTGTGAAGACTACCTTGGAAGAAACACATGAACAGACCAGTCACAGGCATGGAAATTGGAACAGTAATAAAAAATCTTACAAGAAATAAAAGCCAAGGGCCGAGTCTTTAAGATAAACTAATGCCCATCTTGCTCATTGTTTTTAAAATATAAGGAGGAATGGGGCCTCCCTGGTGGCACAGCGGGTTGAGCGCAGCTCTGTGAAGCTGTCCTTAGCTTCCGCAGTTCCAGTTCGATTCCCGGCCGGCCAGGGAGATTCCCACATGGCGAGGCAGACCTCTCCTGTCTCGCCCGCTGCTCCCCTCAGCAGTGTATTTTGGTCCTTCTACCTGTTCTGCTCCCTGCTCTGTCTGGTGAATTTTCTCATCCTCCTGCACCTCTGGCTTGTACCCCAGTGCTTGTATAAATAAATCTTTTAAAAAAATTAAGGAGGAATGCTTTCTAATGTTTTATGCCAATATTACCTTAATAGCAAAGCTGGACAGACAACACAAGAAAATTATAGACCAATATTCCAGATGAACATTAATGCGGACATTTTCAACAAAATACTAGCAAACTGAATTCAACAGTATACCCCAAGGATTATACACCATGATCAAATAGAATTCATCTCAGAGATGCAAGGATAGTTTAATTAATGTAATACATCATATCAACAAAAGTAAAGATACTTTTTCCATAGAAGCAGAGAAAGTATTTGATAAGATTTAGCACCCATTTGTGATAAAAATGCTAAATAAGATGGGTAGAGAAGGAACCTACCTCAGTGTAATAAAGGCCCTATATCATGAACCAACCACCAATATAATGATGAAAAACAGAAAGCTTTCCCCAAAATATCCAGCGTGAGACCACAGTGCCCATTTGTGACCACTTCTGTGTAACTTAGTATTAGAGGTTTTGGCCGCAGCCAGCAGATGCAGAAAGTAAAGGGAATCCAAGTAGGAAGAGAAGTGAAACTGTCATTATTTGCAGATGAAGATCCTGAAGACTCCATTAGAATGTTACTAGAAAAGATGACTTGCAAGGTGGCAGGTTATACAATCAACATACAAAAGTCTGTAGCCTTTTTATATTCAAAACAGTGAAGAAGACAAAAGAACTCCATTTAGAATTGCTTCAAAAAGAAATACCTTAGAATCAACCTAACAAAGGAAAAGACCTATCAAATGAGGACTATAGGGTGTTACTAGAGGACTTAGGACATCAGGCTGCAGAAGGTTATCCCATGTTCATGGATGGGGAGAATCAATATAATCCAAAACACTATCCTGCTTAAAATGATTTACAAGGTTAGTGCAATCACCATCAAAACACCAGCATTATTTTTCAAAGAAATGAAACAAAACAAAATGAAACAAAAGGTATTGACATTTATGTGGAACCACAACAGGCCTTGAATTGCAAATGCAACGCCAAACGAAAAGGAGAACTAGAGATGTTGCATTACCTGACTTCAAACTTTACTGTAAAGCAGCAGTATTAAAGGGCCTCCCTGGTGGCGCAAGGAGTTAAGCCCTGCACTACAAAGCAATCCGCAGCCTCTGTGGCACGAGTTCAATCCCCGCGGGGAGAAACCCACATGGTGCAGCAGACCTCTCCTGTCTCGCCTACTGCTCCCCTCAGCAGTGTATTTTGGTCAGTCAGCCTGTTCTCTTCCCCACTCTGTCTCTGGTGGATCCTCTCATCCCCCGCATCTCTGGCCTGTACCCCAGCTCTTGTATGCATAAATAAGTCAATCTTTAAAAAAAAAAGTATTAAAAATGATAGGGTATGTTCCAAAAGTAAATGCACGGACCAATAGAACAGAACCAAAAGCTCAAAAATTAATCCGTGTACATGCCAGCACCTAACCTATGATAAAGCATCTTGACTGTAAAATGGGGGAAAGATAGACTCCAGTAAATGGTTCTGGGAAAATTGGAAAGCCACACACAAAGGAATGATGTTGGATTACTCGCTAACACCATATTCAGAAACTCCAAATGGATCAAAGGTTTACATATAAGGCCTACAACAATAAAATCATAGAAGAAAGCACTGGTGATATGTTCCATGAGATCAACAAGATATTTTCCTTTAATTTCCAAGGAAGTTTAAACACAATAAACAGTTGGGGTTATCTCAAGTTAAGAAGTTTCTATTCAGTGAAAGAAAATACAAGATGACTAAATAGATGCCCTACTGAATGAGAGAAAATATTGACACAATATATAAAACTGATAAGGAATTAATGTTCAAGATTACCAAAAGTTCATATGATTCAATAATAATAAACCCAATGACTAAATGGGCAATAGATATTACTAGACAGTTCACCAAAAAGGATACCCTGAAGGCCAAAAGACATGAAAAATGTCTTAGCATCACTTCTAATATGAGAGATGCAGGTTACAACTACAATGAGCTACCATCTCACACCCGTGAGAATGGCGCATATTAACACCCCCAACAAGTGTTGGAGAGCATTTGGAGAAAGAGCAACCCTTTCACACTATTACTGAGAATATGAATACTGCAGCTATTGAGGAAAGAAATCTGTATTTACCCTAAAAATTGAAAATGGAAATATCAATATATCTGGCAATCCCACTCTTGGGCACAAATTTGCAGGATATGAAATTAAAAAAATCCCGTGTGCTCCACAATATTCATAGCATTATTTACAGTAGTTACAACATGGGAGTAACTTAAATGTCCATCGGACATTGGATCACAAAGATGTGGTGCATACATACACCACGGAGTCTTCTACAGCCATAGGGTGAAATGCAGCCATTTTCAATAGAATTGGAGGGCGTTTGAGAGAACTATGTGCAGCAGTCACAATGCTAAATACTGGATATAGCAGACAATAATGTAAAACACTGTTCAAAAACACTTCCAAAAACTAGTGGACATAAATAGATACCCTGGGGAGAGGGAAGGAGGAGTAGGGGTGAAGATGGGGTGGAGTGGGGGGAGCACAAGGGAATCTGTTGACGGACCCTGGGTGCTTTGGTGGCAGGAGAACTATGGTGCCCACGCCTGAGGGGAGAAATCCTATATTGTGCAAACAATATATAAAAAATCATCTGGAGGCTCTGAGGTTAAGACAGGGGAGGGAGGGCCTCCCCTGGTGGCGCAGCGGTTGAGCGCTGGGTTGCGAGGCTGCCCACAGCCTCTGCAGCGCCAGTTCGATCCCCGGCCACCGGCGAGGGTCCCACAAAAAAAAAAAAAAAAAAAAAAAGACAGGGGAGGGAGGGAAAGAAACGGGGTACATGGGGAATGGAGGGGGAAAGAGTGTCTTCAGTGGACCTAAGAGGAAATGTTTTTGTTTGACATATTTGCCAGTATGTGTAACTATGTCGGGGTGTCTGTTTCAAATGCACAGCAGCATAGAAGGAATGTAAAGGTCTTTTCTAGACTCACTCTTGCACTCAGTGAAAATGGTTTATAGCACGCTTACAATACCCAATGACCGTTTCTGTTTGCTTGAATTGTTTTATGTTTTACCTAAAGGTAAAAGCATTTTTGACCCAAAGATTAAAAATAATCCAACATTCCAGTTTTCTTCAATGAACATGGTTACTTTCTTACCAAAGAATGGCTGGTTCATTCAAAGACTCAAATATTTAGAACCAGTTGCTGTATTAACAAACTGATTCTGCAGAGGATCAAGACAACTACTGCATTAGAGATGGGATCACTTTGAGGGAATTTCAGAAGTGAAACAGTACATCGCTGTTACGCAATAGTTTATTGCGATAATGTGACAGCCCCAGTGGCCCAGCTTTGCAAGAGTATAAGCAAAAAATAATGCTCGTGTGGGACCCTTCCAGAATGTTAGATCTGCTGGTCGATTAATACATAACATCGACACTTATGTGCCATTTGCTGCGTTTGTCTGCCACAGCGCTGACCACCACCCGTGGACGGGCCTTGTCTCCCAACCTCTGACGGCGAGCACCGCCTCAACACTTACTGTTTACCACAGGCCAGGCATTGGCCTCAGCGCCCAGACGTCACCTCAAGTAATTTTTTTAAAAAAGATTTATTTATTTATTTATACAAGCACTGGGTACAGTCTGAGGCGCGGGAGGGTGAGAGAATTCACCAGAGCCAGACCGGGGAGAACAGGCAACTGACGAAGTACACTGCTGGGGGGAGCAGCGGGCGGCAGGAGAGGTCTGTGCGCCATGTCGGACCCTCCTCCGGTGGCCGGGGATTGAACCGGCGCTGCAGAGGCTGCGGGCAGCTTCTCAGCCCAGCGCTCAACCGCTGCGCCACCGGGGAGGCCCACCTCAAGTAATTTTTTTTTTTTAAATTTTATACATTTTATATCATTTTTCATTTTTGCACAATGTATGCATTTTCATCTCGGTTATATTCCCCACACAATTCCCACCCCCCCTTGTTTTGATCCTTCTCCCTTCTCCCCCCCTGTAGTGTGTCTCTGGTTTATAGTTGCTTGCTGATTTTGATTGTTACTTTATTATAATTACTCCTTTTCCTGGTCCCTTATTTAGGTTTTCTAAATTCCTGCCATGAGTGAGACATCTTTTTAGGGAGGGGCTGCCACCTTCATTTTTTTTTCGTTTTTCCACAGATGAGGAAGCCCAAGTTCAGAGAGGCCCGAGCGCGCCCGGGGGGCGCAGCGGCCGTCGACCCCGCCCCGCCTGGGCCCCGCGGCGGCGCTCACGGGCTGGGGCGCCATCGCGGAGGAGTGTTTTTCGGGGGTTCGGATCCGGCCCCACGCTGTCCGAAGTCCTGCGTGTTATCTGATTAGATCTGCTCTGGGTGGCTGAGGCCTCCGGGGGGGGCCAGAAAAACCGGGGTTCAACAGCTACACAATGACAGTAGCGCAGCCTCACCCCCAAGCCCCACGAAACCGAGTGAATCCAGCGCTTGCTCAGGCCCAGGGCCCGCAGGCGCGCGCTTCGGGGTGAGGGAATCAGCTCGGGGCGGGGCGACCCGCGCCTTCTCCGCGGCGCGACCGGCCGTCGAGGGGCGCCAGAGCTGGGGGGGCCGCCGGCGGGGGCGGGCTCGCTCCTCCGCCGCCCAGTCACGGCGCCCCGGCCCGCCCGGCCCGCCCCGCCCGCCCCGGCCGCCCCGCCCGCCGGCGGTTGCCATAGCTCCGGGCGTTCGCGTGACAAGATGGCGGCGGCCGGGCCGAGCGGGCCGCGTTCCTGCCTCCGCGCCGCGGCTGCCTCCTAAGGCCGGCCGCTTCCCGCGCGCACCCCGCCGGGCCAGGCATGGGCTTTCCGCGGCCGGCCCCTCTGCTCCTGGGGCTCCTGCTCCTGCAGGGCGTCCCGAGGCCGCTGCGGGGGGACCTGGGTGTGTGCGGCGGGGCCGGGGCCCGCCGGGCGGGGTGGAGGACGAGGCGCGCGAGAGGGGCCAGACTCGGGCTGCGCGGCGCTCGGCAGACACGCCGCCGAGGAAGCCGCACGCAGCTCAGGAGGGACCCTGCAGCCACTGACCCGCCCTGTCCCTGCCTTTCCTCCCAGCGTTCCTCCCGCCCTTCATCCGCATGTCCGGCTCTGCGGTCAGCGCGGCCCTGGTGGGAGGCACGGAGGACGTGAAGGTGTCCCTGGCCGTGCTGCGCGGCGAGAAGGGTAAAGGCCTTTCCCGCGGAGAGGGCGAGGGTTGGGCCAGGTCCAGGCCACGCGCAGGCTGGCGGGTGGCGTCCTGAGGGTCCCCCGCTGATGTCCACTGCAAACCCAGGGTGGGGGTGGGGTGGGAGAGCGGGCTGTGGATCAGGTGAAAGACCGCTTGGGATCTTAATGGCTGACCCCGCACCTTACACTGGTCACCTCGTTGCTCCAACGAGAACAGCGACATCTTTCTCCCACTGAAGATACTGAAGTTGGGAGAGGTGGTCACTTGTCCATGGTCACACAGCTTGTCAAGGGCCCAATCCTAGACTTGGAAAGGGCTTTCACCCTAGGGAGCTTTCTGCAAGAGTGCCCCCTTCACAGCTGGGCAGTGCCCCTTGCATCCTCATCTTCTCTCCCTTAGGGTTGTTGCCAGTTCCGGCTTGTGGAGGGCTGAGCAATGAGACTGGAGACTGGAATTTGACTGTGACGCCTGGTGTGGTGAGGCCAGAGGTCAAACCCTTTGGGGCATCTTTGGGAGGATGCGTTTTTGATTTGGCACATTATGGCTTTCTCTGTGCTCACTATGAAACTGTGAGCTATAGGGTCTAGCCCAGAGGTTCTCACCCTTGGTTGGGAGTCCTCAGATGGACTTCATGGGGTCTGTGAAACTCTGAAGTTTGCACAAAGTTATGTGTGTATGTGCATTTTTTTCCTCAAGAGTGTTGCCAGTTTCTGAGGGGTTATCAAATGGCTCTGAATCAAAACAGCTTCATAAACCACAGCTCTCACTCAACTCGTGTAAGGATGCTCAAGGATGCTGGAGAGACTGCACAGCTTCCACTTAATAAACGTTTTGTAGAGCGAGTGCCTCCTACAGGCGAGGCGTCAACTCCTTGAAGGCTGGGAAAGACAGACTCTGCTTGCACCCCCGGAGCTAGGGACAGTTTCCTTTGACTTTCTTTTGAGATTGAATCTTCGCTGGTCGGATGATAAAGAAACCAGAAAGGTGCTAGACAGGCTGAGTTGACTGACCAGCCCATGTTTCCCTAAGTGTCCCCAGCTACCTGCTCCTGTGGCTACCTGTGCATTAGGAGTGGGGCTTGCGTCTTGCCGTAGGTTTATAGCAGGGCTTGAACAGAATCAGGTCACCTCCCTATCCAATTCTCCTTTTGTCTCCTTTTGAACAGAGGCTGATATGTGCTTTCCTTGTGTTTTCCATTGTGTCTTCTTGTAATCACAGGTGTGCTGTTGAGTCCCTCTGAAAGCACCATGATGTTTCCCTTGCAGGACGCATTGGAAGTGACCGTGAGGCTGAAGGGGCTTCAGCAGCTATGTTCCTTGAATGAAACAGATCCCTTCTTAGCATCCCCATGTGTCCTCCAAACCCTTCTGGTGTCAGCATCCAACGGGTCCTCCTGTTCAGCACATCTGCTCATCCAAGTGGAAATTTATACTAACACTGCTCTGGCCCAGAATGCATCAGGCAAGTAAAGTCTATGACGATCAGGCATCGTCTGTTTGATGATAAGTACCGTGTGCTGCACTCTGGAGTCTGTGTTGCCTTCCTAAATGCGTTTTCCTTTTATTTTTTTTAAGTTTTTTTGTTTTGTATTTTACTTAAGATTTATTTTTTCTTGTTTTTCTATTTGTATCTTTGCAAGCTACCTTAAATCCTCTTTGAGAGGTGGTTTGTTTCTGTGTATTTCCTATGACTCCATTTTAAAATCACAAACACCTATAAGATTGTGAGTGAGTTTATAGAATACAGCAGATTTTCCTTGAAGGCTTTTGACCTCCAGCTCGCTTTCTCAATGGCAGTCTGCCAGCTTAGGCTTTACAGAAGCACATACTCCATTTAAAAAAAAACAAAAAACAAAACAACCAGTAACACACAGTTCATTCTTCTATACTTTTTTAAAAAACGTTGCTGAGATTGTTCCATATGATTAAATGCACTATAAGAGGAATCAATGGTAGCCCACCGCATTCTTTTTCATAGCTGCATAGTATTCCAACATGTGGCTACATCCCTTATTTTACTAGTCTATGAAAGAATTTGAGTCATTTCTCTCCTTTGATACCATAACAAGTGCTACAGCATCTATCCCATTGTGAGCATCTCTGGACAGGAGAAAATGGTTTTGCATTATTCTCCCTTTTGTAGAGTGGCAGCGTTCTAAGAACAAAAGACCTCAGTTATACTGATAGTGAGGGGTCCCTCTGATATGTCCCACCTCCACATCCTCCGTCCTCTGCAACAAACCCTTCTCGCATCTGGTGTCACCTGCCTTCTCACATTCTAGTGGTTCTGAGAGGTTAGGAGGATTAGCTAAGTTGTGATAAAGCTATTCAGTGGGCGACTGTGCTCCCCAGTGCACGTACTTGCTCAGAAAGAGCTCCAGGATACAGTGCTAATTGCTAAAAGCAAAATGAATGCAGACTCTGCTGAAAGCGGGGGAGGAGAGTAGATATTTAAATTTGCTTCTAGAAGCTCTGCATAAACCAGTGCTGCAGACTGGGTGGTGATGAGGGACAGACAGGGCTGAGGGAGCCGGCTCTCACTGCCACCCTTTTGATGTTTTTGAATCATGTGACTCTTATTCAGATGGATAAAGATTTTAATCATTTTCTAGTTACTGAAATTCAAAGCAAATCAAAAAGTCAAATCCAGTGGGTGTTTAAAAAGAAAATAGGAGGAAGCGGCCTTAGTTCTGCCACGCAGTGATGACTTTTATTATTATTTTTTTAAATGTTTCTCTGTCAGGTGATATTTTGGAATGCCTGTGTGTGACTTAGGTGAACCTTGGTTTGTTGGTAATGATGAGATGCCTGCTCTGACCCTGTGAAGGTATGGACAGTTTTGTACCCCGTCAGCCAGAGATCAGAATGAGGAAAAGGACGGACGCAGAGACAGGAGGTACATGGTGTCCTCAGGGACAAGGACGCTGGCAGGCAACGTAGGACACGTATAGACGCACGAATGTCTGTCTTTATGTCCCGTAGTAGCATATATTCTAGAACACCCTGTTGATGTCATGTGAGCTTGACCACGGCGCATCAGACCCGTGACCCGTCCTTGTTCTTGTCCTCGAGACCGTCGGCATATTAGGCTTCTGCTGTGCTACCGCAAAGACCCTGTCAGTAGTTGTGTAGATGCTTCCACTGGCATGGCCTTAGTGGTCATTGCTACAGAGTTGGAGGAAACGGTTTTCCAGCATGGACCAAATCCCAGGACAGAAGGAAAATCCAGCAGATGGAAACTTTATCTGCACGAGAAATGATTGCAGGGAAAGCAGAACTCTCGCTCCCTCCCCTCTCCACTTCTCTCTTCTCTTCTATCTCTTCTCTCTCTCGTGTGGAGCAGGTTTCTCCTCTGGCCTGCCCCACCCCCTCCTCTCTCTCTCCGGCCGCCCCTCTTACTGCTGCCTGCCCGTGTCTGGACCTGGCTGGGCATCCTGCCCCTTGGCTGGGGTCTCCTTGAGGGTAAAGCTCCGCTAGGGACTCCAGGTGTCTTTTTTCAACCTGGAAGGCATCCTTCCGCGCACGCGCCTGTTCCTCCCCTCCCACTTCTTACCTGAGCAGACTCCTCTGCCAGGTGGGTCTCCCCTTTGCCCAGCCTAAGCCGAGTGCCCCCCTGGGTTTCTCTTGTGCCTTGGCCCCCTTGACGGCCACGTGACCTGCTCACCTGCCTGTCCTCCCTACAGGAGGGGGCTTCCCAGGGAACCAGCTCCTCCTCCCCGCAGCACTCATGCCGTGGGCCTCAGCTGCCCACTCGTCCCGGAGCCCTGAGCTCGCGTGGGCCGAGTGCTTGAACGTCTGGCCCGAGATGAGCCGAGTGTCCCGGGCCCTGGGTTTGCAGGACTGTGTGAAAGGGCATAAAATCAGTCTGCTTCACGTGGGCAGCCTGTTGAAATGATAACATTTAGGGTCTACAGGATGAAGTATGCCACGCATATGTGACATGCATATTAATTAGTTGTTAATACATATTAGTTATTAAATTAATCACACCTATTTTCACTTAGTATGGCTACTAGGCAATTTAAAATAATTTGTCTGGCTTATACTGATGCTACTCTATAGTGCTGGACCACACTTTTCTTAGGGAGATAGAATTTCCTACAAGAATTTGAGATAATTTGCAATTTTTCTCATGGGATTTGAGCTTCTGAGAGGACAGTTTCTCACGTCGCCCCAGGAGTGCTTGTGGGCTGAGGTCCCAGGTCCGTGGCCCTTTTGAAAAGAGTCTGTGATTATTCCCCCTTGAAACTCTATGATTTGGGCATTAAACATATAGGCCCAACGTGCCTGAATTTGTCATACGATTTTGAGCTTTCCAAGTTAATTCTTGGGGATTTTAAAAATTTATTACTGTTAACAGAAAAAGGGGTAGAAATAAAGCCTCTCGGGCCTCCCTGGTGGCGCAGCGGTTGAGCGCTGGGTTGCGAAGCTGCCCGCAGCCTCTGCAGCGCCGGTTCGATCCCCGGCTGCTCCCTGGACACCGGAGGAGGGTCCCACATGGCGCGCAGACCTCTCCTGCCGCCCTCTGCTCCCCTCAGCCGTGTGCTTTGGTCCTTCTGCCTGCTCTGCTCCCCGCTCTGGCTCTGGTGAATTCTCTCACCCTCCCGCGCTTCTGATTGTACCCAGTGCTTGTATAAATAAATAAAAATAAAAAAAATAAAAGACTGATTAAGATTCCATTAAAAAAAAAAAAAGAAATAAAGCCTCTTTCTGCGCTACCTGATTTTCAGTCCTCTCACTGAAAGGTGAGCCATTGAGGCGCAGTGTATGTTTATTCGCGAGGTAACAGAACTTCTACAATGGACCGTGGCATCTGTGAGGACACTAAAAGCCACTGGATTCTGTGCCTTAAGTGGACCAATTTACGGGGGGTGAATCATACCTCACGGAGGCCCTTTTAAAGAAATGCCGTAGCCCCAAGAGCTGGTGTTGATGGGGATCCAGCCGCTGCTAACCAGGACTTGGCTGCGAAGTAAACAGGAAGAGCAGGCCCCATCCTGTGGCTCCTACCACTGAAAAACCAAGTCACACACGCACATGCACACACAACATGCACACACGCACACCGAGGCGGTGAACAGGAATCAGCGCTGGGAATGGAATTGTCATTGGGGGCGGGGGAGGGAGTATCTGCCCCAGCTCGCAGGTGAGGTCAGGAGAGGCCTTTCTGGGAGGTGACTTTCAGCCAAGGAGCCAGAGGAGGCAGTGGGGGGGAGAACAGCGCCCAGGGGCTCTGTCAGGAGAGGGGCTGGTGTGTGCAGGGCCATGAGGTCGAGGGTGGGGGTGAAAGGTGCCTGTGAGTGCCTGCAAGGGGAGGGGCACGTCGCCCCCGCTGTCTGAGTAAGGGATGGACAGGGAGGCTGGGGGTAGATTGCAGGGCACCGGGGTGAGGATTGGAGAGTTAGCAGAAGAGTGATGTGGTTTAACTTGTGCTTTTTAGAAAGATCTCTATGATTGAGTGTGAGGAATGGACTGGGGGGCCTAGTTCTAGGAGCGGTGTCCAGCTTTGAGGTAGGCAGGCATGGGGGACTGGCCACGGGAGTTGACTTCTGGCAGACCAGAATAGCCTCTGGGTTCTTCCTTTGACCTGGTTTCCTCACACCTGAACCAGAATCAGGAGGCATGGAAATCCACCTGTGGATTTCCAGGTGGAAGGGCCCGAGGTTGTGCAGGTCGCGCAGTGAAGTGTGGCCTTCTGTGGTTGCATGGGGGCCAGGAAGCTGCCTGGATTGTCACCAGGGCTTCAGTGTTATCTGCCCAAAGAGGCGGTGCGTTTGCAGGAGGTGACACTTCACCTCAGCCTGTGTTATGGGGAGGATTGCTCAGCCCAGAGAAGTGACGTCAGGAAACCCCATTTGTCCCAACTGGTACCTTTCAGCCCGTTGATTATCTTCAGGGTCAGCTGTGACTACTTTGGTCCAGTATCCCCAGTGTGCTTCCTTGTGTTAGGGTTTTGGGGTGTGGTCGAGATGGCCTCAGAGGACAGGAGCTGGCTTTATGGTCTCCCCAATGCGCAGTGTGTGGTAACAGCGACCTGTAGGCCGTGGCTCAGCTGGAACGGGAGACGCGGCCCTGTCCTGGCCTGAGTTTCATCACTGAGCTTTCCTGTTGTTTGTGCTTACAGAGAACACGACTGTCATCCCCAACCAGGTGTATCAGCCCCTGGGACCTTGTCCTTGCAATCTGACAGCCGGGGCCTGTGACGTGCGCTGCTGCTGTGACCAGGTGCGCCTCCTGGGGATGGGGTGAAAGCTGCTCACTGCCAGCGGCTCTCTCAGTGGGCGAGCTCTCGAAACTGAGGCGGCAAGCTGCCCTCTGATGCAGCGTTTTCCCGCCCAGCATTGTCAGTCTATAGTTTGTGAGAGAAAACAAAGACGTATCTTTGGGTCAAGTCATGTTGGGATGATCATGTGGACAGGATGGTCTTGCATTTATCGAGCTGTGTGTCGTTACCCCAGTCTAGTTTTGTAGTGCTGCCAGCACCCCGGCAAGAGACTTTGTTGCACATACAGCTTTCTGTCTCACTGCTGCTCCCCACTTCCCTTCAAGGAATGCTCACCCGCTGCACGAGAGCTCTTCAGGGACTCCTGTTTCACTGGTGTTTTTGGAGGTGATGTGGACCCTCCCTCTGATCAGCTCTGCTCCACTGGTCCCCCGGCACATGGAAGGCCTGGATGGTTTCCCCTGCTGTGTGTGATGTCCCCCCCGGCCAACTCACCCTTCCTGGGACACTTCTACCATGGGGCCACGTGAGTGCACCCCAACCCCAGGACCAGGGAGGCTGCGGGACCTAGAAGGTGGGGCTCATCCTTTTCAGGACCCCACCAGAGGCCCCACGAGTTAACTGTTCATTTCTAGAATCAAGGTCAAATCTAGCATTCAGTTAGTGAGTTTAGTTTGTGTTAAGTATCTGAAAGACTCATTGAAAATGTTGATTGATACTGCAAACAGTTAATAGTGGTTTTCTGGCAATTCAGAGAGTGAGCAGGGGGTCCAGACAGTGACCTGGAAAGAGGGGATTGTTGGGGGTGGGGGGCTGTCACTTTCTGTATTTCACCTTTCTATGTTGTTGAATTTTACAGTTTTCACATTATTATCATTATTGCAGTAAAATTCACATAAATAGCATGAACCACTAACCGCTTCAAAGTGAACAATTTAGTGGCATTTAGTACAGATATTATTTTTGTAATTAAAAAAGTAAAAAAAATTAAAAGGACAATTTTTTAGCAGATAAAGCCAAGCGTTTCGTGATCCTTTCTTATGAATTCACAGTTCCTCTAGCCAGCCCTCTCCCCTGGGGGTGACCGTGCCCACCGACCCAAAAGGCGCCTCCGGCTTCGGATACAAGCAAGGGGACCCCATCAGGACCAGCGAGGCACACTTGACTATCCCGCAGGTAAGATCTTTGATTTTAACCTGCTGGAGACTTCTCTTATTTTCCCCATCCTATCATCAATTTAACTCCTACAGCTCTTAAAAATTTCTCCCTAAGTCCCATGGACTTTCCGGGGACTAGACTATTTAGTCTCCAAACTTTTTTAAAAAATATTCACCCTTAGATTGATCACAGTCTTTGCTAAATCTCAGCATGAACTTGCTAAACAAAACCAGAAGATTTTCGATACATTTTTGTGGAAGTAGCTATCACTCTTCATTTCTGTTAGTGTAACAGCCAATTACTAGGAAGCTAGAAAATGCCACCTCATATAACCTTCCAGAATTTTGAAATTATTTGAAGGCTATAGCACTTTATGTGAAATCTTAATACTTTTGAAGTTCAAAATTATGAGGGGAACATATTTGTGGGATGAAAACATGGGTGGGGTGCCAAGCCCTTTCTCTTCATTATGCAGAGAAATCCATTTTTATATATTTTTTTAACTTCACAAATTTTTTAAATTTATTTTTTTAATTTTTTTTTAGTTTTATATATTTTTTACATCATTTTTCATTTTTGCACAATGTATGCATTTTCGTCTTGGTTATAATCCCCATACAATTCCCGCCCTGCCTTGTTTTAATCCTCTCCCCTCTTCCCCCACCCCCAAGTGTGTCTCTGGTTTACAGTAAAATCGGGCGGTAATGAGGGAGAGAAAAGACGTTGGACATTTTCTTTTTTTTTTTTAAAGATTTATTTTTTAATTATTTTTTATTTATTTATACAAGCACTGGGTACAGTCAGAAGCGCGGGAGGGTGAGAGAATTCACCAGAGCCAGAGCGGGGAGCAGAGCAGGCAGAAGGACCGAAGTACACTGCTGAGGGGAGCAGCGGGCGGCAGGAGAGGTCTGCGCGCCATGTGGGACCCTCCTCCGGTGGCCGGGGAGCAGCCGGGGATCGAACCGGCGCTGCAGAGGCTGCGGGCAGCTTCGCAACCCAGCGCTCAACCGCTGCGCCACCAGGGAGGCCCCGACGTTGGACATTTTCTATAAAGCAAATGGCTTAGAGTGAAGAATCATCTCTGTTTTCACTAGCGAAGCCTGTGGCGACTCCTCACCCAGTGGCTTCCAGACTCCAATGAGCAAACCCCCTGGAGAGTTTGCTGGCCTTGGCCGGTCCATCATTCGTGAGCCAGCCCTCGTCCACGCTGCCTGGCAGCTGGAGCCGGTGCTGGGGGACAGGGCAGGGCTTTCCCCAGACGCCCCTGAGTTCTTCTGTTTGGAGGCAAGGCCACAGCTAGCGGGGCTTTCCCTCCCCTCAGGTGTCCCTGGCCGGGCAGTGCGTGCAGGACGCCCCCGTGGCATTCCTTCACAACCTTGATGTCCGATGCTTTACGCCTTTGGAAGTCTACCAGGAGCGAGGCGCGATTGACGTCGTGACCAACAGCGCCGCGGGCCACACGGGAGGTGAGTTAGGAGGAGTGAAAAGGACGCAGACCTGTTCTCACCATCTCACGGGATGTCCAGGGCATCTCCTGCTGCAGCGCCATCTCAGGCAGGGGTTTTCTTTCTTTTTTAAAAATTAATTAATTTTTAAAAAGATTTATTTATTTTTTTATACAAGCACTGGGTACAGTCAGAAGCGCGGGAGGGTGAGAGAATTCACCAGAGCCAGAGCGGGGAACAGAACAGGCAGACCAACGAAACACACTGCTGAGGGGAGCAGCGGGTGGCAGAAGAGGTCTGTGCTCCATGTGGGACCCCCATCCGGTGGCTGGGGATGGAACCGGTGCTACAGAGGCTGGGGGCAGCTTCGCAACCCAGCGCTCAACCGCTGTGCCACCAGGGAGGCCCTCAGCAGGGGTTTTCTTTGGAAAAAACTTAATTCCATAGACAGCACATTGGATGTCAGTTCTTTTTTTAAAAATTGTGGTAAAATTCACATCATGTAAAAGTGACTGGTGTCACAGCTCAGTGGCTGTCTGAGCAGCCACGCTGTTGTGCAGCCACCACTGCCCTCTCCTTCTAGAACATTGAGCCCAGAAGGAAATCCCATTCCACCAAGCAATACTCCCTTCTCCCCTCCCAGCCCTGCTCACCTCCTCCCCATCTCTGGCTTGGCCTGTCAAGGCTCCTCATAGAAATGACTCCTAAGTAGAAGGCCTGGTGTAGTGTTTTTTTAAGTTTATTTATGCATGTAAGAGCTGCATCTAGGCCAGAGGTGTGGGGGGTGAGAGGATTCACCAGAAACAGAGCGGGGAGCAGAACAGGCAGACTAACTGAAATCCACTGCTGAGGGGAGCAGCAGGGAGACAGGAGAGGTCTGCTGTGCCATGTGGGTATCTCCCTGGCCAGGGATCAAACTCCTGCTGCAGTTGCTGCTGATAGCTTCATAGTGCTGAGACTTAACTCCTGTGCCACCAGGGAGGCCCCTTGCGGAGTGTTTTTGAGGTTCAGCCACCCTGTAAAAGGACCAGAACCTCCTTCCTTTATATGCCGGACACGTGCACCTTGGTGCCCAGGCACGAGCTCCTGGCAGGCAGGGGGGTCCGACGTCTGCTGTCCGGGTCCTTCTGTGAACCTTCACATGCAGGCGAGTGGGTAGCACACGTTTTCATTTCTCCTGGCCATGTACCTGGGCGTGGAGCTACTGAGTCAGGTGGCAGTTTAACTTTCCAGGAAACCACCAAATGGTTTCCTGAATTGAAAGCACTGCCCTGCACCCCTGCCTCACCGCCCTGCCCATTGGGTCTTACCCGAGCGTGAGCCTGCTGCCGTCATCACTGACCCCTGGGCTTCTGCTCCTCAGTTGCAATTAGATGCTAAGAAATGCGGTTCCCACTGTTTGGGGAGAGTTTGAGGCTGGCACACAGGGCAGGCTCCTCACGACATGTGCTTGATCAGCATGACCTGGGTCCGGCCCCTGGTCCCTGGGTCTTAATTTATGTGTCATTTTAGGTATTGTCATACCCAATGTCACCTACGAGCAAGCAGCTGACCTGGACAAGTTCATCACCAGTACAGGTATTTTATTTTTTAATTTTTAAATTTTTTCATAGAAGAGCTGGGGTGCAGGCCAGAGATGTGGGGGGTAAGAAGATTCCCCAGACACAGAGAGGGGAGCAGAACAGGCAGATCTACTGAAACATACTGCTGAGGGAGCAGTGGGGAGACAGAGCCTTCTGCGCCATGTGGGTCACCTCCCTGGCCGGGGATCGAACTGAGGCCGCAGTAGTGACAGCCTGAGACTTAACCCCTAAGCCAGCCAGGAGGTCCCCAGTACAAGTATTTTTTTTTTTTTTTTTTTGTTTTGTTTAAGATTTATTTATTCATACAAGCACTGGGTACAGTCAGAAGCGCGGGAGGGTGAGAGAATTCACCAGAGCCAGAGCAGGGAGCAGAACAGGCAGACTGACGAAATACACTGCTAAGGGGAGCAGCGGGCGGCAGGAGAGGTCTGCGCGCCATGTGGGACCCTCGCCCCGTGGCTGGGGATCGAACCGGCGCTGCTGAGGCTGCGCGCAGCTTCGCAGCCCAGTGCTCAACCGCTGCGCCACCAGAGGAGGCCCCCCAGTACAAGTATTTTAATGTCCCACGTTTATATTGTTTCGCCAGGAAAATATGTCGTTTCTTCCAAGGAACACGTGGTTCCGCACGGTTCTGGAGTGGAGTGTGTTTTCACTGAGAGTCGACAGAGGCTCACCAGTTAGATAGTCACCCCTTGCGTCGCCCTTGCTCCTGTTCCATCTCCCCTCAGGCCTCTCTGTGACCTGACCCGATGCTCGCCGCTGTCCTGGATGTTGGGGCTCCGGGTCTCTTCTCAGCCTCTGGTGCTCTGAGCCTTTTCTAAATGTTTTTCAGTGAACGAATTCCTTAGCCCCTTTCCCTTCCCGCTGCCTTCTCTTTCCTGACAACTAAGCTTTGCAGCCGCCATGCAGCAACTGAGCTCTGGAGCCTGGCAGGTCACAGATCGTGTTTTCACGCGGGGTCCTGTTTGTGTTCCTTTCCCACGTGTGAGGATTCTCGAGTTTGTTCTTTTCTTCATCGAACACCAGCAGAGGGCCTAGCACATGGCGGTGAGCCTGCCAGCAGGCCGGCTTTTCTGTCACCACTCACTGAACAAACATCAGCCCAAGTAGGAAGCCAGGCTGGGCCCTAAACCGGTGCCCGGATGCAGACAGAGAAGGAAGGACGCCCCTCGCTCAGGCCGTCGCTCTGGGCCGGAGGCAACCAGGGCTGGCTTGGAGGACCCAGGAAGGCTTCCCCAGGAAGGGGCGCCCCTGCTGCATTAGGAGCTGGAGAGGCAGGAAGAGTAGGGGTTGGGGGAAGGCCACGCAGGCGGAGAAGGTCTTTCATTTATGAAAGTGTCTGTTCATTTGCAGAAACACTTTTAAGTGTTGGATCTACCCCCAAAATTGTGAATGTGGAAGAACATTATATTTTCAGATGGAATAATAATACAATCACTGAAATAAAAGTCAGAATTATCCAGGCAGCGGTCAGTGCCCAGCAGAAAGGTAACTTTGTTGAGGGCTGTGGGGGTGCTTTCAGTTTAAAGCACTTTTTTCTCTCTTCATGATTCTTGTAATTACGTAAAACTAAGTCAGACTTGCTTCTTATGTGATTTACTCAGATTTTTTTTTTTGGTGCATGTCAAATGCAATTATAAGGGAAAGAAAAATAACACGCTGGGGACTTTTTCCCTAGTTAAATTGTGCTTCTGTTTTTATTTTATTTTTAGGAATCATGACACAGAGATTCACCGTCAGGTTTTTGAGCTACAACAGTGGTGATGAAAAGGAATCATCTGGAAATCCAGGTGTGTACGTGATTGTGCTGACATCACAGATAAGACAAAGGAGGCTAGATATTGATCGATTTTAGGGGGTGACTGCAGTGGCCTTCCAGGCCGTGCTCTTCTGTGCGCGTGACATTTTCAGAATGACGCATTGGAACAGTGGGTTGGAACACTGGGCTGGAAACACAGGGTTGGGCCTTCAACCAGCCCTTACCCTTGCTGGATTTACTGGGAGGTGGCGGCTTGGGTCTAGGTCTTCCTCGAAGCCTTGGGGAGCACGACCTGGCCCAGTCTGCAGGCTCTGCAGCTTGCTCTTCTCCCGCCTGAGAGCCCAGGCTGACTCCCGCCACCTTGTAGTTTCGCATTTATTTTAAAAATCACACAAATATCTGTGTTAAACAAAACCAAACGGAATGAAGGTGGTTTCCTCCTCTCAGCGTGGTTTTGGGGTCTCTGCCTGTGGATTCCCATGCGCTGGATCCAGCCACCTTCATGTGGTCTGATGACACAGCACTGGCTGCGTCAGAATCACTTTCTAGAAAGAGGCCAAGTCTCACTATTGTGTCTGCCAGGTTACCAGCTTGGCAAGCCCATCCGAGCTCTAAACACCAATGGAATGAAGAACGTCACGACTTTAAACCTTTGGCAACCAGGTAATCGGCTGGTGACTGGACTACCCCCTGGAAAATTGATTGGAAGTAGGACCACATTTTGAATAGAATTGAGTAATCAGTTTAAAGCAGGGTGAGGTGGGGTTGTTTCTCATGCTTCTACAGTTTAAAAAAAAAAAAAAAGTTATCGTTGTTTGCACCCGAAGCGCTGGGCATTAGTAAGAGTGGTTTAGATGTGGGCTTGGCTTGGAGTCCACAGTCCTTTGCCTGTCACCCAAGGTGGTGCTCCCTGGAGGCAGGGACACTGCGGCCATGGTGATGACCCTCCCCAGCAGAAGGCATTCAATTTCCTGCTGAGAACAAGCCCCCCACCCACAGGAAAGTCGCCTTTGCTCAGCCCAGGCAGGGTCAGAGAGCAACAATGACCCCAGTTCTAGAAAACCGGAAGTTTCACTGGCTGCCCACTGTTTCCTGGCTGTTTTTTAAGAAAAGCTTTGAATTAAATCTTGGGTTTTCTTCAGCCAAAAATACTAAGAAGGTGATCCTTTTTCTGTAGCCGGGAGGGGTCTGTGCGCAGCAGCAGCCCTCAAGCCCATGGGGTTTGGCGAGAATGCGATCTCTGGGTGCCTTTTAGAAGTTGGGGTGAATGAAAACTGCACTCAGCTCAGGTGAGTGTTTCACAGGGGAACCTTTCTGTGCCTTGAAGGGGTTTTGTTTGCCCAAAATTAACCCACCTGGTGAGCACTAAAGGCAACTTGGAGGTGAAAAATTAGTCTGAATAAAAACTTGTGCAAAAGTGATAATGAATAATGAATAAATGCAAACTCCCAGAGCAGTTTAAAGTCAATTCAAACATCACTAGGAGGGGCCAAAGCCATCCTGTCCACATTCGTGCGAATTTCTCCACTGGTTTGCTCAGGTCACCAAGTTCTAATGCTCTGAGAACCGTGGAAAGTGCGGGAGCAGGCATCATCGGTGAGGTTGACATTAAAAAAAAGAATACTTGAGCCCTGCAACCTAGTGTATCTAGAACTTTCCACTTTGTTGTCTCCGGGGCGGCATTTGGAAAGGGTTTGTGGGCACGCACTTGCATTCTTTTTCCTTTCAACCGAGGTGAACGCCACCGAATAGTCACTTTAAAGTGAACAGCTGAGCGGCACTTAGCTCAGGGTGCACGACCGCCACTTGATGCCGCTCAAATGCTGTCGTCTGCAAGGGGGACATGGTCCCCGCTCCTCCTGCCCTCAGCCTCTGGCCTGCACCATCCTGCTTCCTGTAGGTTCACTTGTTCTGGAGATCTCATGTGAATGGAGCTTGGTGTGTCTGACCCCTTCCCTCGGCTTCGTTGCTTTTTATGGCCGCGTCGTCGTCCAGTCTGGACAGGCCCCTCTGCTCATCCGTGCACCTGTCCATGGACATCAGGCTAGTTTCCACTTTTTGGCTGCTGCAAACAGTCCCGTGCTGGGTTTTGTTTGAACGCCTGTCTCCCTTCCTTTGGGGCGTGTGCCCGGGAGAGCAGCTGCAGGGGTGTCTGGGATTTTTAGGTTTAATTTTTGGGGGAGCACCCATATTATTGTCCACAGTGGCTGCAACAGCCCTGAAAAGGGGCTGTTTCTTCGCCTCTTCACCAATGCTGGTCACTTTCCATTTTTTTTTTTTTTCCGGTAATAAACATCTGACCAGGTGTGGACTCTCACTGTGGCTTTGATTGCCGCACTGTTAACACCCACAGCATTTCTAACGGATCCCAAAGTGGCACAGTTCTTTGGAGAACAGAGAAAAACGGGGGACTCTGGGAAGGGGAGAAGAACCCCAGGTGTAAGTCACCTGCAGTGACCCTGATTGCAGGTGCCAGACCTGAGCCCACGTGAGAGTCTGCCCCCCGCAGTTCACGGGCTTCGTGTCCCTGAGACGTCGCCAGAGGCCGCCAAGTTCCAGTCCTTCATCTTCACTTAGTGAGCTGACATTCTAGCTAAACACTTAGGTGCCTCTTAATGGTGGATCATTGGGTCCTTGAATTTACCTTAGTAACTCGGTGTCATCTGCCCACCTCCCAAGTTTTGTGACATCAAGGGAGACTGCCTGGAGATTACATGACAGCACCCCAAGTCCAAAGTCAAAGATGCATCTGTGGGGCCTCCCCCAGCTGCTTAGTACCGTCCACTCTGGGAAGGCCCTGGAAGAGAAGCGAGACTCCTGGCCGTTTTTTTTTTTTTTTTTTTAATAGAGGCATGTTTTATTTATTTATTTGTTTGTTTGTTTGTTTTGTTTATACATGCACTGGGTACAGTCAGAAGCGCGGGAGGGTGAGAGAATTCACCAGAGCCAGAGCGGGGAGCAGAGCAGGCAGAGGGACCGAAGTACACTGCTGAGGGGAGCAGCGGGCGGCAGGAGAGGTCTGCGCGCCATGCGGGACCCTCCTCCAGTGGCCGGAGAGCAGCTGGGGATCGAACCGGCGCAGCAGATCTGCGGGCAGCTTCGCCAACCCAGCGCTCAACTGCTGTGCCACCAGGGAGGCCCCTCCTGGCCAGTTTTTAATGCCAATTCCCCTGGCACTTTTTATTTGTATTTTTTTTTATTTATGCATACAAGAGCTGGGGTGTAGGCCAGAGGTGAGAGGGAGGTGGTAAGAGGATTCCCAGGAGACAGAGTGGGGAGCAGAAGAGGCGGATCTATGGAAATCCACTGCTGAGGGGAGCAGCAGGAGAGGGGAGACAGGAGAGGGCTGCTGCACCATGTGGGCCAGCTCCCTGGCCGGGGATCGAACTCAGGCCACAGTGGCCGGCGATAGCTTCATAGTGCTGAGACTTTAACACCTGCACCACCAGGGAGGCCTTCCCCTGGCACTTTTTTATTCAGACATCCACGACCACAACCTGGGCATTCCCCGAAAAGGGCTTTGGGAGGAGACCTGCCGGGCGCGAGCCGAGGAAAGTCTGACTCTCTCGCAGGGAGAAGGCCGCCCAGCGGCTGGAGGCGCTCGTACAAGCAACGCATGTTGCAGTGAGAGGCAACTCCGACTACACTGACCTCAGCGACGGCTGGCTGGAGATACTGCGTAAGTCAGGCCCTGTGCGCGGTTGACAGGCACCCCATGGAGGTCACCCTTCAGAGGTCACCCCTCAGAGGTCAGCTCCTGGGGCAAGGGCGAGTCACCTCTTATATCTGCCGGTGTTGTTTTCTAAGAGGAAATCCCCATGAGGTCCACATCGCCCGATTGTCTTACAAGCTGATAATCTTTGTCAAAAGGGCGTCTGAAGGAGGTTTGGAGATGGTCAGAGGGTTTTGTGGGCACGGCTATTTTTGGTTGCGAGGAATGTGGGCGTTTAAGAATGGACTTTGTTATCTATGAAAGCAATTTTGTGAACTTACAAGAAAACGAGGGATGGAAAACATGCTGCTCAGTGAGAGAAGCGAGTCAGGCAGGACCACACAGCGGGTGGGCGGTGTCTGGGCAGGCAGGGCTGGGGGACACGCAGGCTGCGGCAGCCGGGGACTGGGCAGTGGGAGGACTCGAGGGGTGGCTGGTGGTGAGAATGGGCTTCCTTGTGGGTGAAAATGTTCTAAAATGAATCAGGTGGTGGTCGCACAACTACGTGAATGTACTAAAAACCACTGAATTGTCACTTTAAAAGGGCAGATTGCCTGGCATGTGAATTTTACCTCAGTAAAGCTGAAAGGTGAGAAGGAAATGAAGGTGCAGAGAGCTCATTCCGGCTGGGGTCACTGAGGCCTGTCAGCAGGCTGGTGGTCAGCGCCTTTGGTCAGAGGCCTTTGCAGTATTGGGTTGGCAGAGGGAGGGAGTGTGCGGAGGAGAAGACAGGCCTGTGGCCTGGGAAGCCCAGCGAGCCAGACTCCTTGGCCCCTACCTTCCCCCGCCCCCCATGCAGAGGTGCTGGTGCGGCAGGGTCCCAGCCTCCTCGCCCTCCTCCCAGCTGCTAAGCTGCTGACACCCTTCCAGTTTCTTGGGGAGTCGCGACCGTGTCTTCATGGAACAGAAAAAGCTGCTTCTATCTCTCCCTTTCACGCAGTTGCCTTTTGAGGCCAGAAGGAGCTGAGCAACTGCAGCATGTGCTTTCCGAAGCCCTGTCCCTGCCACCGTGGTGCCCTCACTTCCACCCGCCTGGTGGGGCAGCAGCGGTCAGCCGGGTCCTGCCCTGCCTTCCTTGTACCTACGGTCCTCCTCCTCAGCAGGCCGGAGCTACTGGAAGGCCCTTCAGGACCCAGGCCTGACTCTCCCGCCCCTGTGGTTAGGGTCTGGTCTCCTTCCCTCTGGCTGCCGAGGGTCATAAAACAGGCCTGTGGGCCCTCAGTGCCGGGATGGACCAGCCTCTGACTCAGAGGGGGTCCTCTTGCCTGCGGAGCCCCAGGTGGCGATTTGCCAGTCCAGACAGTGCTCCGTCCCTTGGCCAGATTCTAGTCTCATTTGCAAACAGAACCCGGGGCCTGGGGCTGCCAGCCCGGGCTTTGCCATCAAGGCCAGCCGGATGGGCTGTGGAGCGCCCGAGGGATGGAGGGGAGAGTCGGGCAAAGCCCCTGAGGAGTCAGAAACACGGACGGGTCCAGCCAGCGAGCGCAGCAGTTAGGCAAGAACTCAGAGGAGACGGCGTGTTGCCGCCTTCAGGGCCGGAGCAGCAACGCCTGCAACACGGCTGAGCCCCAGCCAGCCCCAGCCTGGTTCTCGGACAGAAGAAAGGTGGTTGTGGAGCAGCATCCCCGACCTGCAGGCCTGAGGGAATGAGGATCCCCGACCCCCCACCCCCGCCGCGAGTTTTCAAGATGAATGAAAACTAATTTTTGTTTCACTGTATCCCTGTGACATGCCGGGGAATCGCTTTGCCAGCCGACCCTCTGCGTCTCTCCAGCCTCTGGCTGCGCGGCCTGGCCTGCGTGTGGCCTGGGGCCTGCGCGCGTTTTACCGCAGCAGTTTCTGTTTCTGAGAGAGCAGCAGGTGGACTTCAGCGAGGAGCAGCTTGGGGACCAGATCATGGTTTAGGGTTCTAGGACGCGGGTCAGGGCGTTTAGAGCCAGCAGCGCACATTTAACACAGAGGGAAGCTTCCTGGACGCGGGCGCCACCAGGACTCGCGCCCCGGCGCGTCCTGTCTGGTGGCCTCTCCCTCTGGGTGGTGTCCTGCATTCCAGGGAAGCGGTTACTGTGTCTTCTCCCCACAATACTTCACTCTGCGACAGGTGCAGAGGCCCCTGACCCGGGTGCAGGCCCGGCTGCTGGCGGCCCGAACGGCGTCTGCCCGGACATCCCCACTCAGCTGACCGTCCGCATCCTCTTCTCAGACACGGGTGCCGTGGAGGGGGTTCCTCAGCAGGAGATCCTGGGCGTGGAGACCAGGTAGGACCCATCCTGCGAGGGACGCTGCGCGTGCTTGCAGGGCCTCCGTAGCTGCGCATGTTAAGCCTGAGAATGTGGCAGGCAGTGTGCTTGGGGGCCCCCAGTGGTTGGTCAGTGGAGCTTTGGGGAGCTGTTTAAGGCTCCCCTCTCCCGTCCCGTCCCCCGTGGGAGACAGGGATCCTGGGTGATTACTTCACCTCTGCCAAGCTGTGCTGTCCTCTGTCAGACAGTGCCAGTGCCGTGATGTGCCAGGCTGCTCTCGACGGTAATTGCCGGGCCCTAATTACACTGATGTACGCAAAAGGGCGCTTCACAGGCCCAGGTTCTGAAAAGGTCACGTGCCACCAGCTCATGCTTCCCTGAGGCCAGGGGTCTTCCCCCATCTCTTCACTCCTCCTTACTTTGGGTGGACTTCATTCTGGGGGGATTTCCCCAAGAAGTGGAAAGAAACATCCAGCAACTCCAGATATGTTGCAGGAGGCAGGGGGGCGCCTCTTTCCCACCTTTCTTAAAAATGTCTAGAAAGGGGTCTCCCTGATGGCCTAGAGGTTGGGTCTCAGGCTGTTACTGCTGAGGCCTGAGTTCGATCCCCAGCCAGGGAGCTGACCCACATGGCGCAGCAGAACTCCCGTCTTCCCGCTGCTCCCCTCAGCAGTGGATTTCGCTCAGTCTGCCTGTTCTGCTCCCCGCTCGGTCTCTGGTGAATCCTCTCATGCCCAGTGCCTGTGGCCTGTACCCCAGCTCTTCTATACAAAAATTAAAAAAATTTTAAAAAATGCCTGGACAGACTTTTACTGGTTCTGTTTGGTTTACGTGCTCCTTTCTGAACCAGCAGCTGTGGCCAGGGCGGTAGGCAGCTCTGATTGCCTAGATCCAATGATGGACAGGCCCCCAGATTCAGGTTGGCCCCCCAGTTGAGAGCGGGAAGGGGTGGTTTCCCAAGGTAAAGTTCGGATGCAGTTTCCAGAAGAAAGATGGCAGAAATAATACCACACGCTCCTTGTAGGGCTGTTTTGAGAATTACATGGGGCGAGTTCGCAGGGCATATGTCAGGCGCTTGGCGCTGTGCCCAGGACGTGACAGGCCCTCAAAAATGGTTGGCTGCTGCTGTTGGTTACATGGTGGTGAAACAAATGATCTTCTCCCCCAGGTTCTCCTTGGTGAGCTGGCAGTTCCAGTGTGGGCTCACCTGTGAGGATACGGCCGACTTCGTCCCGCTCAGTGCCTCCGTCCAGTTCATCCAGATACCAGCACGGTTACCCCGTCCACTTACTAGGTAACCCGGCTGTGACCTGGGTGACATTATTAGGAAGAGGAAAAACATATATTTGGAGATAAGAAGTTTCTCCCCGCCCCTTTAAAAATAATCACATTTACTCTACGGAGCAGGTTCAGTTCACAGCATGTCCAGGCACCCGCCAGGGACCCCTGCCAGGCCCCAGGGAGCAGAGCACGGTCCAGGCCGTGGCGTCCAGGGCTGGTTTATTTCCTGCGGAGGCTCGGCTTCTGCTGAGCTCTCTTGCATAGTCTGGATGCTTCTCACTGGCCCGGGAGCACACGCTCTTTCACAGACACCAAGAAAATACTCCTCTGTGAATTTCTTGAACTCTCCAGCCAGTGATTTAACACAGAAATGTTTTGCACTGACTTGAACTTCACGCTTGGACTGTGGATAGATGTTTCTTTCTTGAGTCAAGTTCAGAAGCTTCTTATCAGCAGCGCGCTGGGTGGTGATCTCCCACGATGTTTTATAGGTTCCAGATCAACTTCACGGAGTACGACTGTAACAGAAATGAGGTGTGCTGGCCGCAACTTCTCTATCCACTGACCCGCGATTACCAAGGTAGGGTGAAGTGGGCTTCCGAACCGGTTATCATTATGCTGTAGCGGCTAAAGAGGCTGAAGAACTTTTTTTTAAAGATTTATTTATTTATGCATACAAGAACTGGGGTACAGGCCAGAGGCTGCGGAGGGGGAGAGGATTCACCAGAGTGGGGAGCAGAACAGGCAGAGTCACTGAAATCCACTGCTGAGGGGAGCACCGGGGAGACAGGAGAGGTCTGCTGGGCCGTGTGGGTAGCTCCCTAGCTGGGGATCGAACTTGTGTTGCAGTGGCTGTGGATGCTTCATAGTATTGTCTTTAACCCTGTGCCACCAGGGAGGCCCAGCGACTGAAGAACTTTGAAAGTATAATTGTATAATTATAATTATTGAAAACTTTAAACAGTGAACTTTGAACAAGCGGAAATTGTGGCTAGTGTAGCCACTTAGAAATGCCACTGTCAATGTTCTAGCTCATTTCTACCTAAATATTGACCAACAAAGTCACGACAATTACGTGTCTTGCAGGGGAGCCTTATCCTCAGTGCGTCGCCAAAGGCTCACTCTTGGCGTCCTTCTTCATCTTAGCCGTGCTCCTCAGTCACCCCTGGACCAGAGTGTGCAAGGCTTGGAATCCAGCTGCCCTTTGACCCCTCCAGGCCGTGCACTGGACCTCAGGGCTCCATTGCAGGCCGACGTGCCTCTTGGTAAAACTGTAATAAATGAAATGCTTTATTTCTGTAGAAAATGTCCTTTAGTGCTCTGTGGATTTAAATCACATCTCCAGACACTGGAGCCATGTGGGGGTGGGGTGGGGTGAGCACGCTCTTTCCTGTGCAGGTGCCACACACGGTCCGGAGGGTCACCCATAAATAAGCACAATGAGAAACTTCACCCCAAATCCCTGGCACAGGCGTTTTGGCCCACAGATGTCATTTGCACCATAGAGAGTCCATCTTTTCCTTAACTTTTTAATATATTTCTGTCAAATGGGTTCAATTCCAGTGTTCCAGAGAAAGGATGGAAAAATGCATTAAAGCCTGAAAAAATGTCTGTAGTATATAAGGCAGCTGCGGGGGGAGATGCGGCGATGGGGCAGGAAACTAATACAGGGGGAAAAGGCGACACCCGGAGTGAAGGAGCCCATGAAAACCACGGACCTCGCACTAGCGGGCAGACGCCTTCCGCTTCGTCTTGGGTTTCCAGACAGACATGAGCAGCTGCCGGTGTCACAAAGGATGGAAAAGCAGAAATGAGCTGGTTTGCAGTGAAGCTGGTTTTTCCCAGTTGGGTCCCGGAGGACGCGGCGCTGTGGCTCCTGCGGGGGCAGAGCACCGGGGAGGGGAAGGGGGGCGCTGCCTGCACCCCAGCCGTCGGGCCTCAGAGCCTCACCGGCCTGACAGATCAGGTTCCAGAGGGGCCGTGCGCCGCCTGGTCTTGGAGAGTGGCCGAGTGACCCTTCCCGCCACCAGGCCCGCCCGGGGCGAGATCTGGGAACCCGGCGCCCGGCCTCGCCCACGGGAAGCACACGGACCCCCGCCCCCCGCTGCGCCCCGCGGGGACCGAGACCCCCTCCCGTTCCGGCTCCGTGCCCCGCGGGGCCTGTGGAGCCGGGGCGGCCCCTGAGGAATCCGCTCGGCCTGTGGCGGCGACACTCGCCGTGGACAATGGCGGGTGGCCCGGCCCGACGCCCGGGCCGGCGGGTTCCCTCTGCGCTCGGAGGGGGAGACCCGCTGCGGCGGGGGGGCGGCTGGGGGTGCAGCCTGGCCGGGTCCGCACGTTCGCGGGCGTGTGAGGGACCCGACGGCGGCCGCCGAGACTGTCGGGGGGGGGGGGGCGGCCGGGCCCGGCGCGGGGGGGGGGCGGGGGCGGCCGGGGCCGCGGAGCCCGGGCAGGCCGTGGGGAGCGGGGCCGAGGGGCTCGGGTTTTATTCGCGGGCGGGGGGCGCGGGGGCGCGGGGCTCTCACTGGGCTCGCACCCACTTTCGCGCTTTGCGGGGCATCGCCGCGGCTGCTGGGCCGGAGCGGGCAGGACCGGTCCCGGGCGGGCGGAACCGCAGGAGCCAGGGGATCCCCGCGGCCGAGCAGGAGGGGTCCGCGGGGGCCGACGGAGCGGGGGCCGCGCCCCTCCTCACTGGCCGCGCGGACGGTGCGCCCCAGTCGGGGGGCCGGGGCGGCGCCGGTTGGCCCCGCCTCTCCGCCAGGTGTGCGCCGGTTGGCCCCGCCCCTCCGCCGGGCGTGCGCCGGTTGGCCCTGCCTCGCCCCGCCTCCCCGCCGGGCGTGCGCCGATTTGCCCCGCCCCCGCCCCGCCTCTCCGCCGGGTATGCGCCGGTCGGCTCCCCCGCCCCGCCTCTCCGCCGGGTATGCGCCGGTTGGCCCCCCGCCCCGCCCCGCCCCGCCCCTCCGCCGGGCGTGCGCCGGTCAGCCCCCCGCCCCGCCTCTCGCCGGGTATGCGCCGGTCGGCCCCCCCCCGCCCCGCCTCTCCGCCGGGTATGCGCCGGTTGGCCCCGCCGCCGCGCCGGCACCCCGGGCGCCCATTGGCCGGCCGGCGGGGGCGGGACCGGAACCGGCGGGGGGCGGGGCCTCGCGGCGGCGGCGGCGCAGCGCGGCCGCGGTGGCAGGTCGGGCGGCCCCGGGGCCGCAGCAGCAGCCGAGCCCGCGCCGCCCCGCCTGAGCGCGCCCCGAGCCGCCGCCGCCGTCGGGCGCGGCCGGGCCGGGGCGGCGCGCCATGGGGTCGCTGTTCCGGAGCGAGCCCCTGAGCCTGGCGCAGCTCTTCCTGCAGGCGGGCGCGGCCTACGAGTGCCTCGGCGCGCTGGGCGAGCGCGGCCTGGTGCAGTTCCGGGACGTGAGTGCGCGGGCGGGGGCGCGGGGCGGGGGCGGGCGCGGGGCGCGGGGCGGGCGGGGGCGCGGGGCGGGGGCGGGCGCGGGGCGCGGGGCGGGCGCGGGGCGCGGGGCGGGCGGGGCGCGGGGCGGGCGAGGCGGGGGCGCGGGCCCGGGGGCGGGGCGGGCGGGGGGCGCGGGGCGGGCGAGGCGCGGGCGCGGGCCCGGGGCGGGGGGGGCGGGGCGCCGGACCCGGCCTGCTGGGGCGCCCGCGGCGCGCGTCCCCCGCGGGCGCCCCTTCCCCTGCCGCCCGCCCGCCCCGCCCTCCCCGCCCGCCCGCTGGAGCCGCCGGAGCCGGAGCCGGAGGTCGGCGGGGCCGGGGCGGGCGGCGCCCCTGCGCGGCGCGGGTCAGCGCCCAGCCCAGCCCAGCCCGCCCCGGCGCCCGCCGACCCCGCGCTCCTCGGGCGCGGCCGGCGCGGGTCTCCGCCCCCGGGGCCGTCCGGGGAGAGGGAGGCCGGGCGGCTCGGCCCGCGGGGCCCCGGGGCGCCGCGCGTCGGGCTGGTGGCGGCGCCTCCCCGGCGGGAAAACGGGCGCGCGGCCCGGGGCGACCGCCCGTCAGCCCGGGAGGGGCCGCGGGGCCGCCGTGTTTGTGCCGTTGCCGCGGAGACGCGCCGCTTCCCGGGGGTGCCCGCGGCGCCGGGCCGGGGGTGGGGGGGGCCCGCGGGGGTCGTCCCCGTCGCCCCGCTTCAAGCGTGGAGTGTGCCGAGCAGACGTGAAATTCCAGTTTGTTTTAAAGATTCTGTTTTTTAAGATTTATTTATTTGTGCGCGCGAGAGCTGGGGTGCAGGCCGGAGTTGGGGGGGTGAGAGGATTCACGGGGCCAGAGCGGGAGCAGGACAGGCAGATGGACTGAAACCCGCTGCCGGGGCGCCGCGGGCGGCAGGGGGGTCGGCGCGCCGTGTGGGCCGCTCCCTGGCCGGCCGGGATCGAACTCGCGCTGCGGAGGCTGCGGCCGGCTCCCTAGCGCGGTGCTTCACCCCGTGCGCCGCCAGCGAGGCCCAGACTTCCAGTGTGTATCTTTCTTCTGGTGCTTTTAAAAAAGTTCAAAAAAACTGAGCAATATGAAAGTCACATAAGCCCGTTGTAGGGAATTTGGGAAACACCAGCGTCAGCTAATAGCGTTCGTCGCCCCAAGGCCCAGAAGTGGACACTTGCCTGCTTGGCGTTAGATCAACGTTTTTCTTGTGTTTTAAAACATACATGTAGATGCATTTTTATATAATGGGAACCATATTGAAAAGATCTTTGTTTACATGCAGGCCGTGACTGATTTTCTCACTTTATTAAGTGTTCTATAATTCATTTAAATGTCCCAAGCTTTTATCTTCTAGAAGGTCAGTACGGGGAAGAGTGTGTGGCAGGGGTGAGGTCCTGTGTGCTCATAATGTAAGCTTGTGGCTGATCCTTTCATCCCTCCACGCCCCCTCTCCCCTCCTGGACAGTCATTTTGAAGCAAAGCCAAATGTATGATTTCACTCATAAATATTTCAGTAAGTATCCTGAAAGGTAGCAGCCCTTAGACATCGTAACCGCAATACTCTTATCAGACCTAAGACTTTTAATGCTGGCCTCCTAATGTAACCAGACACCTAGTCATTTTAAAGCATGTTTCTTCTAGTAAATGTTCAGTATTTGGTTATAGGAACCACACTTTCTACACAGCTTTATGATGCGTGTCATAAAATCCACCCATTTCAAGTGGACGGTTCCCTGATGTTTAGAAAGTTTGCCTACTTGGGCTTCCATGGCCACACTACGGATCTGGCATGTTGCCCAGATCAGATCCCTGGTGTGGTTCCTCCCCATTCCTGCCTGCCCCCCTCCCGCCCCCCGTGATCGGGAATCCACTTTCTGCCTCTAGGTTTGCCTTTCCTGGGCATGCCATAGAAACAGGACCCTGAATACATCCATTAGCACCATGTTCTGAGAATCATTCATGTTGTATCAGAAGTTCGCTGCTTTTTTATTGCTGAATGGTATTCCACAGCACGGATAGAGACTATAACTTTTTAATCAATTCTCTATTGCTAATCATTTTTTTGTCTCTCTGAGGTTGACGTTCTTCTAGATGATTTTGTGTCCGTATCCATAGTTATTTTTTAAGTTAAAATCCTTTGTGGGGGGCCTCCCCTGGTGGCGCAGTGGTTGAGCACTGGATTGTGCATGCAGCTGCCCGCAGCCTCTGCAGCGCCAGTTCGATCCCCGGCCGCCAGGCAAGGGTCCCACAAGGCGCGCAGACCTCTCCTGCCGCCCGCTGCTCCCCTCAGCAGTGTCCTTCGGTCCTTCTGCCTGCTCTGCTCCCCGCTCTGGCTCTGGTGAATTCTCTCACCCTCCCGCGCTTCTGACTGTACCCAATGCTTGTATAAATAAATAAATAAATCTTAAAAAAAAAAAAGTTAAAAAAAAATCCTTTGTGGGGTATTGTTAGACCAAAGAGTATTCTGCAGGCTTTTCTCTTAACAGTTGCTAAAATGTTGTGTCAGTATATTCCTGTTAAGTAGTAGGTGGGGGTGGCCTGTCACCAAATCTTATTAATAATGTTTAGTTTTAAAAAAATCAAATTTATTTTTAAATTTCAGAAAAACCAAAGCCAAATTTTTCTTCTTTTTTTTCCCCTAGCTTAACCAGAATGTAAGTACTTTCCAAAGAAAATTTGTGGGAGAGGTGAAGCGATGTGAAGAATTAGAGCGAATATTGGGTAAGTTTATTTTGGAAACTTAAATATTTTTACATAGGCAAATCCTATTCACTTTAGAAAAAATTTTAAAAAATAGGCAAATGGAAAGGGGAAAAGAAAATTGTGTACTTTAATCATGCAGAGGTAATTACTGTTACATTGATTCTATTATTTCTCTCTGTTTTCTACTATTCATCTATAAAAGTAAGGATTTACGTGCACAGTGGAAGAGGCTATTTTTTTCTACAGCTTTGCTTCTTACTTGATAATAAGTACTTAACATGTTTTCATGGCAGTAACCACAGATTGACCTATCAATTTTAATGACTGCATAGTATTTCATTCTATTAACATGCTAGAGTTTATTATTTAAGAACAGCATATACATGTTACCGTATTGGAATTATATCAGGTAACACAGGGTGGTAGACAGTGGTGCATAGATTGGTTGATAAGAATTTCCTTTTTCTTAGGGCTTTGTTTTTGAAGGTATGAGATTAATGTTCTCTGACTGTGAACCTTTAGAATTAAGTAGCGCAAGGCTACTTCCTTTATCTGTAAAATCTTTAATATTTTAACCTGAAATAGTCATTGTCAACTCAGGCCTTGACGTTCTGACTGAGATGGGGTGGGGGTGGTGTGATATCAGACAGTCGATTGGATACAAACTTCATTTTCAGGAGGATGAAGAGGAGAGAAAACCGGTGGGCGAACTGGGGAAGAGAGGAGAATGTGGCTGTTGGAGTGTTTAATGGTGAACGATTATTGTGGATTTTAGATTTTTGAATTGAGTGTTTAAGATGGAAAAAACCTTTTAGTCATCTGAAATCTGTCCCTTTTCATATTGTTTGAGGTCCTAGTTGTTCGCGTGGCTCAGACGGTAGAGTGAGGTGACACTCCTGCCCTTGCAAATGCTGTGAGTCATGTGGGCCGGGCCGTGTGCCTGGAATGAGGATTTTAAGAGCAGAGCAAGAATGATAAGGCGTTAGCCTTGTCCAGGACTTCCTGTAGCTCAAGCTCTTTCAAAAAGAATGTAGATTTAAAGAAAAAGGAACTCTCAGATAAACTCAGGTGTTAATAGGTTAAAAGAATTGGCGTCTAGTTCCAGAAACCTCTTAAACCCAGTGATTCCTTTGCTGTCTAGTGGGTGCGACACCCTCGCTTTTCTTTTTCCTTCAATCTTAATAAAATAACTAGTAATACTTCTCTGGGAATTGTGACTTTTGTCCTAAGGAAAAGGAGCTTTCATGGAATTGAAAATATAAATGAAAGAGAGCAAATTGATTTTGACTTGTTTGCTGTTAGTATCACAGATCTAGCTTTTAGCTTGAGCAGGGGTGCGTTCGTGCAAGTCTAAAGCTTAGGGCTGCCTGGGCACCCTGGCTCCCCCATGTGTCTCCGGGCGCCTTTGCTGATGGGGGTTGTGATTTTCCACGAGGTAGTGTTTGCTCCTCTGGGCGCGGGCAGGGAGTTCACTCTCGAGGGCACGGTTATCGCCCGTCAGTGGGGCATTTCCAGGTGTGTCCTGCCTGAGACTCCTGAGTTCTTTAGAACTGAAGGAAATTTGGGGGCTTCCAGAGCTTGGTCTGGAATCGTGTTCCTTTTGGCCTCGGGCACGGTGTCCTCTTGCTGGTCCCGGGAAACAAGGCTGCAGGAGGCGGCCTGTGAACCCAGGGAACAAGCGGGCTCTGTGCGTCCAGGCTTAGTTTTCATATGGCCGGGGACAGGTCGGGATGCAGCATGTTTTGCTGAAATGTTTTGGAGTAAGTTTCTGAGTCCATTTTGTTTCACCTTTTTTTTTTTTTTTTTTTTTTTTTTTAAGATTTATTTATTTATATAAGAACCAGGGTACAGGCCAGATGCGCGGGAGGGTGAGAGGATTCACCAGAGACAGAGCGGGGAACAGAACAGGCAGACTGACTGAAATACACTGCTGAGGGGAGCAGCGGGCGTGGCAGGAGAGGTCTGCTGCACCATGTGGGTCCCTTGCCGGCTGGCTAGGATCAAACCTGTGCTGCAGAGGCTGTGGACAGCTTCACAGCGCCGCGCTCAACCTCCTGCGCCACCAGGGGAGGCCCCATTTTGTTTCACTTTTATTTTCACAGCGTATTTGGTGCAGGAGATTCGGAGAGCCGACATCCCCCTTCCGGAGGGAGAGGCCAGTCCTCCTGCGCCGCCTCTTAAGCAAGTCCTAGAAATGCAGGTAACTGGCAGCTGTTGGGGCGCTAGTCGGGAGGCTGCTTCCTGACTTTACCTCATCCCCTTTTCTCTGCCTTTTTTCTCAAACCCGTAGAATGAAAACTAAAGGACGGTGTAGGGTTAACACTCAGCATTTAACGCTGCTGATAAACATTGACTGTAATTTGGTTTTGACTTTAGAAGCTAGTTCTACAGTCTTTAGAAGCTAGTCGGTGATAGACTGTTCCAGGTGGGCAGGAGAGTTCAGTGTCTGGGGTGCTGGGGAGTCAGTGTTCACCCGTGAGAATACTGCGGGTCTCGCTCGTCAGCATCCCCCCATGAATCGTCCCCTGGGGCTCAGCCTGACAGCTCGTCTGACAGTTCATCACACTGGGGCCAGACTCGAGCTCCTTCTGTTGACGCCTGTTTTGCTTACCTGGGAGGAAGTCATTTGACATCTGTCTGCCAGTGGACTTAGCACGAGACAGCAGGATGAGTAGAGAGCCGTCAGCTGGCTTGGCCTGTTTGCTGGGCAGGTCGTGTGGTAACTAGAAGTACCGCAGTTACTGACCTCTTAGAGATTTAGGCGGGGCATAAGCAGTGAATGTAGATTTGTTTGACTATGAGTTTTTATTGAGTCAATAATTTGTTTCACAGATTTTTGCTTCTGTTGTTTTAATATTTCAGAATTGTTAAGAATGCTTAGTATGTAACTAATCACTAAGGAAGATTTGTTTGCTTTAACTTTTATTCCCAGTTGATTGTGTAAGTGCAGCTGCGTAGCAGCTTTGAAGTTAGAGATTAGGAATTTATATGTCCAGAAAAAAAAAGTCATCTGAACATTTTCCTGTTGCAAATAAAAGGAAACGTGGACTTGAAAGAGGAAGACATTTGGAGGCAGGATAATGAATGAGCAGAGTTAAAAGCGATAATGGAACCTGGGATTTGAGAATGGGCTCAGTCTGAGGGTACATGACTCCATCCCCGGGGGCTTTTGTCAAACACGCCACGGCCTGAGTTCACACGCAGCTGTCATCATGGGCCTTGAAAACCTTTGTGGGTTTTCACATCCTTGTCAAGCTACCAGTTCAGGCTTTTTGAAACCTCCCCTGGCCTTGGCGTGCTGTGAAGAGGTCACTAGAACCACACGTGGAGCTCATCCAGCCGCTGTCCCTGCCCTTGTGTTTAGGAGCAATTACAGAAGCTCGAGGTTGAACTGAGAGAAGTGACCAAGAACAAGGAGAAGCTGAGGAAAAACTTGCTGGAGCTGATTGAGTACACGCACATGCTGAGGGTGACCAAGACCTTTGTTCGACGCAACGTGGAGGTACCGTCCTGGCCCGGGCAGCCTGTGGCTTTGTGAGAGCCTCCTGCCCGCCCGTTCCCCTGAATGTGTTTCCCTTGAAAAGAGACACATTCTGAGCTTAGCTTTGTTTTATGTGACATTAAAAGCCATAAGCCTTTTTTGTGCTGGTTGGTTTCAGCAACACCGATGCTTCCTACTTGTAAAAATGCTCTAGTTTGTAGAGGAAAAAATCTTTTAATGTTCATGAGAAAAAAACTCAACAGGGGAAATTAAATTCTAAAATTTAGGGTTTTCCCCCCCCAAATTGCTGAGAATAAAGGAAGTAAGAAAACCAATAACCTATAATTTATAAGAACACAGGTAGCCTGGGCAGTCGCGCTGTGCCCAGCCGAGTCTGCAGGGAGACGTCCATCCCTCCCGGGCTCACTTCTGCTTCTTGCAGGGAGGCCGCTGACAAAGCGACCCCTCAGCCTAAGGTGTGACATACAGCAGAGCTGTGCTTTTTGGCAAATGTCTTCAAGTGGTTTACAAATAAGGGATGGGCGGTGATCTCTGCGCGGCCAGAGCCGAGCCTCATGCTGAGTTTCCCTGGGTCCCCACCTCATTTGGAAACTTGACGTGGGAACTAAAGTCTGGCTCTGAGAGGGACACATCTGTTTTTCTGTGTCTTTGCAGTTTGAACCCACATACGAAGAATTCCCTCCCTTAGAGAATGAGTCTTTATTGGACTACAGCTGTATGCAGAGGCTGGGGGCCAAACTGGGGTAGGTGACAACCGGGCCGTCGTATCCTAGGGCCCATCCCGACAGAGAGTGGTGTGGTGCCGGGGTGCACAGCACCGTGGGGAAGCCTGGTAGTGACTGGAAGAAAGAGTATTTAAGTGGACGCTGTAGCCTGCGCTTGTTGAATTCCTCAGCCGTGTTCATCTTTTACCTGATGATGACGGCCACGTCTTCTGGTGGAATGAACTGGGAAAAACGATTCTTTATGTCATTCATGTCACTCCAAGAAGCCTAAAATAATTGCTCGTGGAAGCATCAAGTCCTCCTGTTTCGTTTGGTTGAAACAGGACTGAGCTGAGTTGGTTCATCTAGTCACCATATTTTAAGCGTCTCTGCTGTTACTCTTCCGTTGACTGAACCAGCGGTGCCGTGTCTCCTCGGACGCTCTGTGCCGTCCCTTCCCAGGAGGAGCTGCGTGACCTGAGGTGTGAGGATGGATTCCTCCCGAGGCGTTTCTCTTCACATTTATCAGATACCGGCCTGGGGGTCATCTTATGTTAATTTTCCTGTTTGGGTTTTTTTTTTTTTTTTTTTTTAATTTGGTTAGTTGGTCTTATATGTTTTTTTTTAAAGATTTATTTATTTATACATGCACTGGGTACAGTCAGAAGCAAAGGAGGGTGAGAGAATTCGCCAGAGCCAGAGCGGGGAGCAGAGCAGGCAGAAGGACCGAGGTACACTGCTGAGGGGAGCAGCGGGTGGCAGGAGAGGTCGGCGCACCATGCGGGACCCTCCTCTGGTGGCCGGGGAGCAGCCGGGGATCGAACCAGCGCTGCAGAGGCTGCGGGCAGCTTCGCAACCCAGCGCTCAACTGCTACGCCACTGGGGAGGCCCTTTATATGTTTTCTTTGTTGCATAAGTAGTATGAATTTAAGCCCCCAAACTGGGTGAATTCTAACCTGTGGTTAGAAACTCTCAAGAAATTCTTTCCCATTCTCCCCGGACCTGAAACTGAAGAAGTTACTAGCAAGGTCTGTTTTTCCTGGCTCCTCCTTTCCTGAAAGATGTAGCCCTTCTGACGGGGTGGGGAGCCGGGCATCCTGCCTTGAGGGGTAGAGGAGCTGGTGCCCTCTTCCTCGGGCAGACCCAGGGCCGCTCCCACTTGCAGCCGGCCCCAGAGCTCAGGGATCACGTCAGGGTCGGCTGCTGAGTTCTGCTTAATCTTTAGTCTGTGGAGGTCCTTTTAATTACAGGCTCAGCTATGCATGTAAAAGGACATTTCAGAAATATTTTATCTGCCTTCTGGATGTTTAGCAGTTAGAGGGCTCTTGGGAGCGCCTCATTTTCTCAGAAATGAGCCTCCATTTCCTTTTAGCGCCGCCTCAGGTGCCCTGTGGACGAGGGCAGGGCAGTGACCTCTGTGACCGCAGCTCGGGCGTGCTTGTCTCCTAGGTTTGTGTCTGGCCTGATTCACCAAGGAAAAGTGGAAGCATTTGAGAAAATGCTGTGGCGGGTGTGCAAAGGGTACACCATCGTGACCTATGCAGAGCTGGACGAGCCCCTCGAAGACCCTGAAACTGTGAGTGGCTGACCCGCCCCGTTGGGGGCGCAGCCTTGAGTTCCTCAGATGGCTGGGGGGGGGTGGACCCTAAAATCCAGGACTTTTCCTGCCTGGTGGCAGCAGGACCAAGGCAGCTCGTGCAGACCTCTTGGACCACAGTCTCAGGGCCGCCCCAGTCTGTCGGTGGCCCCACCCCGGTGCTGCAGAGAGGCCCGGCGCAGCAGCTCGCTTCTGGGGTTGTCTGTCTCGGCTTCAGTCTCCTTTCTTCTAGGACAGTTTCTCCATCTTCCCTGACTTCATGACCTTGACACTTAAAAATGACTGACTGACTGGTGTCGTGGGGCATGTCCCTCGTTGGGGTCTGTTTGCTGAGGATCCCTTCAGGCCAGCTTATGGGAGGCACAGACTTGTCACGTGTCCTGTCAGGGCGCAGGGCTCGCTCTGTCCTGCTCCGTCTGGCGTGCTCAGACCCCTGGGCCAAGGTCGTGACAAGGGCTTCTCCGCTGCCGAGTGCCTCCTGCCCCTTTGTCATGAGCACATGTTTGGGGGAAGCACTTTGGAGCTGTGAGGAGCGCGTTCCTCGGCCGGTGGTCATCGCATTGTTGAAGTGACAGTACACGCTCGCGTCGTGTGTTTCCGCTGTGCGGTGTGGATGTGTGTGCCCTGTGGCTGCGGCCAGCGTCCTTCACTGTGACAGGGCCCCTTGGCCTGATTAAACCAGCCCTTCCCGCCCCTCTTCTGGCAACCCCGATAGGCCTTCTGTTCCTCAAGTGTGTTGTCTTTAGTTCATTTCTTTTCCCTGTCTCACCGCACAGGAGTGAAATCATCTGGTATTTCCCTTTCTCTGGTCAATGTCACTAAGTGTCATCCCCTGCAGTCCATCCATGCTGTTGCAAATGCCAGGATTTATCTTCGTGCGGAGTATTACTACACCACTTGTGTCTGCGTGTGTGTGTGTTGGCCACGTCTTTGTCCATTCGTCTGTGGTGGACACTGAGGTTGTTTCCAGGCCTGGGCTGTCGGGAATGCTGCCACAGTAATCTCATCAGATTTTCAGTGCATTGTTTCTTTCCTGTTTTGTGCTATGAGTTACTCATCTCATCCTGTCCTCCGGTCACCCTCGCCACCCTCCTGTGGCTTTAGGGTTCACTCAGGAGGGGAACAGAGGGGCAGGAGTGAGAAAGAGCCAACATCATCCTGTGTATCTGTGATTGTAAAGTACCTGTGATTTTTTTCCTAAAGATTTATTTATTTATGCATACAAGAGCTGGGGTACAGGCCAGAGGTGCAGGGGGTGAGAGGATTCACCAGAAACAGAGTAGGGAGCAGAACAGGCAGGCTGACTGAAACACACTGCTGAGGGGAGCAGCGGGCAAATCAGGAGAGGTCTGCTGTGCCTGTGGGTAGCTCCCTGCCTGGGGACGGAACTCGTGCTGCAGAGGCTGCGGACAGCTTCACAGGTTGCGTCTTAACCCCTTGTGCCACCAGGGAGGCCCCTCTGTGGCTTTTTTTTTAACAACTTTACCATAACAATAACTGTTGCTCCAGATGTGAATGAACTGACCTAATAAAAGTAGAAGAGGAATGAGAGCATCTTACTTTTGAGAAAAGGGTTCATGTTTTCTCCTAAATTTTCCCCAGAAATTTTGGCTGCAAGGTTAGTACAGTCTCCGTGGTGTTTGAACACGTAAGAGGAGTCTGGCTGTGATGTTCATTGGGTCAGCCTGAGAAAATCACATCGGAAAATTTATCAGCTGAGCTGTTCATTAACTACACACCTGTCATATTTTCTGCTCTTTGGGCCTTAAAACCTGCCGGTGGCAGCCTGTTCCCTGGCCTTAGTGTGGCCGTTGTGACAGCTGTAACAGCTGAAACGAAAAACCCCAGCGTGTTCTGATTGTTTTCTTTGAGAGGACGTATCAGTCATTCTCACACAGAGCATTTGCTCAAGCTAAAGAAAATTCTATGCAGTTCTGGGCATGTTTGTGGTGAGTTTTTGCTAGATTTGTAAAGTGCATTTCACGTCTGGGGCAGAGGCCCGAGAGGCGCCAGGGACGGTGCGCAGCTCCCCCCTGCTCCGGCTTTCTGGGTTGCGCTCTGCAGACACCACATGTGCTTCTGTGCTGGGCCCGTTTCCACCAGCTGTGACTCTCAGTGTCCCGTGTGGGTGACTCTGAAATGTCAGCTTCTCAGGGACACCTTCTAGACCAGCCTCCCTGTCGCCCCTTCCAACCTGGCTTCTTTAAGCTCTTCCCTCCATTTGGCATATCATGCATTTTCTTTGTCTGTGTCTCTCATTGCTCACTGGAATATAAGTTCCGTTCCTCCCTCCCCCCCCCTCCCCGCCACGTCCCCCAGCCATGGAATTTTGTCTGTTTCGTTCACTGCTGCATCCTTAGCATCTAGGACTGTGTGGCAAATAGGCCAAAAGCCTATTGAGCTGTACTTGCAGAATTTTTCGTAAATGCAGCCAGTTCTCGTTTCTGGGGTGTAAAGGTGAGCAGACGCTGGTCTCCCAGGAGAGACCTCGGTGGGTCCCCCCGGCCTCCGGACGTGCTCTTGTCACCCTGCCAGTACGGAACCTGGTTTATGTGTGTTTCTGTGTAAAGACTCCTTAGTTCCCACGTGCTGTCAGTCACTGACATGGCTCACGGCCATGCCCTGTCCTCGGCCCTCAGGGGACTCACCCATCACAGCCGCATGTGCACAGGGCACAGGATCCTCCCTCAGCACCACCCCCAAGGCCATTCTAAACAATAAAATCAATAAGGGGCACAAAAACGTGAAAAATGTACACTAACCAGATCACGAAAAGGACACTTGCAGCGTGTGAGCTGAGGCCAGAGGGCAGGCCCCGTGCACCAGGCTCGGGGGTCAGGGTTATTGGCCGGAGGCTGTGCCGCGGGCATGGCTGCCGGCTGCTTTTGGGCTTGTGGGTGCATTTTAGCCAGTAGCTGGACTTGCTACAGAACCAGCAAATAATGAGGCTCGGCTGTGTTCGTTGAATGAATGAATGAAGTAACTCCGTGGCAGTCTGCGTGGCCAGGGTTTTCCAAGTTACAGACAGACCTGACAGTCGCCCTTATTTCTTCTCTTCAGGGAGAAGTCATAAAGTGGTACGTGTTCCTGATCTCCTTTTGGGGAGAGCAGATTGGCCACAAGGTCAAGAAGATATGCGACTGGTAAGAGAAGGAAGTGCTTCCTTTCCTTCCCCCCACCGCGAGTCACCTCTGATGTTCCGTGAACTTTCCTCTGTATTTAAGAGAAAGAGCAGGGGTGCGGAGGCTGTTGTTTTTGTCGGGGTGTAGGATAGCAGCTCCCCTCCCGAGGGCTGTGGGGACCCCACAGGAGGCCTGGGGGAGGCTCAGTGCGGTGGGCCGGCAGCGAATGTGGAGCAGCGACCCGGCAGGGACCTGGAAAAGCAGGTAGCAGCCCAACGAAACCTCAGAACGCCCCTGCGTTTTCTTCCCATCTTTCTTGCAGGGGTGAGGGCGGAGCCCGGGCCCCGCTTTGCCGTGGCCTCACCACTTCCAAGCCCTGAGGCTGCAGCAGGGAGAGCGAGTTCTGGTGTGGCCCGGACAGAGGCTGTTCGTGGTGCTGCATCATTTAACGCGGCTTAGAAGCCAGCACCGTGCCCCGATTCACCAACATTACTGTGTAGCGTTTCATTTCAGTTTTAACAGTCAGAATTTAAAGAAAGTTATGGAACCTGGGATTGAAGTCCTGAGGGTGTGTGGGAATAGCTGCCTGCTGGGGGCACACCTCCGTGCCCCGGGTGGGGGGTCCTGGGGAGATGCTGCCCTGTGGTGGGGGGTGCAGGTGGGGGTTGACGTAGCTCATGTCAGATGCGGGCGCCTGTTCATTCTCTCCCTTCTTGAAGATGGTCGTTACTGTGTGTTCTTTGTTTCTGTTTTAACCTTCTTTAATGGTTTCAGTCCCAGAATGGTGATGAATTTCAGAAAGTTGGAATTGGTGTCTGGGAATCACAGAGGGTGGGAATGGGATTTGGAATCCAGGGCATTTGCTTATTTCTGTGGATGTTTGAGGAGCATCTGGGAGCACCGGCGGGCTGGGGGTGGGGGACTGGGGTGGGGGTGGGGGGAGATAGGTGGGGGGTGGGGGCTGCTCCATTTTGGAGGGCAACGGCCTGGGTGGGCTTGGCGCCTTTCTAGTCCCAGCAGATGCCACACTGCTGCATTCTGTTTCCCAGTTACCACTGCCACGTGTACCCCTACCCCAACACTGCTGAGGAGCGCAGGGAGATCCAGGAGGGCCTCAACACCCGCATCCAGGACCTCTACACCGTGAGTGAGAGGGGCCGTTGCCGCTTAACCGGGGCTCATCACACGTTGACAGGCCCGCTCATGCCGCCTTTCTAATGCGGGGCAAAGGAGATGCTTTAGGGGGACTGGAATGCCCCCAGTGCCCTCCTCTCCACCTGGGCAGCGATGCCCAGACCAGGATCCCAGAGGGCGCGCCAGCCCACCTAGCGGGCGGCTGTTTCACCTGCACTTTTTCAACTCTTGTTTCACTTAGATCATTGAGCACACTTAGGGGCGACAGGTGGGCCTGGCCCAGGGAAGAGGAGGGGGGTCTCTTGGCGGGCTGGGCTGGGCTTTGCTGACTCACAGGCCGGCAGGGAACATGAGAACTGGCTGCTCTCTGGGCCTGGCCGAGCCATCTTGCCGCCACTGTGCCCTGACATCTGGCCATTTCTGTGTTGGGGTCGCGTTCTGTCTTTCCAGAGGGCATCGGCTTGACCTAGCCCAGGTCCTCTGCCCGCCCGCCTGCCTCCTGCTGGGACTGGAGGCCGAGTGGAAGAGGAGATGCCCCGTAACTGCTGTGGGTGCGGTGGGTGCCCAGAGTAGTCCTCTGCCCATGGGGGACATGCCCTCCAGGGAGCTGTGGCCTGGCAGCTGGCAAGGAACCTAGGGTGCTGAGCGCTGTGTCTGCCCACCAGGTGCTGCATAAGACCGAGGACTACCTACGGCAGGTGCTGTGCAAAGCGGCCGAGTCTGTCTACAGCCGCGTGGTGCAGGTGAAGAAGATGAAGGCCATTTACCACATGCTGAACATGTGCAGCTTCGATGTGACCAACAAGTGCCTGATCGCTGAGGTCTGGTGCCCCGAGGCCGACCTGCAGGCCCTGCGCCAGGCACTGGAGGACGGGTCGGTAAGGAGCGCTGCCCGCCCGGGGCCGCCTTCTCTCCATGGGGGTCACGTGCTGCTCACGTCCCATGTCTTTGTGGCCGCGGCGTGGGCTCTGCTGTCATGGTGTGCATCTGTGTGTAGCGCCCCGCTTGGCCAGTGTCCAGTAATCACAGCCTTATACTCTTTATACATGCTAATCCAAACCCAATGAGGCAAACACACACATCACATCCCGTGGAGCCCCGTGGCAGTGCCACACCTGCCCACTGGCCCGGCAGAGCCACCTGCAGGGTGAGCTCCAGGCACGGCTGCGCCGCAGTTCTGATACGTCGCCAGCTGGTGCGATTGTTTTGGGGTGTGTGACAGCTTATGGATTGTTTTTTTAATGAACTCTTTTCGTCTGCTCTGCTCTCTTTCTGCTGGTGGTGGTTCTCCTAATTTCTAGGGACTTTTTGTAGCCCATGACAGCATCTGCCCTGCTGTTGCGCAGCTGGTCCCGGGTCTCTGTGTGGGCGGTGCAGGGCGGTGCTGAGTGCGGCTGACATGTTGTCTCGCTGCCGGCTTCTGGACTTGAGAGCCAGGCTTTCCCCTGTGTGTGGTCCCGCGAGGGTTCGCCGTGTCCTGACATAGTTCTTCACTGGGAAGAGCAGCCTGACGTGGCTTGGGTTGAGGAAAGAAGTTTTCCTGTGAGGTTTTGGTTAATGACGTGTGGATCCGTGAGGCACAGACCTAAGGTGCAGAGTCGTGATGGCGCAGCCCCGAGGGACGTGCGAGGGTTATCTGCTCTCAGGCCCAGATGGTTCTCATTTATCGAGGCGACATCAGTCCTAAGGACTCGTGTGTGTGTGTGTGTGTGTGTGTTTGTGTGCGCGCGCGTGTGTGTGCACATGTGTGTTTGCCTGCGTGTGTGTCCTTTCATCTGTTCATTCAGTTCAGACACGATCCTGGGTCTCTCATGGCGCACCTGGCCTCTGCTCCCTCTCTTAGCTTCTGTCTGTGAAGGGATTGTGCTTCTGCTGCTTATTTCTCTGTGTGCTGTCACCCCTGTTCCTCCCTTCACCCCTATACTTCCCTTCCCTCTCGTCTTTCTTCTTTTCTACTTTTCATTTCTCCCTGGAATTTTCATGTTCTTGAAGGAAGACTAACTTTTATCGTCAGAGCCAACCAGTCAAACGTTGTGTAGTGTTGGTGACACCAGCTGGTGGCCCTATGTCGGGAGGGCCCGGGGGCTGACTGGTGTCTTGATGGTGACTTTCGCTGCCAGTGGTGCTGAGTTTTACTTGGGCCCTGACAATGCTGGCTGCAGCGCCCCCCAGATGGCGCCTGCTCCAGGGGCCCTGTGACTCCAGACGCAGGCTGCCCATGCAATGCTGTCTCTGGGCTCTCGTGGAAGGAGCTGGTTCTCTCGCGCGTCCTCAGCTGCGGCTCGTGCAGCAGGAGGCCCTGAGTTCGCCTGGGCTGGTGCCTGGACAGTTCCCACCACTGTAGTCGGAAGTTAGTTTTTCTAGAAATAAAATGCTTGGATCATTTTTGTTTGTTTTGATTTTTTTTTTTTTTCTGCCTAGAAGCTCAAAAACGTCTTTCTCTTTAAAGACTAATAATCACTTTGGGCCTCCCCGGTGGCGCAGCGGTTGGGTGCTGGGTTGTGAAGCTGCCCGCAGCCTCTGCAGCACCTGTTTGATCCCTGGCCACGGGGCGAGGGTCCCACATGGCGCGCAGACTTCTCCTGCCACTTGCCTCTCCCCTCAGCAGTGTATCGTCGGTCTGCCCGTTCTGTTCCCTGCTCTGGCTCTGGTGAGTTCTCTCACCCTCCCGTGCTTCTGACTGTACCCAGTGCTTGTATGTATGTATGTATGTATGTATGTATGTATGTATGTATAAATAAATAAATAAATAAATAAATAAATAAATAAATGAATATTTTTTTTTAAAAAAAAGATTAATCACTTTACTGGCCGTTCTGGGTTGGCAGTCTCAGATATACTGTGTGTTCTTTTAATATGTAGAAGGGGTGTTTTTATTTTAGAAAAGTTCTAGATACTAAAAACATGTTTCTTCAGTTCTCTCTTTTTTTTTTAAAGATTAATTCATTTATTTACAAGCACTGGGTACAGTCAGAAGCGCGGGAGGGTGAGAGAATTCACCAGAGCCAGATTGGGTAGCAGAGCAGACAGACCGATGAAGTACACTGCTGAGGGGAGCAGCGGGCGTGACAGGAGAGGTCTGTGCACCATGTGGGACCTTTGCCAGCGGCTGGGGATCGAACCGGCGCTGCAGAGGCTGTGGGCAGCTTCGCAGTCTGGCGCTCAACCGCTGAGCCACCGGGGAGGCCCTCTTCAGTTCTCTTGCTCTGATTTTCTTCATGCTAAACATTTACCTTTAAGTAAATTCTCTGCTTATTTCAGCCCTTTTTCTTGAATGCTTTCTGTCTTCACTTCCTGATTTGTAAAAATTTCTTTCACTTTATGTTTCTTTTATTAGAAAGTTTTTGTTTACTTTTGAGTTTTCCTAGGGTAGTTTCATTTCTGAAGTAAAGTTTTCTTTTCTTTCTAATTCTTCCCTGACTTCTGTTGTCTGCTTTCTGACCCTAGCTCTCATTTGTGGTGATCTTTTATCCCAGATACCATTTTCATGTTGCTTTAGCACATCTTGGAATAGTAAACCACACCCTGACCTGTTGTGTGGACGTGCCGTCCAGTGAGCGGCTTCTGGCCGGAGGGAGGTGGTTCTGCTCTGGGTTTATTGTAACTTTTTGTAGTATTTGACCTCCCGCCTCCTTTAGAACACTTTGAAATAAAATTAGGTTTCTGGAATATGTTTAATACACTTAGGAAACTCTATATTGCATGTAACATGCACTCAGGTGTATGAGTATGTAGTTAGGCTACTTAAGGAAATGACACAGCAGGTGTGGCATAAACGTCAGGGGTTTACAGGAGCTTCCTGGGTGGAGCATGGTTAAGACGCCAGGGACCAACTGGAAGAAGGCGGGTCCAGAGCCCGTCCTAACCGCCCCCGCAGCCTGGAGCCGGTGCTTACCAGAGCCCTTGGACGGTCACGTGTCTCTTCCTTTCTCTTTATTTTAACATGAAAGCGAGAGAGCGGTGCTACGATCCCCTCATTTATGAACACCATCCCGACGAAAGAAACGCCCCCGACGCTGATCCGCACCAACAAGTTCACCGAGGGCTTCCAGAACATCGTGGACGCCTACGGCGTGGGAAGCTACCGCGAGGTGAACCCAGGTGGGCTCTGCACCTGTGCGTCCTGTGCTTTACCTCACTGCTGCTCTGTCTCCGTGTCAGGGCGTGAGAGGCTGTGGAGGAGACAGGCTCGCCCCTGCTGTCTGGCTGTCTTCCTGGAGTACTAAGGGTCAGAGTGACCTGGTTCTCTCTGGGAGTTCTAGGGAGAGTTGGGACTGCACGGGTGGCTGTGTCTGGATTGCCCAGGCTTCCTGCCTTCCCAGCCTGAGCAACCTCTTGCCTTCCTGCAGCGCTCTTCACCATCATCACATTCCCCTTCTTGTTTGCTGTGATGTTCGGAGACTTCGGACATGGCTTTGTGATGTTCCTATTTGCTCTCTTGTTGGTGTTGAACGAAAACCATCCCAGACTGAAGCAGTCCCAAGAGGTGAGCGCACACCCCCAGCGCCCTGTCTGGCGTGAGTGTCTCCTGTTTGGCTGAAAGACAGAGACAGGGTCTGAGGGGTCACTCGGGCCACTGCCGTCTCCCCGGCTGAGCGTGAGAAGCGTGTGCGTGTTGTCCTGTGCTGCAGGAACGTCCCCTCAGGTCGTGTTTGAGGGCCCTGAGGCGGGGTAAGAGGGCACACCAGACCCCATCCCATCAGCACATTCCCAGCAGCTCCGGGGTGCTCACCGCCTCTGCTTTCCCAGATCATGCGCATGTTCTTCAATGGCCGCTACATCCTCCTGCTGATGGGGCTCTTCTCCGTGTACACCGGCCTCATCTACAATGACTGCTTTTCTAAGTCAGTCAACCTTTTCGGCTCGGGGTGGAATGTGTCTGCCATGTACAGCTCCAGCCACGCACCAGCGGAGCGGCAGAAGATGGTGCTGTGGAAGTAAGTGCCGCCTCCCCACCTGCCCCGGCAGGCCTCTGCCCGCCCGCCCGCCCTGAGTCACCCCCACTTCCCTTGCAGCGACAGCGTGGTCAGGCACAACAGGCTCCTGCAGCTGGACCCCAGCATCCCCGGAGTCTTCCAAGGCCCCTACCCTCTGGGCATCGACCCGGTGAGTACGCCTTCCCGTCCAACCCTCAGACCGCAGCAGCCCCGGCCCCTGAACCCACTGTCTCTCTGCCTCACATTACTTCTGAGACACGTATTCCTGCTCTCCAGGTCGCTCACTTTGGCTCTCTTTGACTGTCACACGAGGGGGGATGGTTCTGGAATGAAAGTGGCACAGTCTGCCCGTGCTGTGTCGAGTGTCACCTCTTTACCCTCAGGCAGTTGAAGGTCCTCACAGATTTCCTTTTTTTGTTCTGTTTTTTCTTTAGATTTGGAACTTGGCCACAAACCGCCTCACTTTTCTAAACTCTTTCAAAATGAAAATGTCTGTGATTTTAGGAATTATCCACATGACTTTTGGCGTCACTCTGGGAATATTTAACCACTTGTAAGTACAGGTATTTTTTAGTGATATTTATAAGCCAAGCCTGATATATTTATATATTTTTAAAGATTTATTTATGCATACAAGAACTGGGGTACAGGCCAGAGGTGTGGGGGGGGGGTGGTGAGAGGACTTACCAGAGACAGAGTGGGGAACAGAATAGGCAGACTGAAGTACACTGCTGAGGGGAGCAGCAGGGAGACAGGAGAGGTCTGCTGTGTCATGTGGGTTGCTCCCTGGCTGGCCGGGGATCGAACTTGTGCAGCAGTGGCTGCGGATTGCTTGATAGTGCGGTGCTTAACCCATTGCGCCACCATGGAGGCCCACGGCTGATATTTCTTAGACTTTGCTCCTTGATGGGAGACCGTGTGGTCACAGGCAGCCAGTACAGTGGGGGCTCATGTGGGGTGACTGTTCTGATGATGCTGTTTCTTTGCAGTGTGAGTAATTCATCCATTCAGCAAATATGTATTGAGCACATAGTTTGTGAGGCTGTCCTGGCCCTAGAGACTGAGCGGTGGGGATGGAACAAGGCTTCTGCCTCATGGAACTTACATTCAAGTGAGGGAAACACACAGCATGTCAGCTCACATTAAGGACAGAAGCAGGTTTTGTCACATCCTTTTTTTATTTTATAAATTAGAAGGCATTTTGTTTACTAGAGCTATAGCATTTAAGAACAGGTTGTTTTTGCTACTGGATCTGGCAGTGACTCGCTGGCCCCCTTTGCTGCCTGGCTGCTCTCCAGTGATGTCACACCGGTGGCGACCCTGGCACAGGAATTTAGGATGGATTCACCCTTGTTTCCTCAGCCCAGTCATGTGGACGCACGGATTAAAACAGTTTTTTTCAATTTTCTAGGCATTTCAGGAAGAAGTTCAATATTTATTTGGTTTCCGTCCCGGAGCTGCTCTTCATGCTCTGCATCTTCGGCTACCTTATCTTCATGATTGTCTACAAGTGGCTGGTTTACTCGGCGGAAACCTCCAGAGTGGCTCCCAGCATTCTCATTGAGTTCATCAACATGTTTTTGTTCCCGGCCAGTGAAACAAGTGGTCTTTACAGAGGGCAGGTCGGTCCTCTTTTTGCTCTTGAATTAGGCTTTTTGATTTAGATACTTGAGTCTCGCTGAGCTCACGTTAGTTTACGGCGTTGTGTGGGATTCGTGTTGACTTTTGTCGACAGTGGTCACTGGCCTGTCGTTGCCACCTTGAACTAGGTCTAAGTAACTGCAAGTCTCACTCCTTTTTAAGAAAACGTTTTTGGTTGTGTCCTGAATGCCGCGTCCCATCTTCAGGGTGGAAGTAAGTTCCCTAGCTCCTCTCGCTAGCTCATCTAGCCCAGTTCATGTGTTCCTGTTTGCAGCGTTTTCAGAACATTGCTAACTTGAGTTTGACTCTATGTAGAATTTTCCCACAAATTCCTTGCTGGTCTAAACAGCCTGGTATTCACTGCTCTTCCGTTAGTGCCGTTCGTCGGGCCTAGGATATAGTGTGAGTTGGGGCAGGGAGCAGGCCCCTGGCGGACACCACCAGGCTGGCGCCCACCGCGTGCGCCTTGACAGGAGGCCTGCCCGGACTCTCGCTGCCTGTGCTGCTCGGCCGCCGGCCCGCTCACGCCCATGCCCTCTGCTTCCACAGGAGCACGTGCAGAGGCTACTGCTGGCCGTCACAGCCCTGTCCGTCCCTGTCCTTTTCTTGGGAAAGCCGCTCTTCCTCCTGTGGCTGCACAACGGGCGCAGCTGCTTCGGGGTCAGCAGGGTGAGTCTGGGTACGCATTTGAGATGTGAGCTGCGTCTATCTTCAGTGGCGACAGGGCGGGCACAGAAAATGACTTCAGAGCTGGCTCTGACCTGAGAGCCCGGGCTCCCTGATCGGCACTGGGCTGCCCATCTGAGGTGCGCATCGTGGGGGCTGCTGCGTTTGGGTGGGCGGGCACCTGTGCGGCCCCCCCAGCCGCCTCTGAGACAGCTTGTCGGTGCTGCGCCCTCCCCCTGCTCTTGCCGCTTGACTTTTTAATTTTTTAAAAAATTAAATAGTAGAACTCAGTTATCAGAACTGTGGAAAATATAGAAAACTAGTGCTCTGCAGCTCTCCCGCCCTGCTGTGACCAGTGTCACCATCTTGTTGAATTTCTTTCTAGATTAGCTCCCTGTGTGTCTAGTTATTTTATTTTATTTTATTAACTTTGATGAAAATAACTAGCATAACTTTTCCACCTTAGGCAGGCTCGGGTCAGGGCCCCCACGCTTTCCCCTGTCCCTTCTCAGGACCTGAAGACGTGTCCTGCCCCCCGTCCCACTTTCTCTCTCGGGGTTGACAGCCCTGGGGACCTCAGGGGAGGGAATGACAGTGCTTGTCCCCTTGTGGCCACCAGCTCTCGCCAAGCCCGGCGTTGCAGGCTCGTCCGCGCCGCGGCACTGCCAGGACCTCCTTCCTCTCAAAGCTGATCCGTCCCCGCCCCACACGGTGGACTATGCCGTGCGCACCTCTGTCTGCCGTGGCTGCGGGCCCTTGCAGGCAACGCTGCTGTGACATGCTGTGTGCGCACCTGGCAGTTCAGGCCGAGAACGGCGGCCCGGGGTCTCCATGGCGCGGCGTCTCACGCCCTCCGCCCGCGGGGCCGTGTCACACCTCACAGCACTGTTGTCCTAAGTAGCCGTCCTTATGGCTATAAAATACTCGTTTTCTCTTAACTCTTTTGTCGATAAGGAGCTGACTCGTTAAGAGACCCAGCTCTGAGGTTGGCTTGTCGTGGCTAGCGGTGCCGGGCACTGACTCGTGTTCTTTTGGCTGCCAGAGTGGCTATACCCTTGTGCGGAAGGACAGTGAGGAAGAAGTGTCCTTGCTGGGCAGCCAAGACATTGAGGAGGGAAATAACCCCGTGGAAGACGGATGCAGGGAGGTCACGTGCGAAGAGGTAACATTGTCTGTTCCTTTGGTGATGCTGGGTAGGGACCTGAGCCGCGCAGAGCATCCCAGTGGTGACACTGTGACAGCCGTCGCCGTGTGAAGCAGCATGGTGGTGGCTCAGAGCTTCCCACTGCTGCTTGGGCCCCACGGTCATCATGACGTGGGGTGCGGGTCAATGCTGCGTGGTTTCTGTGGCGCTGGGGGGTGTTCCTTTTACAAGCTGTGACCATGAGTGCCTCAAGGGGCCAGGAACATGGCTTCCCAATGGTTTTTATCTCAATTAGGACATTTTGTAGTTGCAAGAAAGAGTCCTGGTCCACGCTGACCTCCGGGGGCAAGCCGGGCTCATGCACGCCAGGACGGAAACAGGCGCCCCAGGGTGATTAGGTCTTGGGCTCCAAGTTTAAGAAGCTGGGGTGGGTGTTTCTTTGCAGCTTTGCTTCATCCTCTGACGCTGCCCCATGTTGGAGCCATGGACTCCTTACCTCTGGCCTTCCAGTCAGAGGGCAGCAGCTCTCGCCACTTGGCACTGTTGGGAATGATAGCTGACTTGGGAAGCAGTACGAGTGGCCAGGCTCACGGGCACCCCGAAACCTGTCTTTGTGGGGCTGGCAGCCAGATCCACGAGCGGGTCTTAAAAAGCAGACATTTATTTCTCATGGTTCTGGGGCTGGAGGTTCAGGATGAAGAGGCGGGCAGGCCTGGTCTCGCCTGAGGCCTCTCTGCTCTACTGCAGGTGGCCACCTTCTCCCGTGTCCTCTCTGGCCTGTGCTCCACATACCTGAGCACCGCTGGGGTCTCTTCGTCCTGTAAGGACACTGGTCCGATTAGATCAGGCTCTTGTGGGTAAACGCAACTTACCTCTTGAGAGGTAACTTCTTTATGAGGAACTGAGGGCTGCAGTGGAGGGGGTCCGGAGAGCGGGCAGTGGGCTCTCAGCGCTGTGAGTGGGACTCAGATCCGCAGGGCCCCACTCTCCGGCCTGTCCCTGCCAACCTGCCCCTGGGGCCCTGGGGGTGGAGCAGACTCGAACCTTGTGGGGTTTGTGGGTAACGCAGCACTGAGGCTGCTGCGTGATCTCTCTTAGTTCAATTTCGGAGAAATACTGATGACCCAAGTCATCCACGCCATTGAGTACTGCCTGGGCTGCATCTCCAACACCGCTTCGTACCTGCGCCTCTGGGCCCTCAGCCTGGCCCACGCACGTAAGTTCTGGCTTAGACCTGCAGTTCCCAGACCTGTGCCTGGACACCCCGCGGGCAACGCATGGGAGCTCGGGGTGCCATGGGGCACTTGATGTTTTCCAGGGAGAAATTGCCCCACCTTTCAGGTGCTGCACGACGAGTGGCAGTATAGCTTCTGTGGACTTCACTGCTTGAGCCTGACCTCTTGGTAGTTCTTTGGGCCTCGAGGTGCTGTGAGAAAATGACTGAGAAAGGAGCTTAGAACTGAGACAACTGGTGGCCTTAGGCCTTTGCTGTGGCCATTTTGTCTTTATTCTTACTGTTAATTCAGTCACTCCCGCCCCGCCAAGTATGGATGTCTGTGTCAAGCAAGTCCAGCAGCAGCACTGGTAGATAGTTTTGATTTTAGGTAACTTCCCGCCCCGCCCCATGGGGTTCTGATCATGTATGGATTTCAGGTGTCACGGCTTAGCCCCTCGTGCCAGGCGGGCTGCTGAGAAGTGAGGATGTGCCTAAGGCGGATGCCCTGTCGTGGCCTGCCAAGCTCGGGCGGTGTTTGGGCACTGAAGGTGCAGGGATGCGGTGCTGGGTGCTGACCCCACCGGAGAAGATGGGACAGTTGCTGAGTACAGAGGGGCTGGCTCCCGCCCAGCTGCCCTAGCTCGGCCGCACGGGAGAGGCCACCCTCAGTGTCCTGGACGGGTTATCTGTATGGCAGCTACGGAAGAGCTCATTCAGTGTTTCTAATGCTCTGAAAATAGGTTTGCTATTTAAAAAAGTCTCCTATGCATTTATAACTGACAGTAGGAGAGGTTTTAATGTTTTGACGAAAATCGTTGCCACTCCCGGCAGTCCCTGCTCTCTTCTTGTTGAGGAGGGCACGTGGGTCCCCCTCTGTGCACCGTGCTTCTGTCTCCGCCAGGGCGCAAACCCCTGGATGTGCACTTGGTTTTCCTTTCTATTTGGTGTTAGTTGCCCTGACGCTTAGAGAGTTTAGCCAGAGTCTGGAGTTGCGTGGCTGGCGGGACCCTGTGGTCCGACACTGGTTTCGCAGAGGAGACTGGCACCCGGGAGGGTCGTGGGTGAGCAGGTCACGCCGTCAGTCTACAAGTGCCGGCCCAGCCTGTGTGGATACAGCCAGCCCGAGCGGCTGGGGTCGCCCTGCCCAGAGGCAGGCGTGCGGGTGCTCCTCGTGGGGAGACGCTGGCAGAGCTGGCTGGCTGCACGGCCGAGCGTCTGTGTCAGGGGGCGCCAGGCTGTTGCATGGGCCACAGTTCGGAACGGTCAGCGGGAAGCCCCGTCCAGCCAGCTCAAGGGTGTGACTCACTGAGGTCAGCTGCTCATCGGCCCGTTGCTTCCCCTGCAGAGCTGTCCGACGTTCTGTGGGCCATGCTGATGCGGGTGGGCCTCCGCGTGGACACCACCTACGGGGTCCTGCTGCTGCTCCCTGTCATCGCGCTCTTTGCACTTCTGACGATTTTCATCCTCTTGATCATGGAAGGGCTGTCTGCGTTTCTTCATGCCATCCGCCTCCACTGGTGAGTCTGCACGTCCGTCGGAACTGCCACGTGAGAGCCCAACTGCTGCCCCCAAATGTGCATATGACAGACCCTCAGACTCCCACTGGCATGGGCCGGCTCTCCCTTCCTGACGCGGGTTCTGGGCTCCGCTCTCTGAGTTGAGGTTGTGTTTGTTGGTGAACTATTGTCCCTGACTCGTGGGAGCGAGTGTGCATTGCCGAGTCACTCTGGATATTCATGCGTTTCCTTCACTCTGGGTCTGACAGGTGCTGCATCATGCTGACTCTCCTTGCATATTTCTTAGTGTTTCATAGTGTCTGTCAGGTCACTAGTCTGTGTGTCTGGTTACCGGGTGGCGGAGGCGGGTCCCAGCATGTGTGAGTGTCTGTGGAGTGGAAGGTGGCGTGTGCGGGTATTCTCTTGCGCATTTAGAAAGCACACAAGATGGTGGTTGTGTGTGTATTTTATCTCAATAAAAATATTTGCCCCACAGAAGAGCTAAAAAGAAACTTCTCTGAAGAGGAAATGCAAATGGCCAACAGGCATATGAAAAAATGTTCAACATCACTTGTCATCAGGGAAATGCAAATCAAAACTACCATGAGATACCATCTCACACCAGTGAGAATGGCACATATTAAAAAAACTAGCAACAACAAATGTTGGCAAGGGTGTGGAGAAAAAGGAACTCTCCTGCACTGTTGGTGGGAGTGCAAACTGGTCCAACCACTGTGGAGAGCTGTGTGGAGATTTCTGGACCTACTAAACATAGAGCTTCCATAGGATCCAGCAATTCCACTCCTAGGTATTTACCCAAAGGACACAGAAACATCCATTCCAAAGAGCACCTGCACCCCTATGTTTATAGCAGCACTGTTTACAATAGCTAAGCTTTGGAAACAACCCAAATGCCCAAAAATAGATGACTGGATCAAGAAGATGTGGTCCATATACACCATGGAATATTACTCAGCATTCAAAAAAGATAAACACATGCAATTTGCAGCAACATGGATGGCACTGGAAGGGATCATGCTCAGCGAAATAAGCCAGAAAGAAAAAGAAAAATACCGGATGGTCTCACTCATAGCAGGAATCTAGAAACTTAAATAAGGGACCAGGAAAATGAATATAAGAAAGTGAAAATCAAAATCAACAAAAAACTATGAACCAGAGACACTTTTTGGGGGGTGGGGGGCGGGAGGGGAAGGATTGGGGTCAGAATGGGGCGTTTGCAATTGTATGGGGGAATATAAAAATAAAACTTATTATTTAAAAAAAAAAAATATTTGCCCCAAAAGTGCCTACGAAGTGAAGCAACCTTAGACACGGAATGTTTTTTTTTTTTTCCTTGTTCCTATAAATGTTGTTTTAAGAAACAGAGGGAATGTTTTGTTAATACATGGACTTTTTTGTTTTTTTTTAGGGTAGAGTTTCAGAACAAATTCTACGTTGGTGCAGGCACCAAGTTTGTTCCTTTCTCATTCAGTCTGCTTTCATCCAAGCTCAGCGGTGACGACCTGGCGTGAGCACATTGCTGGACCCAACAGGCTCTCAGATTTGTGGAGAATTATCATGTTCTAGAATTTCACTATGTCAGATTTATGATTGGGAAAACTCTGTCTTCATTGATTGCCTTATGATATAGCCAAATAATTCTGTAAGATATACCTCTTCCTCATGTTAAATATTTTGTAAAGTTTGTCAGTTTCAGATATATAAAATTCAGTTTTATGATGAGCGAATATAAGTTGATCCCAAAGGTTATGTTAAAGTTGTTTTTAAAAAATATAGGCTTGGGGGGGAGAAGCCAAGTTTGATCATCTTAGGTATCTGATTCCTTTTCATTTTATTAAAGAAAAAAAAAAGTTATTGTCACCTAAGTTGTGAGAAGATATTTTCCAACAGCTGAAGTTAAGTATAGATATTTCAAAAATGGAATGATGGGTAATCAGGAGATTCACAGTCTGCTTAATTGAAAAGTTGGTTACTGTTTTTATCACAAGCTACTAGAATTACAAGTGGAGAATTGTTTTTACAGTTTTATTTTAATAATTGGGGAAAATGGAACAAAATGACACTCAACAAATGATTATCCCACTTATTTTTTAAAAGGCTCATACTCTGTTATCCTGACACAAAACCAGTTGTGATAATTGTATGTCTAAAAAACTAGGCTGTGTGCTGGGCCTTACCACACAGTGTGACTGCAGGTGAGACCAGTGGATTCGGTTTGAGCTTAGTGACCCATGTGGCTGATGTTGCTGATGCAGAGGGGTTTTTTACTGAGTGAAAGAAAGGGAAAAAAAAATAGGAGTATTTTGTATATTTTTATAAGAAAATATAAATTAAGCTATTTTACCATGAAGAGGTTACACCTCCCTTTGAGAATAGTATAATTTTTTATTCTCAGACTAGTTCTCAATAAAGGTCTGATTGACAAAGGCATTTAATTTAATCTTTCAAACACTGTTTAGATCAGTCAAAAGCTAATTCTTACTAAGTCATTAATTTATAATCTTTCATTTAAATTCGTGTGTTCAGTTGACCTTTAGTTTGAATGAACCTGAGGCAGCCTTATGGAACATTTTGATCTGTATTCTTGTAAATTATGTTCATTTTCCATGTTTTACCTTAATTGATTTTAGATGATTATTTTCAAAAACAAGTCTGCAGTATTTTCACTTACTATCTAGAGAAAGACACACGAACAGGCCTCCTTGACCATCTCCCTTCCCTGACTGCCGGTGGAGGGCTGGGCCTTCCTGCTGTGCTGAAGCTCAGCCTGTCTTTCCAGGTCATGTCCAGGCCTGTTTGCTGAGTGAGAGGCCTGAACCAAGCGGCTGCAGCATCAGACCTTTTTCATTGTAGCCAACATCCCAAGCTGTTCCTCTGTGAGATGGTACCCAGAGCCTCTTTTGGTTTCTGGTGTCTGTTCCAATGTTAAAATAGCAAACATGAAATGCTGCTGCTGCGACTCTTGAAAATTCTGCTCTCAAAGCTCAGTTTTCCAGAAAGGTGCTCTGCCGGGCACACGCATTGGTGTGAATGTGAAGCCGAAGTGCCCCTTTCAGCCAGGCTTCACCTGCTGCTTTCCACTGGAGGCTGGCACCCCCACCAGCCGCCATTTGTACGGCTTTGCTCCCAGGATCTGTTGTGATGATGTGGAATCTATCCCGGGAGCCTACTCGAGGCAGACTGCCTGCTGGACCTTGACTGTCCCCGCTGGTCGTCATGGGGTCGCTTTTTAATCCTAAGCAATACCTCTTACCAGGATGTCGATCAGGTGAAGCTGCATTTCCCAATGGAAGTTGACTATGTAATAGTCATGTAAATGTAGTTATGTACAAAAATTAACAACCCCTCTAACCTTTGTGGAAGAGCACTGCAGTGTGATGGTGTCTTTTAGCCCCAGGAGAAATTTTATTTCTTTATAAAGCCACTTGTTCCAGTGTCAGGTGACCGGAGCACCTGCTCTGCTGTTTTAAACTAACTGGCAGAACTTTCACACGAACGCTCTCCAGTCCCTTCACCAGCCAGAGGAAAACTGCCATTTGAGGCTAAATATCTGTTTATCTTCCCAAAGACTAACAGTCACATTTTCCAGTTTTCATCCCCCATGTTAATGGAGCCCTAAAATTAAAATTCAAGGGGTTTCTTCAGTGAGGGAGGATTTGATTTCATCCCGCACAGGCCAGGAGTGTGGCTGTGGCCATGTGGTGGTGATTGGTCAGGGAGGTGTCCTGGGGGACCGGGGTGGGGGGGGTGCTCTGGGGCCCGGCAGCGTGGGTAGGACTTTGAAAAGACTGTTGGTCCCCCTCTGGGTAGGGTGCAGATCCCCCCACTCTGTTCCCACTCCCCCACCTGCAGCAGATGTAAGGCCATAGTGTAGGTAACGCTGGTTGTTTATGAATTAAATACTGTGTCTTAGGGCCTGATTCATTTTTGGAAAACAAAAATGTCTACAGCTGTTCTGCGGTCTGCATTGGAAAACAACACGTTTATTACAGTTTCAAAGCCAGGCTTGCCCCATGCCCTCCGGTGCGTCTCCAGGAAGGCCGCTGAGACGTTTCCCGGCGAGATGAGGAGAGCCAGGCAGCGTGGAGGAAGCTTCCAACCCCGAGGCCGTCGATGCTGAGCCTTGGTCTGGGATTTTAAGACACGCGGAGACCGCTTGTACCTTGATGGGAAAATGCATCAAGAATGGCCGGGTTCTTGGGGTCAGCCCTGGGACCCGGCCTTGCACCCCGGGAAGTGACGGTGGACCAGCAGCACAGCTGAGGACGGAGCTGCGGCTTCCCACAGTGCCGAGTCGTTTTCCTTAACTAATGCAAAATAAATACGTCTATATTTTTACAAAGCGGGTGTTGTGCTTCGTCAGACCAAAGCCGGGGGCCCCTTCCCCCCAGGTTCCTCGGGGCCCGCCCGCTCGGCGCTTCTGGGGACCGGGGCGCGGGGTGGGGTGCCCGGCCCTTGTGGAGGCCCCGGCCTCGCCTGGCCTCGCGGGCGGGCGGGGGGGGGGGGGCGCGCCCAGGCAGCGGACCCGGCCCGGCGCGCGAGCGGGTGGGGCCGCCCCCCGCGCCCCCCCCCCGCGGCCCCGGCGCGGGCGCCGTCGCTAGGGCCGCGGGCGCCGTCGCTAGGGACGCCGTTGGCGCGGCCGGCGGCCATGGACGACCTGCGGGTGCTGTGGCTGCGCGACCGCGTGTGCGCCGCCCTGGGGCTCGCGGACCCGCGGCTCTTCGAGGCGCTGCTGAGCCGCGACGACGGCGAGGCCGAGGACCGCGTCCTGCACTTCCTCAACCGCGCCTCGGACGAGGAGGCGGCCGCCGCGCTCTTCTTCTACCGCGCGCTGGAGGCCGAGGAGGTGGAGGTGGAGATCGGTGAGGCCCCCCCCGCGCCCCGCCCCCCGCCCGCCCCCGGGGCGCCCCCGCCGCGCCCCGCCCCGCCCCGAGGGCCGTCCGGCGGCGGGGCGGGTCTCCGGGCCGCTCCCCCGCGCGCAGCCTCCCTCGCGGCGCGGAGACCGGCGGGGCCGCCCGCACCCCAGCGGCCGCCGGGTTCCCCCCCGCCCCCCCCCGGCCCGGCCCGGCCCGGCCCGGCCCGGCCTGCGCGCGTCTCTGGCGCGGCCTGAAACCCGGAGAACGGGCGGGTCTGCCTGGAACACTCGAAGGCGCGCGGGGAATGTGCGGTGACATGGGGAGAAGCGCCCCCCGCGCCCGCGCCCCCCGCGCCCGCGCCCCCCGCCCGCGCCCCCCGCGCCCGCGCCCCCGCGCCCGCGCCCCCGCGCCCGCGCCTGCAGGAGCCGCCGGCCCTGGCTGGGGCCTGTGCTGCCGGGCTCGTCCCCGTCGAGCGTCCGTCCGTCCGTCCGTCCATCTCTAGCTATCGCTGTTTGTCTTCATCATCTCTCCACAGAGAGAGCGTTGTCTCCATGCAGCAACATGTAGATCCAGAGAGTTCCTAAAATCATGTAGGGTATGGTAGTAGCTATGATTTTAGGACTTCTGTATGTGTAGAGTACTTCTATATTATATACAATATAAGTATTAATTGTGTGAATTCCATATATAACTTTGTGACTTGTCCCCCTCCCAGCATATCTTGAAGAATAACATTTTTCATGTCAACACCCCTAGGTCCTCCTAACTTTGTAGATTTTTTTTTTAAAGATAAGAGCTTCCCACTTTTTAAAAATTTTTTAAAAGATTTATTTATGCATATTTATTTATTTATTTATGGGTACAGGCCAGAGGTGTGAGAGGCCAGAGGACCCACCAGAGACAGAGTGGGGAGCAGAACAGGCAGACGGACTGAAATCCACTGCTGAGGGGAGCCGCGGGCAAGGCAGGAGAGGTCTGCTGCGCCGTGTGGGTTTCTCCCTGGCCGGCTGGGGATCAAACCCATGCTGCAGAGGCCATGGACAGCTCCACAGGTTGCGTCCCAACCCCTTGTGCCACCAGGGACGCCCCCTAACTTTGTAGATTTTAAGTACGTGATGTAGCATATTTCATTTATCTACTCCCTAAGTCGTGGGCATTCACCTTTCCACAGTGTCTTAGTTGACGCATAAGACAATAGTGTCCACTCTGTATTTCTGTAGGGTAAAGTCACAAATGTGGACTTGCTGCTTCACAGTTGGCGGGGGGGTCCTGCCAATGTCTGTGCCACCCGCCCTGGTGGCTGATGTGCCTGGGCCAATTCATGTGTTCCCCACCACATGCATGTGCCAGCCCCATAGATGAGGGAGGGTCACGTCCTAATCCTGATGCACATTTTTACAACAATTAGCAGAACTGAGCCTCTCTTTCTGGAACTGAGCCTCCTCCAGGTAGGCTGTATCCCTCTGACCACGCTGTGTCCTCCATCCCCTGGGAACCTGCCCCAGCAGGGTAGGCGCTCAGTGACTGAAATATTTCTGAATGTCTGTGTCGGTTGGCAAACTGGCCCCAGACACGTTGGACTGGTGGACATGGCAGGAAGAGGTGGGCACCCCAGTTGGGAGGTGGCTGTGACCCTGTAGCGGCAGGATGGGCCAGAGCAGGATCTCTATGACCCAGCAGATGGGTGAAAGAGGAGTTCTGGAGCCCTCGGTGGCTTTTGCAGGCTTTTTTGGGAAAGTTTACCAGGTACACAGCAGGCAGGGGTGCTGGGGGGCCAGGAAGCTGGCAGGCCCCCCTGCAAGTCTTCACTCTTTCTGAGCTCTCAGGCCTTCTCTCGTGGCCGTGGCCTTTGCCTCTCTGCTCCTTTTGCTCTGCTGGCGTCCCCGTGACACCGCCCTCATGAGCCCAGTCTCAGCCCAGGTGTACCCACCTATGCATGCCCACATTCTACCCTAGGTGCCCGCTATCAGGCATGCATTCAGGACCCCAGGAATCCGTCATCAGTCCTAATGGCGGGAGGGCGGAAAAGCCTGATAAACATTCACCATTTACCCTACAGACCCCTGGAAGCCTTGTCCTGGCGGCTGAAGGCCAGTAGCTCAGGGCCACACCTGCGAATGCTGGGACAATGTCGGCGGGGCCAGCCCCAGGGAGGGTCAGCCTGAGGTCATGACCCCGCTGTGACCTCCCGGGACCAGCTCTGGACCAGCTCTGGAGTCCATGTCTGAACCTCACCCCGAGGAGAGGGGCCTCGCCGCGCCTCTTCCGCACTGAACGGTCGCGTTCTGTTTTTTCTTTCCATTTACGTGGCTATAAAGACGTGGAACCACCCGTCCCGTCGGAGCAGGGAGAGGAGGAAGAGGACAATGATGCTCAGAAAATGGAGGCCTCAGAAAGCGCGTCAGGTGTGGAGGGGGCTAGCCTGGGAGGGGGCGGCGGGGCGGGTCTCCGGGCGGTTCCTCTCCTGGGGCTGCCCTAGCAGATGAGCGCAGACTGGGGGTGGCCGAGCTAAGGCACTGTTCTCCCTCAGTTCTGGAGGGGGGGCATCCAAAACTGGGGTGCCAGCAGGCTTGGCCACGGCCACCACCGCCCTGGCTGCGGGAGCACCTTCGGCGGCTCCAGCTCAGCGGCTTTGGCTGCTCCTGGGCCGCCCCGCGTGGCCCTGACTCTGAGGGGGTGTGAGGCCCCCTCTCCCGCCTCTCATCTCAGGCCTGGACTGTCCAGGCCCACTCTCAGTCAGTGAGCGCCTTCCCCGTGCCAAGACACAGCTGCATCCTGAGGGGTGGGGTGGGGGGTGGAGTGGGAAGATGGGGTCCTAGGCCACCCAGTGGAGCAACGGAAACCCAGCTCAGCCAAGAACCCCTGGAACCTCCCGCGACCCTGAACAAGGGGGGTCTGAGTTGCTGGGTCCACTCCTGTGTGGGTCCCTCCACAGGTTTATTGGTGATGAGGCCCCCGCGGTGTTTGTCAGGGCCCCCCAGCACGCGTTGTCCCGGGCTCCCATAAATCCTGAACAGGAGGGGCAAGAGGCTGCTTGCAGAGGAAGATCAGGGAAGTTCCCCGACAGAGATTGTTCCAAGTCAACCGTTATTTTTTTTCATTGTGTATATATGAAAATAGTTACCCCTAACCCCCGCCCCAACACATAGAACACAAAATCACCCGCATGAACCTCGCCCAAGTGCTCGGCGCTGACTGCATTCCTGAGTGCTTTCTTGAGGGCGCCTAAGTGCTTTCTTGTGGCCCAGTGAGTGCGGGGTGCTTACCCCCCGCTGTGACCTGCCCCAGCGCGGGACCAGGAACCGCTCCTGTCCTGTGGAGAAAACCCACAGCAGAGGATTCTGTCCCCCACCCCCCACCGCCCCAGTCCTGACTTGACTCCCAGGGCACCCCCACTTTGCGCAGCACCTTCCCAAGTCAGCCCCGGCTCGGCCAGGCAGAGCCCCCTCCTGGAGCCCCTAGGCTCGCCGGACATGCTCGGGGCTGTGACTGCGGCCCCGGGATTCCAGGTCTGCCCCGATGGACAGAGACTCGAGTGTCACCCCATCCCTTCATCTGGGTTACTTTCTACCCCCCCGTGAGTTTTGAGTTTCCTAGCAGAAGAGGAGGGAGTGCTGTCATGCTAGCTGTAATTCCCACCCAGGAGACAAAACCTCCTTGAAGTGAAAAATGTCGGGGAGACTCTCGCTGGACCACACACGCACACGCGCTTAGGGCACTGAGGGCTGCGGTGCGAGGCTCTGGCGGGCGGGTTTGCAGGAGTGTCCGGACAGCCCCTGGGTCATGAGCCCACGGATAAAACAAGCTGTGGAACAAAATGCCGGCCTGGGCTCCATGGAGGGCCCCGGCGAGGCGGCGCCATCTTCACGCTGAGTGATGTTTTGCAGTTAAGACCCCGTGGTCGGCCACCGGCATCCAGTCTGTCACCGCGGAGGATGAGGAAGAGGCGGGAGAGACTGGAGAGAAATTACCCATGAAAGTATGACCGGTGCCGGGTTGTCCCGGGGGGCTGAAGGGGCTTCCTACCCTCCATGTGGTGCGGACAAGGAGCCCACCCAGTGGGGGGCACAGACTTCTGTCTTGGGAGCCCCCAACCACCTCCAGCTTGACTGGCCCACTAGGGTGACTCGCAGGACCCAGAAAGGGTTTATACTCACGGTTAGTTTGGGGCGGAAGAGGAGGAGGAGGCTCCCAGCACAAGAACGTCTGGCCCCTGCCAGGGGAGCTGCCTGGGTCCTCCCAGCAGCTCCGAGTGACGACACCGATGGTGTCTTGCCTGTTGGGAGGCTCACCCAAGCCCTGGTGTGGGCAGGGAGCGCCCACAGGGCTGGCCTTAGTCCCTCAGCCTCCAGTGCCTTACCCTGCACCCCCAGAGCCCCAGACAAGCAAAACAGGCCTTGGCCACAGACACGGCCTCAGTGTAAATGCTGCAGCCTGAGCCCAAGGCCTGGAGCCCACAGACATGCGTGGCAGGCAGGGCTCCCAGGTTTCTGGCCGGTGAGGGTGCAGGGCCTGTGCGACCCAGGCCTGCCGTTAGCCCTGTGCAGCCGCTGAGCCTCAGGGTGTGGGGTGTGGCCAGGCCAAGGCAGGGACAGCGAGCGTGACTGCTCCGGGCCCGCCACCTGCTCCGTCTTCAAGCCTGGTGCTGCTGCCGGGCAGGACACGCTCTGGACTCTCCCCACGAACTCACGGCAGAGGCGCTGGCCGCGGTTGAGGCTGGGGCCGCCCTCGTGCCCAGGGAGCCACGCCGCAGGGCCTGGGACTCCGACAGGCGAGCTGGTGCCCTGAACGGGAGGTGCTTCGGGGGGACCTGTATCTCTGTGAGACTTTTGTCTCGATCCCTGAATTTCAGAAAATTGTGAAGCAGACAGTGGAAAAGATTTGTCTCCGTGTGCTTTGCGAGCCTGTCCCCGAGGAGTTTCTGGACCAGATCGTGGTGTTTTTCCTCAGAAACACAAAAGGTACATTTCTTCTGCCGCTGCGTCCCGCAGGTCGGGGCTTTGCGCGGCTGCCTTTTACGGCTGCCCCTAAATTCTAGAACAAAAATGATGTTACTTTTTTTTCTATTTTGAGCTTGGATGGTGCTTTGGGCCGGGACCTCACCACCAGCCCTGTTTGTTCTATAGTTTGTTCTTCCCAAGTGGGTGGGAACAAGAAGAAAGACGGGGCGCAGAGCCGGGTGCCAGGGCCCCCCCGCGCGTCCTCCTCCCGGAAGTGCCAGCAGCTGCATCCCCTGCGGGCACCGCTGGGCCCCGGCCTCCTCGGCGCAGGGCACAGGTGTTTCCACGCTGCTTCTGCTGGCGTCAGACCTCCTTGCTTCTCCAGGCTGGGCTCTTGGGCGTGGAAATGGTTTTATTTTAAGTGTAACTGAGTGAGGAAGCATTGGGTGGGAGAAAAATGATGGGGTCTAAAATATTATGTTGATAATTCAGTGTAGTTAAAAATAAAGGGGAATTTGCTCTAAAGAAACATTAAGCAAAGCGGACGCTCTCTGCTAGCCAGGAATGGGGCGGGCCTGATGTGGGAAGGCGGCGGGGGCGGGGGGGGGCACCACCTGGGCTGGTGGGCTGCCATGTCCTCTCGTTTCCCAGTCCTCGGGTCAGGGCCCAGCCACCTGCGGTGTCTGCCGAGCTGATTAAATTTTGTCGGTGATGTAAACTCACATCAAATAAAGCCAGAAGAGGGGACAGTGACGGAAAATGCCCTAAAATAAACAGACAAGATCAACCTGTGACAAAGAGAACTTTGCTGATGAATTGGGGAGACTCTCCCGGGATGTGGGGGTGCGGGCAATGCCAAGACCCCCACACATCCCCAGAAAACCCAGACCGTCTCCCCCGCCCTGCTCCCGTGTGTGGCTCTCGGGCGCTGGCCGCAGCAGGTCAGTTTGTGCCTCGGCTTCTTAGTGCCAAGGGCTGCTTGGACGGAAACCGGCCCCTGTCTGGTCGCGGACGGGTGTCTCGGGCCCAAGGAGCGGGCTCCATCCCACTTGGAAATGCGAGCCACTGCCCCTTCCCCACTCACGGCCCCCTGGGGGTCTCCCCTTTCAGAGGCGGTCCCCGAGGCCACGGACATGAAGGAGACCATGGAGCTCATGCCCCAGACGATGGAGTTCGGGGTTCTGAACGCCAGCACGCTCAACTTCCTGAAGGAGATCATATGCCAGGTACACGTGGGCCGGGGCGTCTCCGGGCTGAAGATTCGGCCCCTTGGACGGTCTCTTCCACCCTCACCAGAGGAGGGGAGCAGAAGGTTCCCCGCCCCAGTCCTGTGCATGAGGCGAGGTGGCGGCCTTTTCTCCCCAGGCTTGTCTGTGCCAGGGAGAGCAAGCAAATGCTGTGGCGGGTCGGGGGGTGGGTGTTGGAATTGCCCCAACTGCACACAGAAAGTCAAGCAAACACAGGGCAAGGCCGGAGCTCAGCCCAGTGCTGACCCGGAAGTGGGTGCTCAAGTATGAACCCTAAGATGTGCCTAAGCGGGGAGCGCCCCCAGGCAGCTTGGCAGCATTGTGAGTAGGGAGAGGTGGGAAGGGGCAGACGGAGGCAAGAGGGCGTGGGCCGGACTCGGGAGCAGAAGGAACCCCCCGGAGCTGGCGAGTACCCCTGGAAAGCAGGCAGCCAACTTGGGTTCCCCCGCTGAGACTGGGTACGGGATGGGTGAGTCGGGCCCGCAGTGACGAGCACCCCAGCATCTAGGAAGTCTTGAGTCAGACTAGGCGGGCCGCCAATTTGCTGGAAAGGCTGGACCCAGAGGACCTGGAGCTCCCCCCTCCACCCCACCCCGTGGTGACCCCGCTGTCAGCAGATTCCCAGAAGCTCAGGTTAAACATTCAGGATCTTCAATAATTTGGAAGCACCCGGAGATGAAGAGAGTCTTAAAAGTCACACATTTTAAGAAAAAGTAGGCAAAACTAAAAAGCCAGACCAAACTCCACCCGTCCACCAAGTGAACGGGCATTTTTGTGCACCCCTTTTTATGTGGGGCAAGTTTTGTAATTGTCTTCAAGCCACTTCTGTCCCCAACTAAATGTCAAAAAGGCCACGTCTCTGACCTTCTTGACCGAACCTCCACACATGCTTGTGAGGCCCTGAGCCCAAGGCCAGCGCACCCCCCTCTTCCCTGGGCCCTGCTTCTCTCAGCCGCCCAGCCGGCAGCTACAGCCATCCGGGGCTATTGTCTGGGCGTGGCCTCGCGCCTGGTCAGGCCCTAGCCGGCATTGCTGGGAGTCCAGCAAGACTTCTCGCTGGCCTTTGCCCTTTGGCTGGGAGCTCAGCTTCAGGGAGACGGAAGCCAGAGGCAGCTGAAGCCCACGCGTGGGGGTCGTCGACTGTGTGTGATGTGCTTCCTCTCCTTGGTGTTTCAGGTTTTTCTGCCGGCTTTGTCCTTCAATCAGCACAAGGAAGGAAGTGCGGGCCTCACACCTGGAGAGTTCTCCAGCACGATGGGGTTTGAGATGGACTTGGGTAGCCTGCCTGGGGAGACAGTAGAATATCACAGCATCCAACTGATGCGGGATGAATTTCTAATGAACCTCCAGAAATTCGCAAATAGTATCCAAAGGACAATACAGCAACTGGAAGGTGAGGCTCACGTTCCCCTCTAGCTAACATGGTGACTTTGCTTTTCAGAAGGCCGCTTAAGAGCTCAAGGGCTTTTGTTTTTTTCCCTGAATCTTGTTAAAAATTGCTGATTTGAAAAATGTTACTTCTGACTGAAGTAACATCACATGCCTACATGTAAGTTTCAGGTGTGCACCATTAAAAATCAACATTGCATGCATTACATTAAATCCCTATGAAAATCCAATTCCATCTTTCACTGTACAATTGGCCCCTTTTACCCGATTTACCCAACTCCCCTTCCCCCGTCCCTTCAGGCAATCACTAATGGGTTTTGTAGTCTAAGAGTTTAGATTCATTTCATTCATGTATTTGTTTTGTGTTTTCATAACCATGTGTGAGTGAGATCATCTGGTGTTTGTCTTTCTCCTTCTGACTTAATTCACTGAGCATCATCCAGGTCCATCCATGTTGTTGCAAGCGGCAGGGTTTCATCTTTTTCAGGGCTGAGTAGTATTCCACTGCATAGTAATACCACATCTTCTTTATCCACTCACTTGTCAATGAGCACTTAGGGGCCTCCCCGGTGGCACAGCGGTTGAGCGCTGGGTTGCGAAGCTGCCCGCAGCCTCTGCAGTGCCGGTTCAATCCCCGGCTGCCCCTCGGCCACCGAAGGAGGGTCCCACATGGCGTGCAGACCTCTCCTGCCGCCCGCTGCTCCCCTCAGCAGTGTGCTTCGGTCCTTCTGCCTGCTCTGCTCCCCGCTCTGGCTCTGGTGAATTCTCTCACCCTCCCGCGCTTCTGACTGTACCCAGTGCTTGTATAAATTAAAAAAAAAAAAAAAAAATCTTAAAAAAAAAATGAGCACTTAGGTTGTTGCCAGAGGAGCTTTTGGATTTGAGTTTAAGATGGTTCTTATTTACCTGCTCATGGTGGAAAAGGCCCTGAGCTAGTCATTGTGAGGGACACAGAGCAGTGATGAATACGTGCCCCCAGGCAACTGGATGAAAATCCAGGGCACAAAGAACTATGGAAGAATAGGCCTCAAGTCAGGGCTATCACCACTAGGGCCTGAGTGCAATCCCCCACCAGGGAGCTGACCCACAGGGCGCAGCAGACCTCTCCTGTCTCGTCCACTGCTCCCCTCAGCAGCATATTTCAGTAGATCCGCCTGTACTGCCCCCCACTCTGGCTCTGGTGAGTCCTCTCACCCCCCGTACCTCTGGCCTACACCCCAGTTCTACACAGGGTAAAAAAAAGAGCTTTGGCAGAATAAGGGGCATGAGAAAGAGAGTAGGGCCTTTAGGGCACAATTTCTGCCCAAATAATTTGGGGGTGACTGACCATTTTTCATTCTACTAGGTGAGATCAAGCTAGAAATGCCCAGCATCAGTGTCGAGGGAGAGGTGTCTGAGCTGGCGGCTAACGTGGAGACTGTTGAAATCTTGGAGCAGTGTGTGATAAACTGGTTGAACCAGATATCCACAGCTCTGGAGGACCAGCTGAAAAAGACCCCTCAGGTAACGTGGGCGATACTTTTGAAACTCACCTGCTTTTGAAACTCCTTTTGAAACTCCTGCTGCCTCCTGAGAAAGAACCAGGAGTCTGGGGATCTGTGCGATCCAGTCTCTTTCCTTCCTGTTCTGTGACCTCCTTAAAAGATGAGAGTAAGATGTTATGTTCGGGCTTCCTGATGGTAGTGTGTTATCAGGCTACCGCCTGGGTCAGTACAGGTGATGTGGGGTGTCAGTCAGATGCTCGGGCTGCTGAAAACCAGAAACCCGACTCTGCTGACTTAAATAAGAAGGAGAATCTGTTGCTGAGGAAACCAGAAGGTCCAGAGGCAGGGCCAGTTTCAGGTACAGTTTGATCGGGATCCTGGCCCCGTGTTTCTCTGAGAATCAGTTGGTTCCAGCCTCCTCTCTGTGGTGGCTTCCTCCTCAGGCTGGTTTCCTCCATGGAAGCAACTTGCAGCAATTTCAGGACCCACATCCCCACACCATGTTGCCCAGAGGAAGATGGAGTGAAGGCGTTTGTCTAGCATTCCCAGTGGGAGTCTGAGATTCACTCTGATTCGACCGTCCTAGGTCAAGGGCCCACCTCTGAAGTCCCAGGAGGAAGCGATTAGCCCGAGTGGCACGGCTGGGAGGGAGGAGTGGGCGCTGGAGAAACCACTGCAACTGGACACTTGTCACTGACTCCGAGAGCCGTGTCTGTTCCTGTCATCTCTCAGGGCAACGGCCCTCTGGCCGAAATTGAATTCTGGAGAGAAAGAAATGCAACTCTCAGTGCCCTCCATGAGCAGACAAAGCTCCCAGTCGTCAGGAAGGTCCTGGAGGTGATCAAAGAGTCCGACTCCATGCTCGTGGTGAATCTGCAGCCCGTCCTGACCGACTTGTACAAGTACCACACGGAGGCCTCGGACAACGTGCGCTTCCTGTCCACCGTGGAGCGTCATTTCAAGGTACGCAGGGCCCTGTGGCGCCAGCTCTGGAATCCAAGCTCACCCAGATTTAATTTTCTTTTTTAAAAAACCCCCTTTGTGTATTAATGTCCGTTTATTTTTTTACTTATTTTGCTTTGGCGAATCAGCCGTCAGTGTTGGCCTTTGACATTCTGACTTGCTTTACCACACACAGTCACCCCGAACTCTTCCATCTTGCTGACGGCGGCAGCATTTTGTCTTTCCCCGGCTGAATAGTGCTCCCGGCCTGGCTGTCCCGCCTCTCCACGCGCCGCTGTGGAGACATGTCCCGTGGCCCCGTGGACACTGGCTGGCACGTCTGGCTCCGAGTTAACAGGCTCCCGTTCCTTGGATGGATGCCGGGTCCTGCCTGTTTTCAGTTTTTTAAAGAGAGTGCGGGTCACTTTCCACGACGGCTGCTCCGGCTCACGCTCTGCCTTCCCTCCAACAGCGGCTGGGGCGCTTCTTCCTCCGTGCCCTGGTGTTGGGGGTCACTTCCTCCGGGCTGGCCGGCTTTCCAGGGGCCAGAGGCAGCCCGGCCAAAGGCTGTGCTTGGAAGTGGTGCATCATCTTTGTCCTCTCCTGGGCCGAGCCCCTGCAGATTTGAGGGGTGGAGACATCACCCCGTCTCCTGATGGCCAGTCTCTTCTCACTAAGATCTTAAAATTGTCAATTTTATCAGGCCTTCCTGGTGGCGCATGGGGTTGAGCACAGCACTGTGAAGCTGTCCGCAGTCTCTGCAGCACAAGTTCGAATCCCAGGCCAGCCAGGGAGCAACCCACAGGGCACAGCAGACCACTCCTGTGTCCCCGCTGCTCCCCTCAGCAGTGTATTTCAGTAGATCTGCCTATTCTGCTCCCCACTTTGTCTCTGGTGAATCCTCTCACCCTCCCCAACCTCTGGCCTGTACCCCAGCTCTTAAAAAAAATGGTCAATTTTGTCTATTTGTGTCAGTTCTTCCAGACCAATCTCAAGCTCCTTGGGGTTGTCAGACACTTTCTCCCACGATAAGCAGGATATTTTTAGTCGAGAAGAGTGAAACTTGCCGCACACCTGCTCCTACGGTGTGATGTGGTCCTGGGGCTGGTCCTGCTCCTCAAGCAGCCCGTGTCTCTCTGCTCAGAACATAACGCACGGCTCTGGCTTCCATGTGGTCCTGGAGACCATCCCGTCCATGATGAATGCACTACGCATGGTGTGGATCATCTCCCGGCACTACAACAAGGACGAGAGGATGGTCCCACTCATGGAACGCATCGCCTGGGAAATCGCCGACCGGGTCTGCCGCGTGGTCAACCTGCGGACGCTGTTCAGGTGAAGAGCCACCCTATGCTCCCCTAGGACCCCATGTGGCTTCATGGACACCCCACGCACATGCCTGGCTGTCCGCGCACGCCTGCCATCCGTGGCAGGGGAGAGCATAGGATTCTGCACCCATCCCCGCAGCCAATTGTAGGCTATTTTCTTTCTCCCCCAAAGAAACCCCCAACCTTTCTGTGGGACCCCCCACCCCCTCTTCCCAGGCATCTCCTTTCTGTCCCTGTGGTCTGCGCGTCTGTGCTGGTGACCCCACGCTGGTGGCCTTGCATGTTTGGCTTCCAGGTTCATCCATGTGGCAGTAGTTGTCAGGGCCTCGAGGGTGTAGCTCATTTTATTTTAACCAGGACCTTCTCCCTGGATCCCCCGGAGAGACTGAGGCAGAGGGTCGGAGGGTCCTCAGTCCCGGACTTGATGCCTTCAGGGGCAGCTGCCTCTGAGGATTAAGAGTTGAAGGAGGGCCTCCCCGGTGGCGCAGCGGTTGAGCGCTGCGTTGCGAAGCTGCCGGCGACCTCTGCGGCGCCGGTTCGATCCCCGGCTGCTCCCCGGCCACCAGAGGAGGGTCCCACATGGCGCGCAGACCTCTCCTGCCGCCCACTGCTCCCCTCAGCAGTGTACTTCGGTCCCTCTGCCTGCTCTGCTCCCCGCTCTGGCTCTGGTGAATTCTCTCACCCTCCCATGTGCTTCTGACTGTACCCAGTGCATATATAAACAAACAAACAAACAAACAAACAAATAAATAAATAAAGCATGCCTCTATTTAAAAAAAAAAAAAATCTCTTAAAAAAAAAAAAAAAAGAGTTGAAGGAGACGAGATTTTTTTTCATTAAAAAAGAAAAGCTGGGCCTCCCCGGTGGCGCAGCGGTTGAGCGCTGGGTTGCGAAGCTGCCCGCGGCCTCTGCGGCTCCGGTTCGATCCCCGGCTGCTCCCCGGCCACCGGAGGAGGGTCCCACATGGCGCGCAGACCTCTCCTGCCGCCCGCTGCTCCCCTCAGCAGTGTACTTCAGTCCTTCTGCCTGCTCTGCTCCCCGCTCTGGCTCTGGTGAATTCTCTCACCCTCCTGCGCTTCTCACTGTACCCAGTGCTTGTATAAACAAAAATAAAAACAAAAACAAAACAAACAAACAAATAAATAAATAAAACATGCCTCTATAAAAAAAATAATTAAAAAAAAAAAAAAAAAGAAAAGCTATAGGTGAAGCAAGTGCCCAGGTCTTGGCGTTGTCATTTGGCTTTGGCATTGAACCCTGGTGGGGGTCAAAGCTGCAGAGCTGCAGCAGAGCCAACCCTTTCACAGGGTGGAGAGCTGGGGTGGGGCAGGTGCTGACCTCATTTGGGCTCTCCCATTCCAACCCCTTGGGGGTGTCCTCGGCTTCCCACTCTTGCCCCCACTGTCTCATTGTTGCTGCTCTGCAGAGAGAACCGAGCTAGCGCACAGCGCAAAACCTCAGAGGCCAGGAACACCCTGCACATGTGGAAAAAGTCCTACTTTGAAGTCAGGGCCAAGATCGAGGCTTCTGGGAGAGAGGCCCGGTGGGAGTTTGACCGGAAGCGGCTGTTCGAGAGGACAGACTACATAGCCACCATCTGCCAGGACCTCTACGACATCCTTCAGGTGGGTGGGCCAAGGGGTACTGCTGGAGTTTGGTGGACCAGGGGCATTTGGCTCTTCAGCAGCGGCTTTCTGTGTCGGGGACAGAGAAGGTCTGGCAGCGGGGAGCACTTGGAAGAGCATGCAGTGAACCCTGGAATATTTTGGAAGATTGCAGAAGGCATCAGGACACCCCCAGACCTTTGCACCTTGTCCTGGTCTGCTGTGACACCCCTCCCCTCTCCTGGCCTTGGTTTTCCTTTGACCTTGGGTAGCTCCTTCTCAGAGTCTCGCAAAATCCTCCTCTGGGGAGGGATCAGAAGTTGAAACAAAATGGTTGGTAGAGCTCCCGGGCCAGGTGTGCTCCATAGAACATTTCTTAGCCTTCTCTCTGTGTTTGGAGCAAGCTCTGGCTGGAAGGGAGAACGTGGTCCCTGGGAGCCGTCAGCATCCTTACTTATCTGCTGTGGATGCAATGCACTGGCCTCTGTTGGTTTTGAGTCTCCCCCAGAATTCTCTGCTTTCTGGACATGGGGTGCCATAGTGGACAGGGGGTGGGGGGCGGCAGGCGTACAGGCTCCACGCATCTCCCCTGCAATTGTGCATGCACACGGTCCCTTGGACGTTGTTCCCCAGAGCACGAGTTCAAAGACAAAAGTTCAAGCTGGACATAGCAGGGCTGTGAGCCAGCGCGGGGCCCTCCTGAGCCTGGACCCCAGGCGCCGGCCGAGTGCAGGCCCACGAAGCTGGCCCGGGCAGACATGTGCGAGATCTGTGGTTTTGGGGAACAGACAGTCTAGCGGAAGAGAGGTTGGAGGTGCAGCAACCACACGATACACAGCTGCAGTTGGCCATGGAAAGAACAGCTGAGGCGCTCTTGGGGGGGTCCAGGGCTTGGCCTGGTCTCAGGGGCGGACGTGAGCGACCGAGCGGTATTTAATGATAAGTGGTGTTAAGTAGGCACCTGGAAGGGCACGTGCAAAGGCCCTGAGGCAGAGATGAATGTGGCTGGAAGGGAGCTGGGGTGACTCTGGGCGCCAGGGAGGGGCGGGCAGGGCCCAGGCGCGCCCGCCTGCTCAGCCGTGCCAGGTGTCTGGAGTCCCAGCTTGCGGGGGGCACAAACTAGGGGGATGTGATGCCCCCAAGCAAATCTGGAAGTGCCCCCCGGGTGGCCAGAACAGCCAGGAGACAACCAAAAGCTGACCCCGCCGCTCGGCTCACAGGTGGTGGAGGAGTTCTACAATATATTTGGCCCGGAGCTGAAGGCGGTGACTGGCGACCCCAAGCGCATTGACGACGTGCTGTGCCGCGTGGACAGCCTGGTCAGCCCCATGGAGAACCTGACCTTTGACCCCTTCAGCATGAAGTCCTCCCAGTACTGGAAATACGTGATCGATGACTTCAAGATCGAAGTTCTGGCAAGTAGCCCGTGGCCGGGGCCGGGCGCCTGTGTCCCCCTGGTTACCTGTGTGGGCTTGACCGCGCTGAGAGCTGTTGTCTGTTTTAAGCAGAAGAGGCGATCCCTACTTACTGGGAACAACACAGACGTCAGGCGCAGGTGGACACTCCTCCGTCCACTTGGTGCCCCTCTCAGGTGGGGGGGCGATGCCCGCTCCCCTGTGGTCAGTGGGAACATCCCAAACTCCTGACTGTCCGCCCCATCGGATGTGTCCTCCCCACCATCTTAGTCTCAGTGAGATAATCCTTTTAAAATCATTTACTTTGGGGGGATGCAGGAAAGCATGACGCAGTCGCCCTCTTTAGCGGGACCCCCTCCTGCTAAAGCTCAGTGGGGCCCTAGCTCCGTGTCTGTTCTTTCTCACCCTTCTGGATTCCGTGGGCTGATTCTGGGGCCCCGAGGGCTGTCTTTTAGACTTGGCTGTTTTGTTTTTTTTTGTCCTGGCAGGTTATCGAGAAAGAAGCCAAAAATTTTATCGACGAATCTTTCAAGACGCTTCGATCTGCCGAAGCGGCATTTGACATGCTTTTAAAATTTAAGCATATTCGTTCGCGGGAGGCGATTAATCGACAGATGATGATGAAGTTTAACGACATCCTTGCGCAGTATTGTAAAGAGGTAACGGGCAGATCTGCAGCTGCCGTGCTGGTGGGGACACGCTGAGGGAATGTCACATAGGACAGGTGGCCCGATCAAAGAGGGTTTGCTTATTTTCAGAGAAATTCAGTAAGAATTTCTCAAGCACAACAGCATATCCTGCCCTCCATGAGGGGGTCATGGAAAGAACTGCGTGAGTGAGTCGTGGTCACACAGGCCGCGCGCAGGATGGGGATGTGTGTCTGTTGACTCAGGATTTACCTGGTGCTTGCCCCAGGGGCGCCCCGTGGTTTGAGGCAAAGAGAGCAGGAGCTGGACACAGCAGATTCTGCCTTCAGAGAGCTCACATCGAGTGGGAGAAACAGACCGAAAAATAGGCATATGGCTTCGTTGGGGAGATAAAATGAGAGGCTGTGACCTAAGTAGATGGAGCGTGGGTGGCTCCAGGCGCAGACGCCACCTCCCCCTGCAGGAGGCCCTGGACCACACAGGCCGGAGTTAAAGGACATGCCTTTCCTGCCTCAGGTGCAGCCCTGAGGGCGGGGTCTTCCCCGGCTGGCTCTGGGGGTAAATCAAGGCGCACCAGGGCTGCAGCCTTTTCTGGAGCTTCCAGGGAGCATCCTTTTCCTTCCTTTTGTTTTTCAATTCTGGATATTCCTGGCCTCCTCCCTCTTCAAAGCCAGGGAGGGGCTGGGTCTCCCCCGGTGGTACAGCGGTTGAGCACTGGGTTGCGAAGCTGCCCGCAGCCTCTGCAGCGCCGGGTTTGATCCCCGGCTGCCTGGGGGAGGGTCCCACATGGCGCGCAGACCTCTCCTGCCGCCCACTGCTCCCCTCAGCAGTGTACTTCGGTCCTTCTGCCTGCTCTGCTCCCCGCTTTGGCTCTGGTGAATTCTCTCACCCTCCTGTGCTTCTGACTGTACCCAGTGCTTGTATAAATAAATAAATAAATCTTTAAAAAAAAAAAAAAAACAAAGCCAGGGAGGAGCAGCCCCACACCCATCCTGCCCACCCTTTTCCACTCCCTCTTCCTGTGTAAAGGCCCTCAGGATATGTAGGGCCCGCCAGAGAACCCAGGATAACCTCCCCACTGTAAGGCCGGTTGCTGGGCAGCCCTGACCCTACTGCTCCCACATTCCCCTATGCCACGGGACAAAACAAGGTCACAGTCCTGGGGATCCAGGCTGTCACGGGGACCTCGTGCTGCCTCCCGCACCTCAGTACCCAGATGGGAGTGTGGAAAGGCCACTTTTAAAAAGGAGGCCAGACCTATGGCCCAAGAGTCCAAGCAGAGTCTCGTAGACATGTTCACATGCCCAAGTTCATGGCCACCATTCCTGACAGCCAAGGGGCGGAAGCGGCCGTGCTCAGCTGGAGGTGGACGATGAACCAGATGTGGTCTGTCCACGCGGTGAGTGCTGGCCTCAGGAAGGAAGGGGACGCTGCCCCTGACTATCCCTGCTTCCCCTGCTGTCTCCTGCTGCTCCACACTGCCCCCGCTGCACCCTGCTGTCCCCCCATTGTCTCCCATTCCCCCCCCCCCCCCCCCCCCCCCCCGTGTGAGCCTTGAGGGAATCTGGTAAGTGAAAGAAACCAGCCCCCAAGAGTCTCCTGCATAGGATCCACTTACAGCAGGTGCTTGGAGTGTCACAGTCAAGGACGCGGAGAGCAGAATGGTGGTTGCTGGCCTGGGCAGAGGGAGGGGTGAGCTGCTGATCAATGAGAATAGAGGTTCAGTTTGCAAGATGAGAAACACCCTGTGGACGGACGGGTTCGCTGGGTGTGGGGACTGGACTTCAGCCTCTGAACTGCGCACATAGCAATGGTGGGGACGGCACGTTCGATGTTGGGTGTATTTTAACCTGATTTAAAGATATTCTGTGATAAACAGCCGCGCAGCCCAGGGGCAGGTGCACCAGCGCGGGGCAGGCCCGGCCACCCGTTGCGTCTGCCTCAGCCGCGGAAGTTTCTAATAAGCCGGCCAACTGGTCGCTCATGGCGTGGGCTTGCCGGGCGGTGTGGAGCAGCGGGTGCGGCGCCGAAGGGAGAGGCGTGGAGAGGGTGAGAGAGAGCAGTAAGTGACGTGGAGGTCGTCAAGACACTCGCCCAGGTCTCAGAAGGTGCCGTGAGCATTTCTTTAAAGTCACAGCCTCCAGCTCCGTCTGCCTTCGTCCACGGGGTCACGTCTCCTGCTCACAGGTGCCTGCTTGGTTTTCAGATCGACATCATCAACAAGCTCTTTGTTCAGCACCAGGAGAACCCGCCACTGTACAAGAACCACCCTCCGGTGGCCGGCGCCATCTGCTGGGAGCGCTCCCTGTTCTTCCGCATCAAGCACACCATCCTCCGCTTCCAGGAGGTGGAGGAGATTCTGGACAGTGACCTGGGGAGAGAGGTGTGTGGCGTGGCCGGGGCCCCCGAGTGACCCGGGCCGCGGAGAGTGGCCTGCGGGAGAAGCTCCTGGTCTCACACCCGCGCCTGCCGCCTGTGAGGCCTTCCTGCGCTCGTTCACATAGCCCTGGGCCTTGAAACCGCCTCCATGGCCTTCCTCAGTGGCGTCTCTGTACACGGCAGCGTGTCCAGCTAGCGAGTGGGCTTCTCCCTGCACTTGACCTTCAGCCTCTGGCGAGGGGGGCTGCCAACTTTCACGCTGCTCTCCCCGCCCCTGGGCCTTTGCATGTTGGGCTGAAGGGATTGACAACCCCTTTCTTTAAAGGTCCGGGGAGTGAGTATTTCAGGGGTTGGCGGGTCCTGTTGCGGCTACCCAGTTCTCCTTGTGGCCTGCATGGATCGGGGTGATAAGGGAACAGGTGTGTCCGTGTCCCAGGGGAACCTCGCATGGGGTGCTGCAATTGGAACTTCACGTACTTTTCACGTGCTGCCAGCATTGAGGTTCTATTTGCTTTTTCTGATCATCGAACAAGGTCACAGCCATTCTTGGCTCACGGCTGTGGGTGCAGATTCCTGCTGGCCAGCCTGGACCAGTCACACCATCTCCAACAGACCCCCCCCCCCCCGCAACAGACATGCAAAGCTGTCTGCTTCCCTTTGCAAAATGCATTACCAGGTCATCCTTTCTTTAGAAAGAGAGAAGACAATGTCTCCGAGGAGGAGATGGCAATGATCTGAATTTTTGATAGGTAAAACAGAAATATTTGGAAGTGGGCAGGACCATGAAGGAATACGAAGACAAAAAATACCAGTTGTGGAGAGAGAACACGGAGCAGATCCTGCCGACACTGATGAAGAAGAGCCTGCTCACCAAGGTGCTGCCTCAGCCTGCCCCAGTCCCATCAGTGACGCATCCAGCATGTTCTTGGGGCTTGACTTGTGGATGCTCATGAACTTGACATCTATTGCCTGGCTCAAAGGCAAAGAAGGGCAGAGGTTGGGTGGGAGGAGGGGCAGGGAGGAGCGAGATGGAGACAGAACAGACACGGTGAGGAGGTGGGCCAGGATCGGGCAGCCCTCCTGACTTGTGGGGCGAGCAGCTGAACTCTGAGCCTCAGTTTACCCATTTGTAAGGTGAGTTGGATCGGCTGACACATGAACAGGAAGATTCTCCGTTGGTCCCTACATGGAGCATCCGACAATGGACCACTCGTTTTAACCTTCCAGGTGGTGCGTCCTGCTCTCTAGCACTGGTCTGGCACAGAGCAGGTGCTCTGTAAACAGACACCAGCTGTTGGGGCGGGAAGGCTTGGGCTTGTTCTTCTAGGTCCTTGGTCTCTGAAATCCCGACTCTGATGAGTGAAGGTGGTGAGGTGGGACCATATACTGGGAGCCGGACTGCTCAGGCCCCCGCCAATGGGCCCTGTTTCCAGTTCCAGCCTAGTCTTGCCATGAACTGTCTGCTGCTGTGACTTTCTGAGGGAGGCCAGGCTTCTGGCTTTTATGTGCCATCACCAGATTTTTGGATGTGGGTGACTAGACCGAGTTCTTGGAAGACAGTTCACGAAACAAAAGCTGTGTTCTGTCTGAATCCTGTCAGCTCCCTAGATGCCGGGTGTCCTGGGCCCCACGTGGGGGCCCCTCCAATTCACATTGAACTTGGGCAGGGGTCTGACTCCCTGGACCCCTGCCCAGCCCAGACCAACGAAATGTCTCTTCCGCAGACTTCTGAGGACGCGGCACCCACGGACAAGGGGCCTGTGTTTGTGATCAATTTCTCACCTGCCCTCAAGGAGATCATTCATGACACTAAGTACTTGGAACAGCTGGGGTTCACTGTCCCTGAGTTAGCAAGGAATGTTGCACTTCAGGAGGACAAATTTCTTAGGTAAGAAGGCTCTTCTCTTAAATCAGCAGTAGACTTTCCGTTCTCAGGACCCCTTTGAGAACCCCCGCCCCTTGGAGAGTCTTCGTTTTTGTGGATTTTATAACTACCAACATTTGCCACATTAAAAATGAAAATGAGGGGCCTCCCTGGTGGCGCAGCGGTTGAGCGCTGGGTTGCGAAGCTGCCCGCAGCCTCTGCAGCACCGGTTCGATCCCCGGCTGCTCCCTGGCCACTGGAGGAGGATCCCACATGGTGCACAGACCTCTCCTGCCGCCCGCTGCTCCCCTCAGCAGTGTCCTTCGCTGCTCTGCTCCCCGCTCTGACTCTGGTGAATTCTCTTACCCTCCCACACTTCTGACTGTACCCAGTGCTTGTATAAATAATAAATAAATAAATAAATAAATAAATAAATAAATAAATAAATCTTTAAAAAAAAAATGAAAATGAGGGGCCTCCCTGGTAGCGCAGCGGGTTGAACGCAATGCTGTAAAGCTGTCCACAGCGTCTGCAGTGTGGGTTCGATCCTGGCCGGCCGGTGAGAATCCCACATGGTGCGGCAGACCTCTCCTGTCCTGCCCGCTGCTCCTCTCAGCAGTGTATTTCATCAGTCTGCCTGTTCTGTTCCCTGCTCTGTCTCTGGTGAATCCTCTCACCCTCCCGCACATCTGGCCTGTACCCCAGCTTTTGTCTGCATAAATAGATAAATCTTCAAAAAAAAAATGAAAATGAGGAAGTGTTTAGAATATGTATTCATTCATTCATTCATCTAATAATAACCATAATAAATGATTACCTGTTAATGAAGCAGCCAACAGTTTCCAAAAAGGAAAATGTGTGGGAGGAGCTGCTCGTCCCAAACCTTGGCGAGGATCTTGTTCAAGGTTGTGGCTGTGACTGGTCCCTGGTGACAGCTCGGGCCGTAACGCGGGACTTCACGAGCCCCTCTGTGTGCGCTCACGGCTCCCCTGTCCCGCACAGGTACACGGACGGGATACAGCGTGTACTGGATCATTACCACAAGCTCGTAGGCACGTTGAACGAGGCCGAGTTGCTCCTCCTGGAGGACCACTCCCAGGAATTGATCAGAGTGTTTCGGTCTGGATACAAGAGGCTGAACTGGAACTCACTAGGTAACAAACCGCCTCTTGGCCCTTTAGGTCTTGGGGTGCAGAAATAGCTCTTTGAGAACATCTTAGTTGCATCCTGATGTTTGTGTGTTTATAGGGACAGTGAACAGATAAGCTTCGCGCATTAGTCAGTGGCACTTGGTGGGCCTTAGAACTCATCTCGAGGGTTAGCTGTGGTGAAGAAGGGGGTGCCGTTTTGACACTGCCAAGTCAAAGTGTTCTCCAAAAACAAAGTGTCCTTTGCTTTTTTTAATATTAAAAATTTAATTTTGACTTAGTTATAGATTGGCCATTGGCCTTTCTCCCTGCACAGGTCTGCTGGCCATGTAGTGTTGCTGCCGGGGGAGGTATAAGCCCTGGGCCCCCACGCCGCCTCACGGCAGATGGGGCCACATTCCTGCTCCGTCCTGGTCTGCACCCATTCTGGGTGGGGTCCCCCTCCCTGCGGAGGCCTTCCCTGACCTCTCCACCACGCACAGGGGGCAGAGGGCCGGGTACCTCATCAGCGTTGGCGGGGCACGGAGGATCCTGTTTGGCCCCCACTGCATGGGGCCGTCACGTCTACGCTTCTGTGGGGGCGGGGTCCTTTCTTGGTGCCTTGGCTGGAGATTGTGGGATTCTCTTGGGGCTTCTGGCATGCGGGCCGCTGCCTTCCCCAGCTCCAAGACTGGGATGGATGAGAAGGACCCCCGGGACTCACCAGGGTGTCACCTCCGGGCCCAGCACCCTGGCCAGTTGGTGGCTCCACCTTTGAGTCTTAAAGTTTGCTTTAGCTGACTTAGCTGGAGGAGCAAGGAAAACACACCCACTCCCTTGTCCTGGAAGTGGAACTTTACTTTTTTACACAAGCAGCATTTTCTTCTTCTCTTTTCCTTCCTCCTCTCTCCCTTCTCCTGCGGCAGGCCTCCTCCTTCCTTGCTCCCTCATTTCCTTTTCTCCTCGTCTTCTCTCTTCTTTGCACAGAGAACCTGCATCTGGGGCTGTGGGCTCCAGAGCGAAACCCCTGGGTTAAGAGCCTGGCTCTACCCATGTGCCTCAGCCTCTGGGGGCTCAGTCTCCTCACCTGTAAAATGGGCCTAATCTTCGTGCAGGCTTCTCCTGCCACCCAAAGGTAGAATGTGCCGATTTGGTCTGATTTTGTAGGTTATTTGTGGGTCTAGGGATGTTATTACCATTAATATAGCAAGAAGAATCTGAGCATGCCCAGACTCCCAAAATAACCCCAAATCACAGCAAGTTGGGATGTTCTACCTGCGGACAGCGGGGTGCCTGTGCCCACATCACAGTGTTTAATGATGTTCCGATGGCATCATAAACACCACACACTTAGTTCCGGCTGCTCTGTTTTAAATTCATGGTCGAGCTGTCTACCTGTCTGAGCCAGAGGCCACAGGAGAGCGGGCAGGGGGGCAGGGCGGTATTGGGTGCAGGGTCCAGGCTGTGGGATGAGAAGCTGGCAGGGTGGGGCTGCCTCTTCCCTGCACAGCTTCATGCCAGGATTTGAGTAGAAGAAACAGGCAGTTTGGCTGACCCTGAGCCCAGGGCTCCTGGCCCCATCCCTGCGGGTGTGAGTGTGGGTTCTTCCCAGGAATCCAGGGAGGCGGCGCGAATCGGGGCCTTCCTTCTAGTGCAGGGAGGTGTCCGTGCTGCAGACGCACCAGGAGGGCTTGAAGAGGGGGGAGAAGGGAAATGACCACGGAACCCAAAGGCCCTTCCTCCTCCTTCCGCTTTTTCTCCAAAGGTATCCCTGACTACATAACCCGGTGCAAACAGGCCATCGGGAAATTCGAATCTCTGGTGCACCAGATCCACAAGAACGCGGACGATATCACTTCCAGGCTGGCGTTGATTGAGTCCATAAATCTCTTTAAATATCCAACATGTAAGAGTGAGGACGAACTCCCAGGTGGGTGTGGCTCCTGGCCTCTTTGTAGACATCTCGCTCATGATTGCACGTGCGCATGCGCACACACACTCTTACACGCACACTCACACTTCCACACATTTAACACCTATGTGCTCCCTCCTGCCCCCCTCACATGGCCCTTGAGTCGAATTAAAACCATTGCTAGTGATCTCAATCATTTACTTGCAGTGCTCTCAGGTAATTTTTCTTCTTGTCATGTTTACATATTGCTCAGCTAATGTCACAGATTCCGTGTGAAAATCAGCCACACTTTTGTCCATCCCTGGTGGCAGCCAAGTGAGTTGTGTCTGAGGGGCTCAGGAGAGCTCGTGAGTGGGCCCAGCCTAGCCCGGGAGCCAGTCGAGGCTGTGAGCTTGCCCACGTTGGGCACAGCCCCGTTCCGGGTGGCTCACGTGAGCGCGGTGCCAGCTACGAGCCTCGGCCACGTATTTCCCGACTAGGACGTGGCTTGACTTCTGCTGCTGACTTGTTCTCTGCTCTAAGTGGGGATCAGGGGCTGCGTTGGTGTTTCTAAGATGTACGTGTGACTTGCCGCTCGAGCCCCGTAACACTGCGTCTTCCTCCGCAGGCGTGAAGGAGTTTTTTGAGCACATTGATCGAGAACGGCTGAAAGACGTGGAGCACATGGTCAGGTGGTATCTCGCCATCGGGCCTCTGCTGACCAAGGTCGAGGGCCTGGTTGTCCACACCAACACCGGCAAGGCCCCCAAGCTGCTGCCCTACTACGAGTACTGGGAAAATAAGATTTATGAGGTCCTGACCAAGCTCGTCCTGAAGTAAGTTAGACTTCTCGGTGCGGACATCAAAGTACTTTACACGTCCGAGCAGGTCAGAGTTGAGCGACTTCGGAAGTCATGGTGTGGTTTAGGTGTCTTCCGATGAAGGGAGATCAGCCTCCCCAAAGCAGGAATGAGTGATTTGGAATATTTAGGCCAGAAAAATAACGTACATACTCGTTCCAGATGGGCCGTGACAACCTGAGAGTATTTATTCCTTTGAGGAGATTTTTCCCACGTGAGGGTGCTCTGGTCGTTCCATCAACTGTTGGGTTTAGTTCACTCTGCTGAGGACTGACTCTGTTTTTTATTAACCCTCCTAGGAATTTGCAGTCTTTCAATTCTTTAGTCCTTGGAAATGTCCCTTTGTTCCAAACGGAAACCATTCTGACTGCCCCCGAGATCATCCTTCACCCCAACGCCAATGAGATCGACAAAATGTGTGTCCACTGCGTCCGAAGTTGCGTGGAGATCACCAGGGTAAGGGCGGAGGGGCCTGGGTTGAGTCCCGGGGGGCTGGGCCAGTGACCAAGGTGCTGTGCTTCCGGGCCCACAGCCCACGGCTCCACTTGGCCTTTGTCCAGGCCGTCTCAGCCCCTGCCCGGCTTCTCCTCTCTGGTCTCCAAACCCTGGAGTGTCCCCAGATCGATCCTGGCCCCCTTCATTCTCTTGTCCACTCCCCACATCATCATGAGGAGTCTCTAGTCTCCTCCAGTACCAGTCATGAGAGGTGACCCCCATTTCCATCTCCCCCCCAGCCCTCTCTCACGCTCTGCACTCTTCTGCTTCCTAGTCCCTGCCCCCTGGACGACAGACGCGGCTTGTCCAGGGTGGAATCCTTGACCCTGCCCAGTTATCCTGCTTTGGGAAATAGCCCCACCATCCTCTCCTGCCCCATCACCTCTGACTCTTCCCTATCTACTGGCTCACTCTCCTGTCGGCTGCCCCGTGCCTACAGCCCAGCCCCCCGAGACCGTGCCCTCGGTGTGCTTGTCCACTTCTGAAGCCCCGGCTCCGCGGACGGCAGTTCACACGAACCTGGCTCTGGGTCAGCCTGGCTCTGGGTCAACACTACTGAATGGATGTTTTTTGCCAAAAATTCCAAAGTCTCATGACAATGGAAATGCGGGGCCATCTTTGTGGGCAAAGGATGTCAGGCCCCTCCCTCCACACACTGACATCGTCTTGTTCAGAAAGTCAAACATGTCTTAGGCTTTTTTTAAGCATAAAACGGAGTGTAGCTGTTACCCACAGGAAATTAGTTTTCACCACATTGGAAATGAATGAATAAGCTGAACGCATTTTGTGTCCTGTGCAAAATAGATTATTTATTAAGCTTCTTTTTTATCAGTTCTCTTAAGTTACAGATGTTACACCGACAACTCTTTGAGTGGGAAAACAAAGCAGTTTCCAAGGGGCAAATAAATAAGAAAGGTGTTAATCACAACATTTCATGCTGATTTAACTGCCTCCCACCCCAGTAGATGTGCCTGGGGCTTCTGACAGAGCTAGTCTTCTTTTATCTTCACAAATGCTTTCTTTCAAGGGAAAAGAGTTTTTCCCTGTCCTTGGAAAATGTTGAAAAGGTACTCCATAAACAGAAGTCTTTGCAAATAAACCTTTATGATGAGGTAACTTAGTGTGGTTTAGCCACAGCATGTTTTTCTACTTTGGGTTCACATTTCATGACAGAAAACAAAATGAGTGAAAGTTTTTAACTGCGATCCTCATGACCTCATCCCTCAAGGGGAAATGATAGTGCAGGCCAACCTCTGGAGCTGTTGGGAAGATTAGATGATGTGACACTTGTCGACAACTTAGTAGACAACTTTACGCCTTAGTGGCTGAAAATAGTCCTTCTTTTGCTCATAGTGCCGTGGGTTGGGTTCTGCTGAGCGGTTCTTCTGGTCTTGGCTGTGCTCACTCGTGCATGTGGCAGCGGGTGATCTCAGTCACATGTCTGATGATTGGCTGGCGGTTGCGGGGGGCACCTGGCTTCTCCTGTGTCCACGTTATTATCATCCTCTGGGCCAGCTCCAGTGCGTCCCTCTGCTGGATGCAAGATTTCAAGAGCATGAGAGGGGAAACTGCAGGTCTGCTTGAGCCCTTGGTTTGGAACTTATGCAGTGTCCCGTCTGGCCCTTTCTCTTGGGCAGGTTAAGTCCCAGGTTAGCCTGGCGTGGGAGAACACATTCATCTCTGGATGGGAGGAGCAAAGCACTGTGGTCATTTTTACAATCTAGCCCCACTGATAAAGCCCTTTCCGTTACTAGCTAGAGTTGTGTATGCGAACGAATATAATACAGATGTGTGGCGTCAAATAGACACTAAAGTACTGTCCCCCTCCCCCTGTTCTTATTTTCCAGCATTTTGTCCGATGGATGCACGGCAGCTGCATAGAGTGCCCTCCTCAGAAGGGGGAGGAGGAAGAACTCGTTATAATAAGCTTTTACAATGACATCTCTCTGAACCCCCAGATAACTGAGCAAGCACTTATGATCCCCCAAAACGTCCACAGGATTCTGCTCAATCTTACAAAGTACCTACAAAAATGGAAGAGGTATCGCCCCCTCTGGAAATTGGACAAAACCATCGTGATGGAGAAATTTGCCGCCAGGAAACCCCCCTGTGTGGCATATGATGAAAAGCTGCAGTTCTATTCCAAGATTGCCTCCGACGTCCTGCGCCACCCTCTGATTAAGGACGAGCAGTGCGTCCGGCTGCAGCTCGGGCCGCTGGCGAGCACAGTGCGGGAAAATGCCAAGTCCTGGGTGCTTTCGCTTGGGAAACTCCTCAACGACTCAGCCAGGGAGGAGCTCCACAATCTCCACGAAGAGATAGAGGTGGCTGTCCCTGGGTTTCGTCCCAGTGGCTGTTCTTGGCAGTTGGGTCTTCATTCGACGCTGATTTTGTGTCCTTTCAACCTTGTTTCCTAGCACCTGGCCAAACAGCTGAAGAAGAGCCCCAGCACCCTTGAAGACCTCAAGCTTGTCCTCGCCACGATTGCCGAGATCAGGAGCAAGTCTTTAGTCATGGAGCTGAGATACAGGGACGTCCAGGAGAGGTACCGCACCTTGGCCATGTACAATATCTCCGTAAGTGGACGTCTGCTTTCTTTCTTTACGTCTTGGTTTATCAGTAAGAAAAAAAATTTGAGAGCCCCAGAGCGTTCCCCAGATTAAAAACAGTGGCAGCTGCGGCTGGTCCTGACACTGCCCTTATTATGAGTTTCTTATGGAAAGTTCTTTTATTGCACAACACCATGGAAATCATGCATCTTTTTATTATTTTTCCCCACCACCATCCCGGTGTCCCTCTGTCTCTCTCTATCCCCCCTCCCTCCTGGCCTCAGAGCCTCAGCGTGTTTGTTGAAGTCCGCTGGTTTTGGAAAGTGCTTCATGTTATCAGGTGCCTGCTATACAAGTGTCCAGCATTTGTTTTTATCATTCTGACTTTGCTGCACATCTTTCTCTCAAATTCCCTTCCGTTTGTTGAAAATGGCTGCCTTCCACCCTTTCTAATGGCTGTGTAGTACTCCACGGTGTGGCTATCCCCCATCTTTGGGATCCAACCTTCTGTCCATGGACATGCAGGCTGCTCCGTGTCCTGGCTATCGTGCACACTGCTGCTGTGAACGGTTTTTTGTATTGGTGGTTCACTATCTTTGGGTATTTGCCCAAGGTGGGGTTGCTGGGTCATCCAGTTCTCACCATTGCTTCTGCGTGTCTGCTGGCGAGGCCCTCGGTCGCGTGTCAGGAAGTCAGCTGTTGCGCTCCTTAACGCCCTTAGTTCTGATCATTGCTCCGCACACTTCTTTACCTGCATCTGTTGTCCTATGGCCTCTGTGTTTTGAGTTCCATAAGCATTGTTGCGACTGTGACCCTGCCCTCCTCTTCTGAAACGTTTGCCGTCCTGCTAGTTCGGGGCGTCGCCCTGGGGACTCGTGGTGGTCTGTCTCCTCATTTTTCATTTCCTATGGGCTGTAATGGGGGAGATGTCTAGACTGCCGCCTTTGCTCCGGCTGAGGTACTCTGGGGTCTGGCACTGTGAGAGATGGTGGGTATACAGGAGGGTGGGCAGTGGGGCAGCCAAGGGTGACCCCTAGGAAACTCAGGGACCCAGAGACCCCTCTTCTGGGTGGTGTCTCCTCATCTGGGGGTCTCCACTTGGGGCTATTTTTTGGCACCAGCTGCGGGGCTGGGCGTGGGATGCAGGTGATAGGGGTCACAGGCTGGGAGCTCCGCTCTTCTCTTCCAGCACAGTGCCTCCCCCGGGGTGTCTGCTTGTGCTAGACAAGCCCCTGCTTGGGAGGGGCTTGAGCTCTTGTTTGTCCAGGTGTTTCTTTGTCCTGGTTTCTGCCTGGATCGGGTGGATGGTGTGGGCAGCTCAGCCTGATCTTTGAGTAGCCTCATCTAGGGGAGACCCAGGTGCTCCACCTGCTTCTTCTGACTGATCGGGGTCCAGCTGTTCTGTGCCGAGAGCTTCAGGCTCAAGCCAGTCACCCTTGCTTTGCGCCCCCACTCCTGCGGCCCCAACAATGCACCCTCCATCCTGGGTGCCGGCTCACACACCCCCTTACTCGGTGCAGGGTCTCAGGAGTCCCTGGCATTGGCGCGGGCCGCGTCAAGGCTGAGGGGGGCTCTGCGCAGCGCCCGCTCTCCATGTCCTGCTGCCGCTATAGAGTCTACTTCAAATATTTCCTGCCGCCGTCCACGGACTGTTGCCCTGGGGGAGTGCTCTGGTGGGGGGTCCGCTTCCCCTCGGGGTGTGCGGCCGCAGTTTAGTTGTGAGAATTGGGAGGAGGGAGCCCCCGCCTGTCCTCCCGGCCCTCCAGACGCCCCTTCTGTTCTCTTAAGCATTGTACAGTTGGGGTGAAGACTGAGACCCTGTCAGAACTATCTCTCAAACAGACCCCCAGAGTCATTTCATGACTTTCAGTCACAAAATGTAAATGTTAAGCAAGCCTACAGTAATTTGGAATAAAGGAAGCTTGGAGCTTGTTTCTGATCCTGCTCGGCGCGCACAGCGTTGCTGCCGCCTGGCCGTGACCGCGCAGCCTTTCAGCGCTGCCTCTGCCTGCTCGGTGTGTGTGCGCTCCCCTTGGCCAACAGCTCTCGCCCGCGGGCCGGCCATGATGAGAGAGATGAGAAGAGAAGCTGGTCGGTGCTTCGGTTCTCTTTGAAGCGTGGGTTTCGGGGAGCATTAGACGTCCGTGGATGAGTTGGAGGGGGTCTGGCTTTTCCTGAAATCACTGGCACGCTGTGCGTTTTTTTGGCGAGGGGCTCTCTGCGTCCCCTCCAGGCCTAGAGCTCAGCGAAGGTGTTGAAACAGCCAAGTCACGAAGCTGCCGAAGTACAGATTTTATGCAAGTTCAGTGTTACAAAGGCCATTTGTTTCTTTTCTCAAGCTTTTCCCTTTTGCGTCTTTGTGGGTATGGGATGCCGTGGGTCTCAGCGACCCTCTTGCTTCTGCGAGGTGAACCACGTCCACCTGGCCAGGGAGCGCTCCCAGGTGCCCTGTGCTGAGGAGCGTAAGTGCCCCCGGCTTGGCCACCAGGGGTCTGCCCAGCGCAGGATCCTGCGCAGCAGCGAGGCCCACGCTGACGAGGCCCCGGAGCCCGCGAGAAGCCTCTCGCAGGGACCCGAACACAAGGACCAGGGACTCTTGAGTTGTGTCTTGTGTGCCGACACTGGCCCCTCACTTGCCTTTTGAGCTCTTAAGGCGGGCATCGTAATGATCATTTCTAGAATTCCCATTAAAAAACAAAACACTTCCTGTTCTCTGCCACAATTCTCAATTTTTTTTTTTTAAGATTTATTTTTATTTATTCATACAAGCACTGGGTACAGTCAGAAGCTCGGGAGGGTGAGAGAATTCACCAGAGCCAGAGCGGGGAGCAGAGCAGGCAGAAGGACCGAAGTACACTGCTGAGGGGAGCAGCGGGCGGCAGGAGAGGTCTGCGCGCCATGTGGGACCCTCCTCCGGTGGCCGGGGAGCAGCCGGGGATCGAACCGGCACTGCGGAGGCTGCGGGCAGCTTCGCAACCCAGTGCTCCACCGCTGCGCCACCGGGGAGGCCCCCAATTCTCAATTTTAACTTTTGTCTCCTTTATCAAGTCAAAGGTGTGTCTTGCTTAGGAAGTGGCTGGAAAGTGAGATGATACTATGACTCAAAGATCTGTTTTTTCTTCAAATACTTTTTCTCAGAGAGCTTTAGAGGTTATGTATATTGAGTTTGAGAGACTGGAAAGCTTTTCCCGCCTTCTCCTGTCATCTCCCGGGACCTCTCTTTTGAGCTCTTAATTTCAAGCATTGTAACTGTCAGGCCTAGAATCTCCTTTTAAAACAATTTTCTGTTCTCTGCCAAGATTCTCAATTTTGTCTTGTTTCCCTGACTCGGTTAAAGTACAACTGACTTAGCGTCTGTGTCTCCTAACTCCTGGTGGTCTGCTTGTTCTACGTGTGTCTCTTGATTTTATTTGTCATTTTGTGTCCTTACACCCCTGTTATATCTGACTGCGTGCTGGGCATTGATATGACAGGTTACAGACAGGGCTGGAGACTCCACGTCACGTTATAGTTCATCAAAGGAGCTTATCTGTTCCTGACAGACATCGACGCTGGGTCCATGAGCGGTTGAGATGGTGCTAGTTTTTCAGGGCTTAGGTTGATTTAAAGCTGGGTTTTAGTTTATGATGAGCTTATTTCTCTAGGTTATCTTTCTAGATTATTTATTTTTTAAAAAATGTTCTGTCCTTCCAGCTGCATCCATGTTGCCGCAAATGGCATGAGTGTTTGGATCTCTGAGTAGCATTCCATTGTTTAGATATACCACAACCTTTTGATCCATTCGTCTGTTTGGGGGCATTTGGGTTGTTTCCGTCTCTCGGCTATTGTAAGATAAGGTGGTGGGTGAAAAATGGGGACCACGCGAGGTAAGGGAGAAAACATTTCATTAATAAATAAAAAAAATAAATATAGAACAGGATAAAATGAAATGATTTTATCCTGATGTTACTTTAGTTAATATTAATAAAATTACTTTAATATAATCTTTATAATTAAACCAACTTTTTTCTTTTATTGGCCCAAAGAACCTCACCTCCAGAGATTTTAATTCCAAATTGCTGATCGTTTATTCTTTGTTCTTTGAACAGCCACCTGATGCAGAGAAAGAACTGGCTAAAATGATTGAGAGCCTGTGGCAAAATCTGCTTAGCGATTCGATGAGTGTGGAGCACTCTCTTGGGGGCATAAAGAGGACTTTCACAGAGGTACCGTCTGCGTTTTACTTTCCAAGTGAAGACGGTTACCGATGTCCAGGGGCTGAGCTGATGCAACTCTGCTTTTCTCAGATTACTCGAGGTGAAATACTCAACTATAGACGGCAGATAGAGGATTTTGCGAAGCGCTTTTACAGCGAAGGGCCTGGTGCTGTCGGGGAAGACCTTGACAGAGGTAAGAACGTTCACGTTGTTCTTGCGGCAGAACCCAAGGACATCTGCTTGAGGATTCAGTGGCGAGTGTGACGATGCTGTGATTTCAAGACCTATTTTTCCCCTCACAAGCTTTTCTCCTGGTCTGGTGCAGTGGTCGCATACAGGGAAGCTAGAATGCTGGGCCTCTCGGGCTCCAGGACCGGCCACGGGGAGGCGCCGAGAAGAGCGATATCGGGCCAGGCTCCCTGCCCCCGGGGATGCAGTTTCTGTGGGAGCTCAGCCCCAACACCCCTCTATGAACCCCACTTCCTCTAGCCTCTTGCGTTAACACGTTAACTCCTCTGGTGCATTTGTTCTCTGGACTAGACCCTCGACCACTTCATTTTGTCTTCTGTCCTCCAAGTAACACAGGCCTCAGGGTGAAAAGGTAGGAAGGTACACCTTGTTCTAAATGGGTTTAGCGCATTCACGGGACGGCACGACACAGGCGGCTTGGGGTGCAGGTGTCGTCATGGACAGTGGTCGAGGCACGGAGCCGGGCGTGGGGGGCGGGAGTGGAGGTCAGTGTGTGAGGAGGGCTGTCAATCTATGGTGAGGTTCTCAAGAGAAGGGGCGAAGGAGGTGGTGGGGCCACGTGGGGGTCAGCTCAGACCCCTTCCCCCTGACCCCCTGACAACGTGGATGCAGGTCTCAACCTCTGTTGCCTACAAGCTGTGCGGCCTTGGGCGAGACGCTTCAGGCCTACAGGTCGCAGCTTCCTCTCCTGCAACCGGGCGGGACAGGCCCTGCCTCACAAAGGTGGGGAAATCCAGCCCAAGGACAAAGGGTGCAGTCATGTCCCCGGGTGGCAGATATGGGCACGTCATTCATTCCCTCTGCTACAGACAGGTGACTGCCTCTGTCTGGATGACCCACCAGGCCTCAGCGGGTCATTCCAAGGCAGGTGGGCTGAGGGCTGCTCCTGTTTCTGGGGAGAAACGAGGTCTGGAGAAATAACCAGCCTGCTCCCTGCTCCTCATGCTCATGGGGCTCTGTCTCATTGGGAACCGGACCCCAGGCCCCAGGCTGACCGCACGTAGGTGTTAGGCCTTGCCCGGGTCACACGTCCTCTCCCACAATAGGATGCCACTTCCGCTGGCCTTGGGTCTCAAGCTGATCCTGCTGGGAGGCCTAGTCCTTCCAGCCCGGCCACAGGGTCACTGGGCCAGAGGGGAGTGAGGTGGGGTGGCCAGGGTGGAGCACAGGGCTTAGAACATTTCGGGCCACACACGGGTCCTCAGTAAGTGCCACCACCGGCACCGCCAGACCCCCCTCCCCCTCCCTGGGACTGTGGCCCTCTCTCTGCAAACTCCTCAGTGCTGGTGGCTGCGCAGCAGGCGCTCAGTAAACGCCGCCGTGGCGGATGCATCTCACACGCAGCACCTTGCAGGTATTTGGAGGATCCGATGCTTTTGGCACAAGCTGGAGGGGCTGTGCTGTGGGTCATCTGTTCAAAGCGGAAGGGTTCCGAGGCACCCAGGGGAGGGGCTGACGCATGGGCCGGCAGATGCGGGGTCTGGCAGACGAGATGGAGCGTGTGGAGAGGAGTCTCCGGCAGGAAGTGGCAGGGGCTGCAGCCGCAGCCCAGCACCCGGCTGTGTTTTTAGGAGTGGGGAAGGAGCGGCCGCCTGTGCCCTGGACTCCTGGGGTCCTGGAAGCACCCCCAAGGCCCCGGGTCCAGGCCCTGTCTGGCCCGTTGTTCTTGAGGGCGGTCTGCACGCGAAGATTTAAAAAACCCTTGTGAGGCTCAGGTGTGCAGCCCAGGCTGAGCCCACTCAGCGGAGGGATGACGGGGCACAGTTCTCATGGGGGAGCACCGAGACGGAACCAGCCCCCTGGCTTCAGTTAGAAGGGTGATGAGGTAAAGTCTGCTCACTCTAGACGGCCTTCCTGGAGGGGTCTGCGGCCCAAATGACAAGCAATGTACTTGTTTATGATTTCTCATTTCATGTTATGTATCTGAAACTGGATTCTCTGTGTCTGTCCGTCCACCCACCTGTCCATCCCTCGTCATCCGTCCATTTGTATCTGTCTAGCTCCCTATCGATCGATCACTTATTTATCTGTCAGGAACAGACCTTTTGGTGATGTTTGAAAGAGAGCTGGCCAGACACGAGAGGAGCCGCCAGGAGCTCGCCAACGCCGAGAAGCTCTTCGACCTCCCAATCACGATGCACCCCGAGCTGCTCCAGGTGCAGAAGGAGATGAAGGGGCTGAAGCTGGTCTACGAGCTCTATGGTGGGCTCAAGGTGGGCGTCCCCCGGGGCGGGGTGCTCGGGGCCGGGGGCTGCAGCCAGGTTTATGTAAACTGCGGCAGCGTGTGGAGCGAAGGGACCTGCTCGAGTGAATTCCGGTGGGGGGAGTGGGGGTGGAGAGGCGGCCTCGGGCTGACCTGTCATGCGGGGGGAGATGCTGACCTTTGTTTCCCCAGGGACACGTGATCCTCAGCAGTGAGTGTGCCGGGCGGGGTGCTGGCTAGGGGAGGGTAGTGGAGCAGAGGAAATGGGGGTCAAGGGGAGGGGGGCCGTGGGGTCACGGAGCGTGGGGTGGCCTGGCCCATGGAGTATCAGGCTCTGCACTCAGACTGGCCAGCGTGGTGACGGGACGCTCTCCTGTCCTTCCCCAGGCTGCCAAAGAAGAGTGGTCTCAGACCCTCTGGGCCAACCTGAACGTTCAGTTTCTCCAGGAGGGAATCGAGGGGTTTCTCAAGAACCTCCGGAAGCTGCCGCGGCAAGTGCGAAGCCTCCCGGTGGCCTACCATCTGGAGATGAAGATGAAGGCATTCAAAGACTCCATCCCCCTGCTCCTGGACTTGAAACACGAGGCGCTGAGAGACAGGTGTGCTTTGTCCCCCGCGCTGACTGGCGGGGAGGCGATGTCGGCTGAAGAAACTTGTGCTCAGGTGTGAGGAGGAGAAATAAGGCCCCACGGGTGGTGGAGGGCAAGGAAGAGGCCAGTAACAGCTCTTGGAGGGTGTTGGCCGTATCATTTCTATAAAATAATCAAGCGCCGGATTCTTCTATTAAACACCAACACCAAACAAAACCCCACCAGCCCTGTGAGGTGTAAAGGGGCAGGGAGAGCAGCTTCATTTGAAGAAAGAAAAAATTGCTGGGGTTCTGCTGCGCTCCATGCAGCAGAGAGATGCCTCCCAGGCGGGCGTTTTAGATTTTCTCGAATGTTCGCTGTTTCCTCTCGGCAATTGATTTGATTGTTCCTCCGGCGCGAGTGCTCGAGCTTGTCCCCAGATTAGGCCACACTCGTGCTAGCGAGTCCCATGTGGCTGTGCCGGTGGGTGGGGCTTTGTGCTGTGGGCGCTGCAAGCAGCTTCCTTCCCTGGCTGCTGTGTCTTCTTCTGGTGTATGTGTCGGGGGTGTGTGTTTGTGCTTTTGCTCTACATTAAAAAGGCATCAGAACAAGCTGGGAGGCTCCCTCCCATAAAAACAGAAATAAAATTTCCTAGCGGCAGTACTGAAAACATAAAATGGTGAGATTAATTTCCATGATATATTTAAATTAAAAAAAACCCCAAAACTGATCATTTCAACACATAATCGTTGTAAAACACGATCCACGAGACATTTCCATTCCCCTTACAACACACCTACGCCCCAGGGCACGTTTCGCCCCCCGGGTGTGTTTCTGTCTGGACTCGCTACAGGTTGCAGGCCCAGAAGCCCCGGGGCCTGTGGCCACCAGCCAGCTGGCCTGGACAGAGCGGCCTGGCTGGTTCCCTGAGGGTGGAACCAGCGGGTGGGGGAGGCTCACCTTCTTTGGCTGTGGCTCCACCCCAAAGCCCCAACAGGAGCTAGTGGGAGCTGGTGAGAGTGCTGCCTGGGGCGCCCCTCCGTCCCCCCACACGTCACATGCAGTGGCTTCCGATGACTTCATTCTGCTTAGCAGGAGAGGCACTGCCATTTCAGTTCCTACCAGTCCTTGATTACATCCATGAGAAAATCTTCCTTCTGTCTCTCATGTCCTCGACACCTGTCTGAACCTCTCAGTCTCCCTCATGACCCCCAGGCCTGGCGACCCACTTCTTTTTACATAAAGGCATGTGCTCTAAAAGGAAACCTAAGCCACCACCATTATGGAAAGCCAAAAGCTTTGGCTATAAATAGAAAATAATCACAAAAATGAAAAAGAAGGGCCTCCCCGGTGGCGAGGTGGTTGAGCGCTGGGTTGCGAAGCTGCCCGCGACCTCTGCGGCCCCGGTTCGATCCCCGGCTCCTCCCCGGCCACCGGAGGAGGGTCCCACATGGCGCGCAGACCTCTCCTGCCGCCCGCTGCTCCCCTCAGCAGTGTACTTCGGTCCTTCTGCCTGCTCTGCTCCCCGCTCTGGCTCTGGTGAATTCTCTCACCCTCCCGCGCTTCTGACTGTACCCAGTGCTTGCATAAACAAAAACAAACAAACAAACAAACAAATAAATAAAAACATGCCTCTAAAAAAAAAAAAAAGAAAAAAGAAAAAGAAGTTTCTCTGGAGGCTGTTGTCTGCCCTGGAGTGGAGGAGGGGCAGCGTTGAGCAAGACTGTCCCCACGCTTTGGCCAGGAGGGCCAGGAGGGCGGAGGGCACTGAAACTCGAATCAGTCTCCCTGAGACTCAGTGTTGAGCCCTGTGGCATCTGGGTGCCCTGTGAGCAGCCCCACCCCTGGGGTGTGACACCCCTACTTTGCTTCAGCTCCTGGGCTGGACCCAGGAATAGAGCGAGCTGAAACAGAAGGGTCTCCTCCCTGCCCATTTTGCTGTGTGTGTGTGAGTGTGTTTACAACAAAAAGTCAGTGATCCAACACTTGCTACCAACACGCTGGCCGCCTGGTGTCCGGCTGGTCTTGAGGCCATGTCGGCCGCCTCACTGACGGGCGTGCCCTACGAGCAGGACCATAGAAACAGGCAGACGCGGGCCAGACGCAGACCTGAGCAGAGGCCGAGCTGGGTGGGAGCTGCAGCTGTCGGGTCTGCGCCGCCTCCCAGGGCCCGCACAGTCCAGGCAGACCCTGCTTGCCTTTGACATCCTCTGTCACGCACAGTTCTCGCATCATCCTTAAGACAATTTGCAGTTATTTAGGTTGTTTTGTCGTCCCCTCACTGCCTCCCCAAGTAGGTGGTAGGGTCCCCAAGGGCCGAGGCTTGCTGTCTAGTTGCTGGATCCCCCTACCGCCTGGCACAGAGTTAGCACTTGAGGAATACTGAGCATATGCACACGCGTGTGCTCATAATTTACACCAGAGCCTCAAAGGGTAGACTGGCTCCACTGTGGTCGACACCCTGGGCTAGGGACGGTGGCAGAAGCAGTTTCCGAAGAACTGAAAGTTGCATATTTTCTGAGATGCTTGGAACCACTTGCCAGTGGTGCCTGGGCCTACTTCTGGCATCCACATTTGGCATGGGATTTTGGAAAACTTGGGAAATGTAATTCCAACAACGTCATATTTCAGAATTCTGTCACAAGAAGTTTTTAGCACAGGATTTCTGCTGTGGTTGAAGCAGGGATAGTGGAATTCACCTCTGAGTTCAGTGAGCATAAAGATAAGAAGGTTTTAATGATGTGCTTGTAGGCATTGGAAAGAGCTTATGGAAAAAACGGGGGTGTTTTTTGAAATGACGGAAACTTTCACCTTGGAAAATATGTTTGCCATGGAACTTCACAAACACGTGGACGTTCTCAACGAGATCGTGACGTCAGCCATCAAGGAGATTGCCATCGAGAAGGTAAGGCTGCTTTTAGATGTAAGACCCCAGAGAAAAGGGAGAATTATTTTTCGCTTTCAAAGGTCCTGTCATGCTTGAGTAACAGAATTATTCACTCTAGAAATAAAGTTTCTGCCCTAGCTAGCTTTTTTTATTGTTCTTAATTATAGTTTCACTTTTGATTTATTTATTTAAGAAATATGAATGTTAATGGTAGAAAAATGAGAAAATAAACAAATCACTTATAATGCCACGATCTGAAAATAATTAACATTTCACGTATAGCATTTAACACTTAAAAATACATATGTATGTGTGTGTACATGTGTGCACACTGGACACAGATCTACACACGACACACATGTATAATGTGTGTTTGTCCATAGACACAAACACACACATAACACACCATGGCACATATATGTGTACATAAACACCACACGCACGTACACACATGCACATGCAATACCCATCATCACATGTACACATACATGTCAATGTGTTTTGCTAAAAAGGAATAATAAATAGGCATATTGTTGTGTAACTTGACTCTCTGGATTAGCAGCGTAAGCTGCACAGGGTCAGGATCTTGTGGGGTTTGGCCCCTTGCTCTGGCGCTCAGTAGCTGGTGAGCTTGGAAAGCCGCTTTAGCTCCTCGAGCCCCCAGTTTCCACCTCTGTGAAATGTGGTAACAATCCCTTGCTCACGAGGGTGCTTTGAAGACTAAAGGGGTCCAGGTGGAGCCCTGCAAGTAACACGTGGCTCGTGGGGACAGCAGCTGATACAGAAACTCGGCCAGGATGCCGCTGGGGGTGCTAGAGGGTGCGCGCAGGACGCCGCACGGGGTTGGGGTCCTGGGCTGTAAATTTATGTGCCTAGACCTTCTTTTTCCTGCTCCTGAGCAGGCTGTGAAGGAAATCCTGGACACGTGGGAAAATATGAAATTCACTGTGGTCAAGTACTACAAAGGCACCCAGGAGCGAGGCTACATTTTGGGGTCTGTTGATGAAATCATCCAGGGCCTCGACGACAACACGTTCAACCTGCAGAGCATCGCGGGGAGCAGATTCGTGGGGCCTTTTCTGCAAACTGTTCACAAATGGGAGAAGACCCTTTCTCTCATCGGGGAGGTCATCGAGGTGAGAGGACAGACGAAAGATGATGGAGACACCGTTCATAGCAGGGAAGGGTCTTTGTATGAGGCTGTTGTGCTCAGAAACGAATGACCCTTTTCATGTCTTTTTTTTCCTCTCTTGATTTATATTTATTTTGATTGTAATGTATTTTTTTAGAAAAGATTTTACTTATTTTTGCATAGAAGAACTGGGGTGCAGGCCAGAGGTGTGGGGGAGGGGTGAGAGGATCGAACAGAGACAGAGTGGGGAGCAGAACAGGCAGATCCACTGAAATCTACCGCTGAGGGGAGCAGCATGGAGACAGGAGAGGTCTGCTGAGCCCTGTGGTCACCTCCCTAGCCAACTCAGGCCCCAGCAGTGATAGGCTGAGACTTAATGGCTAGGCCACCAGGCAGGCCCATGTGTGTACAGTTTGTTTTTGAACCCCTGTTCTCAGTTCTTTGGGGGTGTCTCCAGGAGTGGAATGCAGGTCATGACACCGTCTTGACTTTGCCTGGACATCTGCGTGGCCTGTTCTTTCCCTGCCTCCTGTCCTGGGCTGCTGTGGAAAGACGTCTGAGTGTGGCTGTGTTTACAACATCCCGTCGTGCCTTCCCCGCCCCCCCTGGGACTGGGAAAGGAGAAGGAGGCCGCGCCTGTGCCGGCTTGCCTGGAGGCCCCTGGCCCTGAGCTGATTTGAGTCCGGCTGGCCGGTGGGGGGTAGGGGGTTTCGCCATCCACACCCTGCGTGCCACCCCTGGGCTGATGCCAGCCTGTGCACGTGCAGATCTGGATGCTGGTGCAGAGGAAGTGGATGTACCTGGAGAGCATTTTCATCGGCGGCGACATCAGGTCACAGCTCCCTGAGGAGGCAAAGAAGTTCGACGCCATCGACAGGATGTTCAAGCGGGTGAGTGACCAGTGCTGCGGATCCATTCACAATTGTTATGATAGTTTTTTAGCTTATAATTTTCCATCCCCTATATTTTATCTTATAATTTTCTCTTTGTATGATGAGGAACATATTTCATATTATGAAACATTTGAGAATATTTGTGTGTGTGTGTGTGTGTGTGTGTGTGTGTGTAAGACCTGGGGTACAGGCCAGAGGTGGCGGGGGGTGAGGGATTCACCAGAGACAGAGTGGGGAACAGAACAGGCAGAAGGGCCGAAGTACACTGCTGAGAGGAGCAGTGGGGAGACAGGAGAGGTCTGCTGCACCTTGTGGGTAGCTCCTTGCCCGGGGATCAAACTCAAGCCGCAGGGGTAGACAGCTGAGACTAACCCGTAGGCCACCAGGGAGGCCCCTGAGAAAATGTCTTAATGCCTTTATGTAATGCCCCGGAGAGCTCTGATGTTAGCTGGATGGTGCGGTGCTGGCCTTTGGGGCCCTAGCAGAATCCGACCCCAGCACGGCGGGGTTCCTCTTCCCCTCCTGACGGCGCTCTCTTGGCCCGGAGCAGATCATGGCGGAGACCCTGAAGGACCCGGTCATCAAGAAGTGCTGCGAGGCCCCAAACCGCCTGGTTGAGCTGCAGAACATCAGCGAGGGCCTCGAGAAGTGCCAGAAGAGCTTGAACGACTACCTGGACTCCAAGAGGAATGCCTTCCCCCGGTTCTTCTTCATCTCCGACGACGAGCTGCTCAGCATCCTGGGCAACAGCGACCCGCTCTGCGTCCAGGAGCACATGATCAAGGTGGGCCGCGTGCGCAGCCCCCGTGCAGGAGCCCGTGGCCGCGTGTTCTATCCCGGTTCGGAGGTCACGCCGGGAGGTGCAGGCTGTTCTCGGGCCCCGGAGCCCCAGGCGAGTCTCACAGCGCGGCTTCTCCGCCGTTTCAGATGTTTGACAACGTCGCGCTGCTGCGGTTCAACGACGGGGACAGCGGAGAAAAACTGGTGTCTGCCATGATTTCGGCGGAAGGAGAGGTCATGGAGTTCCGCAAGATCATCCGAGCAGAAGGGCGCGTGGAGGACTGGATGACGGCTGTCTTGCGTGAGATGCGCAGAACAAACAGGCTGATCACCAAGGAGGCTATCTTCAGATATTGTGAAGACAGGAGCAGGTGAAGGCATCAGTGCGACCGCGTGGCTTTATCCCATTGGCAGTGTAATGCATTCATTTTATTTTTTTTATATATGGATTTTATTAGGATGAATTCTTTTTTTTAATATTTTATTTTATATAATTCTTACATCATTTTTCATCTTTGCACAATGTATGCATTTTCATTTTGGTTGTATTCCCCATACAATTGCACCCCCCTCCCCTTATTTTGACTCTAGTTCTTTCTCTCCACGCCCCCCCCCCCCGCCTCCTCCCCTAGTGTGTCTCTGGTTTATAGTTGCTTGTTGATTTTGATTATTACTTTGTATTGCTTCATCTTTTTCCAGGTCTCTTATTTAGGTTTTCTAGATTCCTGCTATGAGTGAGACCATCTGGTATTTTTCTTTTTCTTTCTGACTTATTTCGCTGAGCATGATCCCTTCCAGCTCCATCCATGTTGCTGCAAATTGCATGTGTTTATCTTTTTTGAATGCTGAGTAATATTCCATGGTGTATATGCACCACATCCTCTTGATCCAGTCATCTATTTTTGGGCATTTGGGTTGTTTCCAAAGCTTAGCTATTGTAAACAGTGCTGCTGTAAACACAGGGTGCAGGTGCTCTTTGGAATGGATGTTTCTGTGTCCTTTGGGTAAATACCTAGGAGTGGAATTGCTGGATCCTATGGAAGCTCTATGTGTAGTAGGTCCAGAAATCTCCACACAGCTCTCCATAGTGGTTGGACCAGTTTGCACTCCCACCAACAGTGCAGAAGAGTTCCTTTTTCTCCACAACCTCGCCAACATTTGTTGTTGCTAGTTTTTTTAATATGTGCCATTCTCACTGGTGTGAGATGGTATCTTATGGTAGTTTTGATTTGCATTTCCCTGATGACAAGTGATGCTGAACATTTTTTCATATGCCTGTTGGCCATTTGCATTTCCTCTTCAGAGAAGTTTCTTTTTAGCTCTTCTGCCCATTTTTTGACTGGATTATTTTCTGTTTTTGTTGAGTCTCATCAGCTCTTTGTAGATGTAATGGATTCATTTTGAAGGGTCAGCGTAGCCTGCCGCACCCACGCGAGGCTTCTCTTCACAGGTTACGTGAGCTCATCTAGATCTGTCTTTATTCTGTAAATTTTTAAATTTTGCCATGTAATTTCTTCTTTTTAAATTTTTTTTTATCACTAACATTGGTTGATGACACTGTATATGATTTAGGGGAGTAGGTTACTCCTCTTCAGATGTCTGCTTCCATACCACACCCACCACAAAGCCCCCCAATCCTCCACCCGAGCCCCTTGGGCCCCTCCCCGTCCCTCTCTGGCAGTCTCACTTCTACAGTCAGCTTTCTAGGGTTCATCTGGGTTTGAGTTTGCTCTTTGCTTGGTTTATCGTCCACATCTGAGTGGAATCGTTGGTGTTTGTCTTTCTCCTCCTGACTGGTGTTGCTTGGCTTCCTCCCCTCCAGTCCCACCCATGTTGTTGCAAATGGCAAGAGGTCACCTTTTTAAAAATAGCTTCGCAGTGTCCACCTGTGTGCCTGGACCACCTCTTCTTGATCTGCTCACTGTCCTGGGGCGCTTGGGCCGTCTGCATGGCTTGGCTGCTGCACACAGCGCGGTGCACGTAGACGCGCAGGTGTTCCTCTCCATCGCTGGTTTTGTGTTCCTGGGGCAGGTGCCTACGGATGGCTGGTCAGAGGGCACATCTATTCTTAACATCTCTTGACAAGTGTCCACGCTGTTTTCCATGAGGGCCAGGCCGGCCTGGTCTGCCCTCCCTCTGACAGTGGAGGGTTCCTTTCCCCCCACACCCCCGTCGGCACTTGTTTCTGGTCTATTTGACACGGGCCTTTCCCACCGGTGCGAGGTTGTAGCTCATGTGGGTTTTTTTTTTTAATTTATTTTATTTTTATGCATACAAGAGCTGGGGTACCGAACAGAGATGCGGGGGGTGAGAGGAGTCACCAGAGACAGAGCAGGGAACAGAACAGACAGATCAATGGAAATCCACTGCTGAGGGGAGCAGCGGAGAGTCAGGAGAGGTCTGCCGCACCATGTGGGTGGCTCCCTGGCTGGGGATCGAACTGGTGCTGCAGAGGCTGCGGATAGCTTCGTAGGTTGCATCTTAACCCCTTGCGCCACCAGGGAGGCCCTCATGTGGTTTTGAGCTGCATCTCCCTGGTGATATGCGACAAGGAGCATGTTCGGCCTGCGCCTGCGGCCGTCTGCGTGTCTTTGCTGGCGACGTGCCTGTTTAGCGCCTCTGCCCCTTTGGTTGGGTGCTTTGTTTTCTTGTCGTAGAGCTGTGTCATTCTCCACACACCTTGGCTACCGCCCTTGTCAGATGTGTGGTGCGCAAGTACTTCCCCACTCAGCAGGGTCCTCCTGTGTTGGTGCTAGTTCCTTTCATGGTGCAGAAGCTTTTTGGTTTGCTGTTGCCCCAGTCGTTTACATTCTCTCTTCTCTCTCATTTTGGAGACAAATCCGCAAAAAACGTCACTGAAGCTTAGGTAGTGGCATGTGTATGAAAACCCATTCTCCACACCGCGCACAAAGATCAGCTCAAAATGGACGAGTGCCTCGGACGGGAGACCTGAGACTGAAATAAACTCCCAGGGACACAGAAGTCTGTTCCTAGCGGTGCCACCCCGGCCCCCAGGGTACCAGCTGTGGGTGGGACCTCATGGGCCAGCTTTCCCTGCAGAGTCGACTGGATGCTCCTGTACCAGGGCATGATGGTGCTGGCCTCCAGCCAAGTGTGGTGGACGTGGGAGGTGGAGGACGTCTTCCGCAAGGTGCAGGCCGGGGAGAAGCAGGCCATGAAGGACTACGGCAAGAAGCTGCACCAGCAGATCGACCAGCTGGTCACGCGCATCACACTGTCCTTGAGCAGGAACGACAGGAAGAAATACAACACGGTGCTCATTATCGACGTGCACGCCCGGGACATCGTCGACTCTTTCATCAGGAGCAGGCAAGGTGCCCCCCTCCGCCCCCCAGGCGATTCCTGGCAAGTGCCTGGGCTTCCCGGGGCGCCTCTCTTTGCCCCGCCCCCCCTCACTCGCTCCTCTTTCTCACCTGCCAGCATCCTCGAGGCCCGGGAATTTGAGTGGGAGAGTCAGCTCCGGTTCTACTGGGACCGGGAGCCGGATGAGCTGCGTGTCCGCCAGTGCACGGGCACCTTTGGCTATGGCTACGAGTACATGGGCCTGAACGGGAGGCTGGTCATCACGCCGCTCACCGACCGCATCTACCTGACCCTCACCCAGGTGGGAGCTCCGACGTGCGGCCCTGCCCCCTGGCTGGCGGCGCTCTCAGTGCAGCCCTGGCAGGCGTGGCCGTGTGGGTGGACCCGAGACACCCCCCCCCCCCCCCGTTCATGTCCACTCGGAGCCTGGGAATGTGACCTCAGTTAGAAGTAGCCTTTGTACATTTCACCAGTTGGGGGGTGGGGGAGATCATTCTGCGTTAGGGCCTGAATCCAAAGACCGGCGTCCTTGTGGGAGGGAGGTACCGAGAGGCAGATGGTGTGAGATGGGGCAGCGGTGGGGGTGCAGCCACCAGCCAAGGACGCCGGGAGCTGTGGGCACCAGGACCTCCCGGGGGGCACAACTCTGCCAGCACCTCGGTTTCAGGTGTCTGCCCCTTCGAGAGAACACATTTGCTTTCCACCCCCAGTTTGTGGCGCCTTGTCCGCACGGGGGCGCGGTGAGGAACGGCGTGGTCCTGAGCAGGTGAAGGAGTTTCAGTGTGTGACAAAACATAACTGACACCTTTTGAGGCTGAGCCACTGCAAGTTCAGGACACCCCCGAATCCACCTCCGGTTCGGTCATTGGCTAAAGGGCTCACAGATTCGGTGGTGTCATTTGGATCCCGACTTAGGGCTGCTCACAGCTAAACCAGAGGCAGGAAAGGTGCGGCCAGACTCAAAGCTCCCGTTGCTCTGTCCTGGCTCTGCTGGGTGGCGGCTCTCTTGTCCCCCAGCCCCCGTGTGCCGCTGCGTGCATGGGGCATTGGCTCCCGGGGCTTAGCTGAGCCTGGTGTCCTGGCTCTTAACTGGGGCCTGGTGGTGTAGACGTGACTGACCTTGGATTCCGGCCCCTCCAGATCGAGCTGATACCAGGCTCCTGTCCTAAATGACAATGCGGGGTTATCTGTGTGTGGCCGAGGTCCAGCCAAACAAGGTTGCTCTTCCCAGGCAGGTGTTCGAAGGGCGTCGAGGTCAAGCTCCTTTGACCTGGAGACAAAGGGCAAGATCAGTCACTGACCGCATGGACATCCATGCGTCCATGAGCCTCCACTCTGGGGACCACTGGGGCTCTGTCCTCGAGGAAGGGACAGATTCCAGCAGGTTGCTCAGTCTCTGGTACACTGGTCCCTGGATAATGGGGGGGGGTGTGTGTCAGTGGAGGTCCATGGGAAAATACAGAAATGTTAAAAATGGCGATGGCCGCAGAGCTGTGCGGAAACTTGTTCGTTCTGCTCTCCTCATAGTCCGGGAGAGGACGCTGCTTCCCCACGTGAGCCTGACAACGAATTTTTCGCCTTTGGCTTCTAACAGGCGCTCTCCATGTATCTGGGCGGGGCCCCTGCTGGCCCGGCAGGGACTGGCAAAACCGAGACCACCAAGGATCTCGCCAAAGCCTTGGGCTTGCTCTGTGTGGTCACCAACTGCGGCGAAGGCATGGATTACAAAGTAAGGCCGCGGCGTCCCTGCTGGCACTGATTGACTAGGCAGGGAGCTGAAAGGGAAGGCTCTCCCCTGAAATGACAGGGTAACAGCTGGAAGAATACAGAAGAAAACCTGTCACATCACAGCCTCAGAACTTGGAGGGGTCTGTTTTGTTAGCCACAGATGGAGCGAGAGCCCCAAACTTAAATGCCCACCAGCATCAGGAAGAGAATGTCAGGGAGCATAGCAGCTGACAGAGATACCAGGGAGTGGTGGGGACTGCGGCAAACTGGAGCTTGCTTTGGCTAAAGGGGGAGCCGCTGTTCAGTTGTGGCTAATTTTTGCCATTTGGGGAAGTGGACCCAGTCCACTAGATATTCCAGTCATTAATTTAATATTTGATTGTAATATTTGATTGCAATATTTAATTTGTAAAGTCCTGGGAATGGAGCTGACTCCTGAGAAATCTTAGAAATCTTGTCACAAGGATCCATCAGTGGGGGTTGGGGGTGTCTGCCTGACTGCCTCGCTTCCGACCTGACGATCACTGTCTGCTTTAGTTTTGAAAATGTACCCATGAATGATTGCTTGCAATTTTACAGATGACAATTGCCCGTGTGCTGACATTTCTTTCATTCCAGGCTGTCGGGAAGATTTTCTCTGGCCTGGCCCAGTGTGGGGCTTGGGGCTGCTTTGACGAGTTTAATCGGATCGACGCCTCTGTGCTGTCCGTGATCTCATCTCAGATCCAGACCATCCGAAACGCCTTGATCCATCAATTAACCACGTTCCAGGTGCGGGCAGGTGTGAAGCCACTGGGGTCATGGCCCCAGGACACTTGCTGTGTCACCTCTGAACATCAGATGGTGGTCTCCAGACCAGGCTTCCTGCAGATGAGGAATGCTTGGATTTATTTTTCAAATCGAGATGGTTGGGCTTCCCAAAATCATCTGTATTTTTGATAATTAAGGTCTGTAATATTTTAAGCATTTCAAACTAATTGCAGACATAGGGCTAGCGGATCTAAGTGAGTAGGGCGATATTCTCAAATCAGTGATGAAAAAGACCCCCTTTAAAGTTAAAAAATATTGCAGATTTTCCAAATTTGAGAAAAAGTGACTTAAAAATTAATATTCCTCTCAACCAAAATACCTTCAGCAGAAAATATCACAACAAGAAATTTTGCCTTTGTAACTGGCAAAGTTCTGGCATTACAACAAACAGGATTTTGAGGTTATTATCAAAGTCACTGCAGCAGGCCATGCCTCATGAAATTAAACTTTCCTGTCTTCTGTCTGACTGACGGAATATTGAAGGAAATAAAATAGTAAAATCTTAGTAAAGACAAAAGTTCTGACCATTAAACTCAGCTGTGGGGCCTCCCTGGTGCTGCAGCAGTTGAGCGCTGGGTTGCGAAGCTGCCTGCAGCCTCTGCAGCGCCGGTTCGATCCCTGGCCGCCTGGGGGAGGGTCCCACATGGCGCGCAGACCTCTCCTGCCGCCCGCTGCTCCCCTCAGCAGTGGACTTCGGTCCTTCTGCCTGCTCTGCTCCCCGCTCTGGCTCTGGTGAATTCTCTTACCCTCCCATGCTTCTGACTGTACCCAGTGCTTGTATAAATAAATAAATCTTAAAAAAAAAAAATAAACTCAGCTGTGGGTGAAAGAGACTCAAAAGACTGAGATTTCTGTGCTTGACTGGAGTCTGGGGGCAGCTGGAGGACTGGTCTTTGGAAGGGAGCTGAGGGGTGCTCACGCCCACCATGATGGAGATGGGGCAGGGAGGGCAGGACAGCCATGCGGGAATGGAAGCCCGCTCTGTGTGAAGCATTGGCTGAGAGCTTCCACACACGCTATCTCTCGCTCTGTGGCCACAATAGTGCAGAGAAGGAAACTGGGGATCAGAGAGGTCGGGTGACCTGCTGGGGTTCACACAGCACCTGGAATCAGCCCCAAGTTGCTCCCTTTCCCAACATCAGCCACTTCTCAAGAATCCTTTGACTCAGGCCAGAGTTTGGGGGTGGGCCCAGCTTGCCCCCAGAATACTCAGGATATAAGAACAAGGAGTCTGCATTAGTACCCAGAAAGGGGAAGGAGGTGCAGGCTGCCTGTGGAGGTGCAGACCTCAGCTCACCCACCTCCTCGCCTCCGTCCCCCTGGGGAGGGCTGGTGCAGCCTAACACCGCCCCCCCACCCCCAACAAACACCTTGTCCTCTTCCAGTTTGAAGGGCAGGAGATCTCCCTGGACCCGAGAATGGGCATCTTCATCACCATGAACCCCGGCTACGCGGGCCGCACAGAGCTGCCCGAGTCGGTGAAGGCCCTGTTCCGGCCCGTGGTGGTGATCGTGCCCGACATGCAGCAGATCTGCGAGATCATGCTCTTCTCCGAGGGCTTCCTCTGGGCCAAGGTGAGCGCCCTCCATGCGCGTGCGGGTGGCACCGGGGCGTCTGTCCTGAGGCGGCTGCTCCTGCTTTCTGGGCTTTGTCTCTGCTCTACGCCCTCTTTTTAGAACGGCAGCTCTCACTGCGGGAAGTGGTGACAGGCACCTGAGCCCCATGACCCCTTGTCCAGCTCCTGCTGTGGCGACTCTCTCCTGCCCACAGGACCATTGTCCAAGCCAGGACAGAGAGAGGGGCACAGCGCCGGTAACTCAGGCGCAGACTCAACCAGGCTGTACCTTCTCACTCCCTCTGCTGTGTGTGTGTGTAGTTTGGTGACATTTTATCACGTGTCTAGAGTAACTGGCACACCGCGAGCATACAGATGCATAACTCCTGTGTTATCTTTTGAAGCGTGTATGAAAACAGAGACATGAACATTATTCCAAAAGGCTCTGGTTGCTTCTCTACAATTTTTAAAGCGCACTTTTTCTGCCCTTCGTGTCATCCGGCTCTCAGGCCGGCGCTGGGGGCTCAGTTCTTGTTTCCAGGACCAGGGCCCCCATGCCACGCTTTGGGGCCAGCAGAGCCCACGCTCGACTCTCGTGACAAACCCTTAGTGGAGAAGCTTTCAGACGCGCCTGGGTCAAGTAAACCGGCAGCGTCGTTTTGGAGCCTAGTCCCCGTGACCTCGGTCAGATGGGTTTTGTTCTTGAGTTTGTCCTCAAGAGAGTCTCCCACTTTGCAAAGGCTGGTGTCTCAGTTAGAAGCAAAGGGCCCTCCCGGCCTTTCTGTTGGGGATGAGATGTGCTTGTCGAGAGGCAGCTTCCTCCCAGACTGAATCCGCTCTGGTGCTTTCCGGACATTTTCTTTCTTTTTCATTTTTTTCTTTAATCACAAAGACTCTGGCCAAAAAGATGACGGTCCTGTATAAGCTGGCCCGGGAGCAGCTCTCCAAGCAGCACCACTACGACTTCGGGCTCCGGGCCCTGAAGTCGGTGCTGGTGATGGCCGGCGAGCTGAAGAGAGGCTCGCCTGAGCTCAAGGAGGTAGGCGCCGGCCCGAGGTCCGTGGGTGCCCCTGGGTGCGTGGGGATTGCGTCCGTGAGGGGTGGCAGTCGTCTGACCTTAACTTGGTCTCTTGCCCATGATACCATTTTCGTGAACTTGACCTGTTTCCCGCAAGGTCAAGCTCAGTGTCTTCTCTGTGTCCAACTTTGTGACGCTTCATTCAGCCTCTGCCCACAGGATGGCGGGCCGTGAACGCAGCTGTTTTCCCCTCTTTGCAGTGGAAGCAGGAGGAGCGATGAGGATTCTTTCACCTGGGTGTCCCCAGTCTGCTCTGGGGGCCGGAGGCTCCCGCGTCTCTCTAGAGGCTGCATGCGGGTGTCCTCGCTTTTGACCCTGTGGGCGGCCTTCCCGGCCCCGGCCCCTGGGTGAGCGATGCCTCCGTGGACTCTGTGTTTGGTCCCGCCCAGGACGTGGTGCTGATGCGAGCCCTCCGGGACATGAACCTGCCCAAGTTCGTGTTTGAGGACGTCCCGCTCTTCCTCGGGCTGATCTCGGATCTGTTTCCCGGACTCGACTGCCCGCGCGTGCGCTACCCGGACTTCAACGACGCTGTGGAGCAGGTGCTGGCGGAGAACGGCTACATCGTCTTACCCGTCCAGGTGAGCTGCGCCCGGCGGGGCCCTCTGCCTTCTTCCGGGGCCTTTTCATTGTTTCATTTTTTAAAAATGTGGTAAAGGACATGGGGCGCATGCCCTCATAGCTGTTTCTCCTCCGTTTTTAAAAACCGTGGTCTTGACTGTTTCTCTAGCGGTGCTTGTTGAAGAGCAGATGTTTTATGGAGGGACTGTTCAATGGTGCAGCTGCTTTGGAAAACAGTTCCTAAAAAGTTAAACGGAGAATTGCCCTCGGAGCTAGCAGTTCCGCCCCCAGGTTTATATCCAAGAGAAGAGAGAGCATGTCTCCCCACGACACCTGCACATGAATGTTCACAGAAACCCCAAAGTAGAAACAACCCACATGCCCGTCAGCGGCTGAATAGAGAAACAACATGTGGTCACCTGGCCAGTGGAGCATTCTGCGGCCATAAAAAGGAAGGAAGCCCTGAAACCTGCCACACCATGGAAAAACCTTGAAAACATGTTCAATGAAAGAAGCCAGACACACAGGGCACATGCGGTGCTTCTACCGGGGATGTTCCGTTTCGGTGTCGAGAACCGACAAATCCAGAAGTAGATCTGTCCTTGTCAAGGGTTTGGGGATCTGGACTTGGACAACATGCCTAATGGGAGTTTTGGGGGGGTGGGTGGGAAGGGTAGTGAAGATGCTCTAAGGTGGAACGTGGGGGCAACGTTGTCCTATGCAGCGCTATAAACCAATGTTACCTCGATAAACATAAAAAAAGGAAAAGAAGAAAAAGGAAGGTGGTGACGGTGTTGCAATGTTTGAACGTACTAAACACCACTGGGTTGTACGTGTTAAGTGGGTGAATCGGGGGGCACGGGAATCACAGCTCCGTACAGCTGCTGGCATTCCTCCCGCAGGTGGACAAGGTGGTCCAGATGTTCGAGACCATGCTGACCCGCCACACGACGATGGTGGTGGGGCCCACAGGAGGCGGCAAGTCTGTGGTCATCAACACGCTGTGCCAGGCCCAGACCAAGTGAGTGTGACCTCTGGTGGGGGGGTCCGGGTGCTGGCCGTGTTAGCTGGCCCCAGACTGTCCTCTGACTTCCCGGGAGGGAAACAGCACGAAACACTCCTTAAACGTAGTGCGCGTCTGCTTGTTTCTTTGCTGATTTATTTATTTATTTATTTATTAAAGATTTATTTTTTATTTATTTATACAAGCACTGGGCACAGTCAGAAGCATGGGAGGGTGAGAGAATTCACCAGAGCCAGAGCGGGGAACAGAGCAGACAGACCGACGGAGAAATACACTGCTGAGGGGAGCAGCGGGTGGCAGGAGAGGTCTGCGCGCCATGTGGGACCCTCCTCCTGTGGCCGGGGAGCAGCCGGGGATCGAACCGGTGCTGCAGAGGCTGCGGACAGCTTCACAACCCAGCGCTCAACCGCTGTGCCACTGGGGAGGCCCCTTCTTTGCTGATTTAATAAACCATTTTGGAAGGTCAAGCTGTGACCCTTTTGAGCTTCAGACTATCCCAAGGTTATTTGTGAAGTGAGAATGTCACGAAACTCTCTTATAAGATATTTTGATCATCGGGTGTTAATGTCCCAGCAAAACTCTGCAGCAAGCTGTGGAAGCTCATGACCTTCACCTTCCCAGATGGTCTTTACATTCTAATGAGTGATGGTCAGATCCTCTTTTTGTTTCTTGTTTCTTACTCTAAGTGGCCTACGCTGGGGCCACCCCATATTTCACTCTTCAGTTCACTCATTGCTATAGATAATTTATGCAACTAGCACACACAGACATGTGTAGCTGGATGCCACTATTATTTTTATTATGTTAATGATGAATGGTGGTTTGCATGGCATTTAGTTTTTGTGGATGGACTGATCCTATGGCACCGTGGGAATTTATAGGCATCCTGGTGGGAAGTGCCCTGCTCACGTGATTTGTAAAGTCAGCAACACAGAGCAGATGACCTGTAGCAACAAGGGGCTGGACAGTGAGTACCACAAAGGCCAGTTAGATCATACTGGGTGACTAATAATATAATACACTGCTACCTCCTGTACGCTAATTATGAAATGTTTTCCTAAATATGTCATATGCATGAATATATAATACACCTGAAGATGAAATATACTCGATACCCAGCTTCTCGTTGCAAAGCCGCACCTTCAGGTCAGACCTCGCATGTGTTGGCGCCACACCTTCAGTGAAACATGCTCCCCTTGCGTCTGTGTAAGCCCGTGGGTGGAAAAGCCCCGTGGAGAGCGTGTAGGAATCCTGTCTTAAATTTTGGATTGGATCCCAAATGTCTAACTCCCCACATTGGCACCCAGTTTCCTAAAGCTAGTAGCCCACGCCTGGACCACGGCTGAAGCCTCTCCTTTGATTTAGGCTCGGGCTGACGACGAAGTTGTACATCCTGAACCCCAAGGCTGTGAGTGTCATAGAACTCTACGGCATCCTGGACCCCACCACCCGTGACTGGACTGATGGGGTGCTGTCCAACATCTTCAGGGAGATGAACAAACCGACAGATAAGAAGGAGAGAAAGTGAGTATCTCTGTGAGCAGGGGAGAGCCGGGCTGGTCCGCGGTCACTGGCTAAGCTTGGTGAATAAGCAGGCTGGTGGAGCGCCCCCGCAGGTGCACGCTTGGAAGGGGTGGACCAAGAGACCCTGCTGATGACGTGCCAGGGGCCATCCTGGGCTTTTTATGTGTCACCTCCATCAGCTTCCTCCGCTGTGTTTGCCCAGCTTACCACGGAGGAAGGGAGGCCTAGGGCAGGTGCCAATCGCCCCCGATCAGGGCTTTGCACGTGGGCTGTCTGCCTTGCCAGGCTGCCTGCTTGGCAAGGTAAGTCAAGGAACATTCTCCCCTGACCGGGGGTTGACCCAGGACAATGCCTTGCTCAGTTGTTCTGCTCCTTGGGTGGCCTCTAATTTTGAGCAGTGAATCATGTTTTCTTTATTTCTTATGGCCTTGAAGCTCTGGAAGTCTCCAGGTCAGCCACTGGACGGCATGCCCTCCGTTCTTGCTTGTGGTTGGATTCAGGCTGTGCATTGTTGGGGGGCCCCATCTCATCCAAGGCCATGATGTTGGTTTGCCCCATTATTGCTGATTTTAGCTGTGACCAGCTGGCTAAGGTGCTGTTGGTACACAGCCTATGGGAAGCTGCAGATACCCCTTCCTCATCAGAACCCAGTGGTTCTGTCATCCATTGATGGCCGACTGAGGCTAGTCTTCCAGTCACGAGTATGAAATGGGACAGTGTTGACATCTCGGGGTGGGCTGCAGAGCAGAGGCCTGTGTGTGTGCCAGATAATGATCTTGTATCGCCGCTCAGTTTCCTGAACTTGATGATCACACTGTGTTTATGTGCGACATGGTGCTTGTTCTTAGCATATACATCTGAAGTATTTGGGAATAAAGGACAACAGGTCTATGACACACTCTCAGGATCCAGAGAGACGGAGAGAGCAGCAGCTCACATGTGGCAAGAAATTAAACACTTGAGAATCTGGTTGAAGGACACGAAGGGTGTTCTTTGTAATATTGTACTCTCTGTAAGCTTGTAATGATTTAAAAAAAGTTAAAAGGGAAAATGTTGAAGTGTCACAGAGCTTAAATACAGAGTTCTTGAAGGCAAAGCAGGCCTGCTGCCGGGACAGACGACATGTAACCGGGACCAATCTCAGGTTCTCCCAGGGACCGAGCAGGTCAAACACTGTACGTGGCAGTTCAGCACATGCTGGGTGGCTTGAAACAACATTTATTTTCTCCCAGTTCTCTGGTGGTAGGAAGAGTAGAGGACAGAGGGGCCTGCACTTCGGTGAAGCTTCCAGGGGAAAGTCCTTCCTTGCTTCCTCCAGCTCCTGGTGCTCAGGGCTCCTGGTCTCGTGGCCACATCCCTCTGCTCTCTGCCTCCAGCTCCACATCCCTGTGCTCTCTGTCCCCTCTGTGGTGGATGAGGCCGGCTTCTCCCTCTCTCAAAATCCATAATTTAACTACATTCACAGTGGCCTTTTTTCCAAACAAGGTCACATTCACAGATTCTGGATGGACATATCTTCTTGCTAGAAAAGCAAAGTAACGCAGATTTTTGTGTGAAGTGTCCTGATTCTTAAATGTTGGTAGCTGCCAAACAGTTTTTATGCTTTATCATTATTTTTTTTATTTTGTCACTCCTCTGGACCAAACAGGAGGCTCTGCTACAGGTCCTGGCTAGAAAACCTTGGGAAAGACATTTGACACCGATGGGGAGGTTACACCGTGTTCCATAGCCTTTAGGGCCCGTGGCTCACTGTTCTTTGGCTGCCGCAGGTATATTTTGTTTGATGGCGATGTGGACGCGCTCTGGGTGGAAAACATGAACTCCGTGATGGACGACAACAAGCTGTTGACACTGGCCAATGGTGAGCGCATCCGGCTGCAAGCACACTGTGCTCTCCTCTTTGAGGCAAGTGGAAATGAAGAATAATGTTTTTTTTAATTAAAATTTTAAATGTTTGTTAAATAAATAATAAATATAGTCTACTGAAAACCCCTAAATAAGGTAGAAAATTTTGATGACGAGCACAACTCTTTTTTTCTCCACGTGTTCCTCTCATTCCCTCCTTAATTTATGCCAGAGGCTAACTGCTTTTCACCATTGTGTGGCTTCTTCTGGTGGTGCCCCAGTATCTCTGAGTAACATACTTCATGCGCTACTCCTTCCTATCTCAAGTGTGTATTTTATCTACTGACTGCTGTGAAAAGCACTGAGGGTTCATCATTTATACCCCTAGTCCATCTTCTCTCCTCAGAACACTATGTTGCTAAACCACTTTAATCTATAAAGAGTGTTTACATCACAGAGCCAGCTAGTAGACCATGGTTCTCATCACTATCTTTTAGGGCCATTTGTTTTGTCCAGGGTTTATAATTGCCTTCCTTTTCCTCTCATGCTATTTGCCTTTATCTCATCCTCATTCACCCCTCCCCCAAACTTTCCAGTATGTCAAGAATTCTACTTGGGCCCCCATGTTTTCCTGATGACAACTTTCCAGGCCCTCCATCCCCTGCTTACAATAAGGACTCCTTGTTCTCACAACTTATTTCATAGTTGTGGTCCTGGGACTTGCTTTCATTCTAGCTTAGTGGTAATGCTGTTGCTAACTTGGTCTGCAGAATTCATTGATGCATGAATATTTGTGTACATTGTTATCTTATTGGCTGAATGAACTGTGTCTTTTTTTTCTGTAGAAAAGGAGACATGTATGTTAATATTGCTGGTTTGGATGCATGCATACTAAGTTTCATACTATTTTATCTCAATTCCTAAAAAACAAACTGAAAGGAAAGTACTCCAAAACAATGCTTATTTCTTTGTGGTGGAGTTTTGGATAACTTACTTTCTCCTTTACGCTTTTCTATTTTTGGTAGATATTTCACAACATATTAATTTTGACATTAATTTTATACTAAGAGAAAACTTTAAAAGGAGGTAGATCAGAGATGTGTAAATTTCCTATGACAAACCTGTGTGTTTGGCTAGAAGCCTCATGAAAGCTGGGTAAATGTGGGAATGGTTTGGGTTTTCTACTATTGTAAAACTTTGCACAAAGACCTTTAAACATGTTCAGTTGTTTAGAGCCATTGTCGTGACTGATTTTAATTCTCCAGGTTGGAGATCTACAGTATGCCTCCCCTGCAACTGTGTCGCGATGTGGAATGGTTTATGTGGATCCTAAGAACTTGAAATATGAACCATACTGGAAAAAATGGGTTAATCAAATACAAAACAAGGTGAAAATTATTTCTAAAATGAACTTAAAGTTATTAGTGTTAGTGGCCAATTGGATAGCTATAACCCAGAGGGATGTTTACAGTTGAAGGTTATGGCATTGATCTTGACCTACCTATGATCTTGAGTGCTTAATTATCAATATATAAGATGAAAATATGGAAGACACACTTTTTAGATGTCCAGATAATTAATAGCTGCTGCTATAGGTAATGCTTTCAGTAATCTAGACCAGGAGCTGATACTTTTCCCCCTGTAAACACTAGAGAGTAAATATTTTAGGTTTTGCAAGTCATATATATATATATATATATTTTTTTTTTTTTGCAAATACTTAACTCCGTCATCATGGCATAAAAACAGCCACAGTGCTTTAATGGGCATAGGTATGTGCCAATAAAACTTTATTTAGAAAAACAGATGGCAGAACAGATTTGGCTTATGGGTTGTAGTTGGTAACCCCTGGTCCAGTCAAGTCCAGCTACTGAGACACACGTCTTAGGTGGTGCCTACACTCCCCGTTTGCTCAGCTGGATGAAGCAGGTGTGAAAGGACCTAACTTGGAGTGTAACTGAGATTAGATGGGTCCAGCTGAGCTTCTACCGTGGGATGTGCCATGTGGCTGCCCAGATTGTGTGTCATCTTAACGACAGACTTCATGGAAAGGTGCAGAGATGATGTGACCAGGGCCAGGAGGCCATGACCACATTCTCAAAGGGATGGTGGTGGCTTGGCTCTGTGTCTAGAAGTGTTACTAGGCTGGTGGTGAACTGGAAACCAGAATGGTTGGCAGTTCCTTGAGAGGAAGAGGCGCCTTCCACTGTTTGCTGGAGCACTGGGGCCCTGTCGCTGGAACTCTAAGATGGTTGGCCCCTTTTCTGTCAAATGTGACCTCTCTCCCATGTAGTGGGGTGAACCCTGGGGCAATAAAATGAAGCACTTGAGCATCTCTCTAGAACTCTGAGACACTAATGATTTCATAGGGATTTGCTCACTTGCCAGATTGATCTTTCATCGGAAGGTGTTTATCACCCCCTCTCAACAAGGAGAACTTCCCAGCAATTTCCGTTTGAATAAAGGAGCCCTTGGCAACATGTTGGCATTCTGCTCTTTCCTAGGCCGAGCTAAACACTTTGGATAACCTCTTTGCAAAGTATGTGCCCTATCTCATGGATGTGATAGTGGAAGGAATAGTGGATGGAAGACAAGGAGAGAAGCTGAAGATGATCGTTCATCAAACAGACCTAAACATGGTAGGAAACAGTCACTGTTGGCAAAGAAAATCTTTCCCTAAAGATGGACCCACACAAGCTTTCAAGGAAAGCACATGTCAGGTCAACAAAGAAGAACCAGCACTTCCTGCGTGACCCTGGCCAGACGAGCTGCTGGGCTTCATCGCCTGACCCAACATGGCGGCCGTGTATTCCCATCACGCTGGGGCCTGAGATTCAGGACTTATGACCAGAACTGGTCCTGGGGTGGGGGAGGACGGGTGCTGGGGGGCCAGTGGAATGTATGGGGGCTGACCCAGGTGTTTTCCTGTGAACCAGGTGACCCAGTTGACCAAGATGTTGGATGCATTACTGGAAGGGGAAATAGAGGACCCGGACCTGCTGGAGGCCTACTTCTTAGAGGCTCTGTACTGCTCTCTGGGCGCCACCCTGCTGGAGGACGCGAGGATAAAGTTTGATGAGTGCATTAAGCACATAGCCTCTTTGCCCACTGCTGACACAGAAGGGGTCTGGGCCGGCCCCGGGCAGCTGCCAGGTAGGACCTGAGAGTGTTTGCTTTGGTTGGGTTTCACAGGACATGGCCTTGCTTTTCTACATGAGGCTTGTGGTTTCCCAGCTCTGGGGGTCAAGAGCCCCTGGTGGTTGATCCCCTCCAATGTCCAAATGCACGGACTGCGCGAGCAGAAGCCTAGCCCCTTTGGGTCCTTGCTTGTCGAGGCTTCACGTCCCTCTCTGAGCTTAGATCTCTGCTTCCTCCGTCCTGTTGAAGCTCTTCCGGCGTCCTTCCCATTCTGTGCTGTTGGCCTGCCCTCAGCCCCTCGCTGCACTCCTGACCCCTGGCCGATGGGCCTTGTATGGAGTCCCTTTGATGAACCCCGAGTCTGCCCTCCTGTCCAGGTTCCGAGCCTTGCGCCTCTTGAATTCTCTCCTGTTCCCACAGGGGCCATTTACCTCCTTTTGCCATGAATCTCCACCCTGCCCTCTTCCCTCTCTGTCCAGAGCACCCCTCTCCTTGCCTCAATGGGGAACACAGACATCCTGGACTGGGAATGGTCCCTCTCAGCAGTCAAGCCGCAGAGAACACTCTGCACCTCCATCTCTGTGCCTCTCTCCCCTTGTCCAGAGAGGGGGGGCCCTGACCAAGTCCAATCTGCCCCCTGGACTTTGGGGCCTGTCCCTTCCCCCCTCCTGGGCTCCTGGCTGCACAGCTTTCTCCTCTTTCCCCAGAAGCTTTGCCCTCCCCTCCCTCCCCTGCCTCCCTCCCCCTCATTCTCCCCCTCCCCCTCTCCCAACCCTTTCCTGCAGCTGGCCCATCACTTCCTGTTCCCCGAGATTGTCAGCCCCCACCCTGCCCCCCACTGCTGCCCTCTCGCCTGGTGCTGGTCCTGGATCCTCCCCCCACTCTCCGAGTCGGGTCTGAGCCTTCTCGTGGGCCACAGCGTCTCACCTCTGGTCTTCCTCCCTCAGGGGCCTCCCCGGCTCCCCAGGCTCAGTTATGTTTGACTCTGTTTCCACTCTCTGTCCATCCGTCGGTCCGTCCATCCATCTCTTTCTATCTTAACTCTGTCCAGTCTGTCTGTCTTCTCTCCTCTGCCCAGCTGTCTGTCTTCCTTCTTCCTTCCCACGACTTGTCTCCGCCATCATCCTCTGCCTTGTCCCTGCCTCCCTCCACACCAGTGACCTCGACACCTTCTTCCCTCCCCTGTCAACTCTACCCCCTCCCCCAGCCTCTCGGGCCCCCACAGCCTCTGCCCGGGACAGGGCGGGCCTCATGCAGATCCGTTCCCCGACCGCAGCCGTCTTGGTCTTTGACTAGTGCCGATCTGGCCGCGCCTGCCATCCAAGGGCTGACCGCAGGGGCTCCCAGGGCCGGCCAGGAGAGGACTCGCACTTTGAAATGGCCCCCGGGCTTGTCCCGGCACCATCCCGCCTGCCCTCTGGCCCGCTGCTCCTCCGCCCGCTGCCCCCTTGCTGCCTGGTCCCCTCATCTGTCCTCTTCCTCTGCCAGTTGCTGTCCTCTTGGGTCGGGGTCACTGGTGCTGACTGTGGGAAGGACTGAGACTCCCCCACCTACCTGAGGCCCATCCTGGTTAGATGCCGTCATGGGGTTCCCGTGGCCCCTGAATTTCCTCAATCACAGAACTTACTGCTCCGCATGGAGCTGGCTATTCACTGGCCTCTCCGCCCCCTTCGACCCCCCAACCCCGGTAAGCTCAGGGCCAGGACCTCCAGGGTCGCTGCTGCCCAGCCCGGGTCCTGCCAGGCAGGAGAGGCCAGGACAACAGCGGGGGTGTGCGGAGACCGGAACTTGGGACATGGCGGCCTCCAGCCCCGAGAAACCACCTCCCCGTTAAGAAAGGAAATGAGGTCATGTGGCTTGGGGGCTAGGGCTGAGAGCAAAGACGTTACATCGTAGTGACTAAAACGGTGGGGGTGAAGCAGTGTGGGCTCGGCTGAGGGGATGGACGAACCCCAGGGCACCCCACTTGGACGTGAGAAGAGACTTTCTCCAGATCACTGGACTTTTCAATTTCTGTTTGTGGGCCCTCTGCTCCCGGGTTCTGGGGTCCCCGTGGGTCTCAGGGCGACGAGTACGCCCCCAGGCTTGCCATGTCTGTGAAAACGAGTCTCAGAGAAAAGTTCAGGTAGGTTTCTTTTTCTTCTGTCTCAGGGGCGGAAAGCGACTGACGCCTCAGGCTTCGTCTCCGGGGGTCGTGCTCCCAGGAGGGGCTGGGTGGGCGCCTGGCGGGGCGGGCAGCGCTAGTCCAGAGGCTCGGCGTGTCCCTGACCGTGAGCGAGTAGCCTTGTGCCTTGTGCCCCGGACTCCCGTCGAGTGCACGAGAAGTGCCCTTGCTGCCCTAGTCCATCCAGCGAGGGCCAGTGGACGCGGTGTTTCCACGCCTGTGGGGGACGCGACACAGCTGCTTGTACCCTGCAGGCCACCTGCCCACCCTGTACAACTTTCACTTCCATCCAACTGAGAAGAAGTGGATCCCATGGAACAAACTGGTTCCCGAGTATGTCCACGATCCCGAGCGGAAATTCCTGGACATCCTGGGTGAGTGAGAGCAGCCCCTACCCCCGGCATTTCTCCTTCCACGAGGAGGTGAAGAAGACCCTGAGGCTTCCGTGGTCCTCTCGAGTCCACCCTAGAGTGGAGGTCATGGAGAGTGAGCGGTGGCCTTGCCAAGAGGGGGGCATTTTGATTCTTTTCATGTGCTGCTGGCGCCAGGTGACTCGGCTCTATTTGCAAGCAGGCGGGTGGGGCAGGGTGTGGTGGGCGCAGCCCTGTTCTCGCACGTTTCCATGTGCCCTTGGGCCCCCAGGACTGGCTGGGCTCCAGAAGGAGCAAGTAAGTCAGCGTTTTAGGACTGCTGTTGCCTTGAGGTACCAAGGACCTCGGGTGTCTCTGTGGTGAGATGTCTGTCTCTGTGGTGAAACTCTGGTGAGACTCTCTCTGGTGAGATGTCTCTGGTGAGACGTGTCTGCGGTGAGACGTCTCTGCGGTGAGATGTCTCTGTGGTGAGACCCTCTGTGGTGAGCCATGTTCCAAACGCTCCTCTGGCTGTGTGGGTCACACAGAGGCTGCATGTTTTCACCACACGTCAGACTTGGTCCTCACGGGGTGACTCAGCATGCCCATTTCCCAGGAGCCAGTCAGGATTCAAAACTGGCCACGCAGGAGGAGCCAGACCTGACTTCTAGGATTTATGCTCTCCTCAGTGGGGCTGTTGGCCAGGGAATCCTGCAATGGGGGCTGGTGTGAGCAGTGGGGAAGCTGGGCTGCTGGGCTCAGGCGGGGTTGGGTGTCCCTCGGCCAGGTCTTCAGCCGGCAGGGCCGCACGGCCATGGCCTATGGCAGGCTGCTCACACTGTGTGCTCCCCGTGGGTGGACTTTGTGGGGTGTGAGCAACACCCCCATGAAGCCGTCACAGCGAGGGTAGGGTGGGAGGGCTCCTGAGTAGGCCTTTTCCACACCTCAGGCCACCTTGGGGGTTTCTGCTGTCGCTGCTTCCCCATGGCATTGTTCCCATGACGCCCCCCTTTCCTCACACGTCCCTCAGTTCACACGGTGGACACGACCTGCACCACCTGGATCCTGCAGCAGATGGTGAAGATTAAGCAGCCTGTCATTTTGGTTGGTGAATCTGGTACCTCCAAGACCGCCACGACCCAGAATTTCCTCAAAAATCTGAACGAAGAGACTAATGTGAGTCCCTCTTGCTGTTCACATCCACTGTCACGGGCGCTTCGCGATGTTTTGGTCGTTGAGGGGCCATGCACAGGACAGCGGTCCCCAGGGGTACCCCATCCAGCCCAGCATGTCACGGGGGCACCTTTAGGCTTGTGCCTCCCGCTTCAGGACGTTCGCACAATGACCCGACCGCTTCATGGCAAATTTCTCAGAGGTGTCCGTGTGGCTGAGCCCTGTGCCTGTCCAGCTGTGTGAGGAGTTGCTGGACACAGAGCGGCTGACGCAGCTCGCCTTGTGACCTTGTCTGTTGTGTGTGTCAGGGCTGTGGGAGCGGCCTGGCGGCACTTCTGGCCAATGCTGTAGATGGTTGCCAGCGGCTGGCCGGGCCTGTGCTCATCCAAAGACTTTCCCGAGACCAGAGGAACCTCTTCCAAGATGGCGGGCCCTCCCCCCCCGCCACCCTGGGGACCTCTCCCAGGGCTGCTGAGACCCTCTTGACACAGCAGCGGGCTTCCCCCCTGAGGGAGTGTCTGGGACAGACGGCAAAGCAGACGCACCCGAGCCTTTGATGCCCGAGGAAACCACAGGCTGTCTCTTCTGCCGGCTGCTGCTGGAACCACCCCATGCCGTGTGGGGCACCCAGGGGTGTTTACAGGAGGGGAGGGTGATTGGGAATTGTCTGGGAGCAAAACTGAATCATGACATGCTCCTGCCCTCCAGGGCTTCAGGTGAAAAGAAAGGGGCTCTGAGAGGTGAAATGACTTTTTCAGGTCCCTCCCTAACACCGTGCAGAACCAGCCCCCTGCCCCAGGCCCTTTGTCCCTAAGGCCCACAGGTGGCACCTGTCACTGCCTCATGTAACCTTCCAGAGGGAAAGAATTCTTACTGTAGTTCTTCGAAAATACCCACGGACGCTCTCACTAGCTTACAGACAAGTCAGTTCAGGTGCCAGTGAATCTGAGAAGCCGGGCGTGCATGGCCTCATGCTGCGAAGCAAAGCCGCCGCCTGGAATCCTCTGTTGCAGATTGTGCTGGTGGTCAATTTCTCCTCCCGCACCACGTCCATGGACATCCAAAGAAATCTAGAAGCGAATGTGGAAAAGCGAACCAAGGACACGTACGGGCCGCCCATGGGGAAGCGCCTCCTGGTGTTCATGGACGACTTGAACATGCCAAAGGTGGGGGCTCCTGGCGGGGGCAAGAGCTGTGCTCGGTGGCCGAATGGGCCTGGGGCCGGCGAGTGTGAGCAGCCAGCGTGGATGGGCACAGCCCCGGCGGGCCCTGGTTAGGACTGTGTGCTGGGGCGTTCCCCACGGACTGTGCTCCCCGGTTTCTTTTCTTTGCTCCCCGGTTGAAGGAGTAGAGCTGGCAGTGGTCAGCCTCTGTGCCCAACGTGTGCTTGAGCTGAGTCGTCTCTGAAGGAGCTGTGCTTTTGATAATAGTTCTGCTCTCAGCTCCAGCTATTGGAAATCACAAGGGAAGACACGCCCCCAAATTCCTCTGGATTTACCAAGGAAGGGGAAACTTAGTATGCCTGGGTCAAAGCCTGAGAGGAGCAAAGTTTTCTTACACTGGAATTTAAATTTATATCATTTCCACAAAGCCATTTCCCCTGGATTTTCTGAAAATCTAGCCTCCAAATGTTCTGTGTGCAAACTAAGCATCCATCCATCCTCCATCCATCCTCCATTCATCCTCCATCCATCCTCCATCCATCCTCCATCCATCATCCTCCATCCATCCTCCATCCATCATCCTCCATTCATCCTCCATCCATCCTCCATCCATCCTCCATCCTCCTGTCTGTCCATCCATCCACCCACCCGGTTAACATGTGTATATGTAATATATATATATATATATATACACACACACACACACACACACACATATTTTTTTAAAGATTTATTTTATTTATTTATGCATAGAAGAACTGGGGTACAGGCCAGAGGTGCAGGAGGGTGACAGAATCCACCAGAGACAGAGGGGGGAGCAGAACAGGCAAATTGACCGAAGTACACTCCTGAGGGGAGCAGCGGGGAGACAGGAGAGGTCTGCTGTGCCATGTGTGGGTCAGCTCCCGGGCCGGGATCGAACTTGGGCCACAGTGGTGATGGCACTGAGACCAACCCCTAGGCCACCAGGGAGCCTCCGGCATATATATTTTTTGAGCACCTCCCATGGGATTGGTGTGTGCAATGGTGAGCGAAACATACATAGTCCCTGCCTTCATGGAGCTTATAGTCCAGCAAGGAAGACAGACTTTTAAAAATAATGAGAAATGAATATATAATTGCAAACTGTGAGAAGCCCTGTGAACCTGCAGCCAGAGCGCTCTGAGAGTAAGAGGAGTAAGAGAGTGTGGATGGCCAGCAGAGGCTCCAGAAGGTTCTGTCTTATAACACCACGTTCTCTCGTTCCTTACACGTAACCCGAGGTGGATGAGTACGGCACTCAGCAGCCGATCGCCTTGCTGAAGCTGCTGCTGGAGAAGGGCTTCCTGTACGACCGCGGGAAGGAGCTGAGCTGCAAGAACATTCGCGACCTTGGCTGTGTTGCCGCCATGGGGAAGGCTGGGGGCGGCCGCAATGAAGTCGATCCGAGGTTCCTTTCACTGTTCAGCGTCTTCAATATTCTGTTTCCTTCTGAGGAGTCTCTGCATTTAATTTATTTCTCCATCCTGAAAGGCCACACCTCGGTAACTTGGTTTTCGTTGGCGGTCGAGGTGGGCAGGCCCGGTGCTGGGCACAAGCGTGGGCAGGCACACTGTGGCCATCCGCCTTCAGGACGTTCTAATTTCGTTCAAGCCCAGGGGAAAACACAAGAAGAATATAATCCAACTGGATTATATTCCTACTGATACTGTGAGTCATGAAATCCAAATCTAATGTGGTTTTAGGGAGAAGGGGGCCCCTGAAAGTCATGACTTGCCACCTTGAGCTCAGCAGGGGGTTAACTGGGGGCTGGCGATCTGGAGCCAGTCCCCTATCTGTGCTGCTGGCAAGTCCCTTGAGCTCCCCTAGGCCCCACTCTCATCTCGAATAGGGAGATAGGATGGTGCTGGGTCCTCTGGGTTAAGGGGGAGCAACGCATGTGGAGTGTGAGGCGCCCTGCCCAGCACGCAGCAGATCCCCACTACCTCCTAGCTGCAGCTGTCATCATTATGATTTAGTTGGCACCATGGATGGAGCCTGTTCATTTAAGTAAAGACGTCCCGATCCTGGCCTTGCACAATTCGGGCGCCAGGTGGCCAAGGCCAAGGCCAAGGTGTGGAGCGGCCGCTGTTGTCCATACGAGTGTGGGCTCCTGGTGGGTCCATGTGTGTTCCTAGGCTGAGAGCGGGCCTGGGGCATTGGTTCACATCCTGTGGGCTTGTCAGCGAGTGTAAAAATCTAGGGAACCAGAGCACATGGGACCATGAGTTTCTCTGGTCTTGTCATTTTGTTTCCTGATTCCCTCTTTAAAAGTTGTGGTAAAATTCCAGGTCAGCAGCACTTAGTATGTTTAGCATGCTGCACAGCCACCTCCCGTCCAGTGCCGAAACATCATCACCCCCGAAGCAGTAACCCCGTCCACTCTCCAGGCCCTGGTGGCCTCCAGTCTGCCTTCGTCTCTGAATTTGCCTCATCTGGACATTTCACGTGCATGAGCTCAGATGACGGGGGGCTGCGGGCCTGGCTCCTGGCACTTGGCGCCCACATGGAGCAGGCGGGTCACCTGGGGACCCTTTCATTTCCAGGTGTTCCACGAGAGCATCGTGGCCATGACCGACACGCTGACCTTCTGCACGCTGACACTTTACAAAAGCATCGTGCAGGACCTGCCTCCCACCCCGTCCAAGTTCCACTACATCTTCAACCTTCGGGACCTCTCGCGGGTTTTCAACGGTCTCGTCCTCACTAACCCAGAGCGGTGAGTTTGTCCTGACTTGCTCTGTATGTTGCGCTTACCCGGTACCTAGGTTTGGCTTTTTTTCTTTATTCTTCTAAGGCAGAGGCCTTATGAGAGAATTTGATGAATTGATGTATCAGTTGATCATCCGAAGTCTTTGGTTTCTGCTAAATGAAGGAAAGAGTGCTTGGCTTAAGGCCTGGTGGCTTTTAAGTGCTGGAATCGAAAGACAGGTGGCGTGAGGGCGTGTGGGCAGGTGTGTGAACCCCTGGCCTCTCTGCTGCCCTCTGCTCTCACTTCCGAAGTTGGGGTTTGCCTGCGTGGAGACGTCTACTCGTTCGGCCCAATTGTCCTGCCTGCTGGTGGGTTCGGCTGTGTGTGTCTCTGAGAGACGTGAGCACAGAGAGGGATTGAGGTCTAGGTAAAGAAGTTTCCCCTTTAAGACCAGACTTACAGGGCCTCCCAGGTGGCGCAGCGGTTGAGCGCTGGGTTGTGAAGCTGCCCGCGGCCTCTGCGGCGCCGGTTCGATCCCCGGCTGCTCCCCGGCCACCGAAGGAGGGTCCCACATGGCGCGCAGACCTCTCCTGCCGCCCGCTGCTCCCCTCAGCAGTGTGCTTCGGTCCTTCTGCCTGCTCTGCTCCCCACTCTGGCTCTGGTGAATTCTCTCACCCTCCCGGCTTCTGACTGTACCCAGTGCATGTATAAACCAAACAAACAAACAAATAGATAAATAAGACATGCCTCTAGAAAATTAAAAAAAAAAAAAAAGACCAGACTTACATAGTTACACTAGTATTTACTTTATGTAGGTAGATCTGCAAGCACGATTTTGTGGACTCACTCTAGGGATCCCCAAAAACTGAAAAATGAGTGAATAAAGGACTAGTCCTGCATCCAACCCTATTCTCTGGTGCTTTGAGGGTGTGGCATGGAAAGTCAGGAAGGGCAGCTCCAGGTGTTTTGGGTGGAGCCAGGGACCTTAGCCAGAGACCAGAGAATATTCCAGAACTGGGGCCAGAAAGAGGAGGTTTTTAGAAAAAGGTGCTGCCAGTGGCCCCAACGCCAGTTTTAAGCTCATCTCTTCCAGCAAGTAGGAGCAAGTGGTGTCAGGTGCTGATTTTGTATCACCGTGGCATCTATAGGTGATGTCTCTCCTTCCCCTACAGCGGGTAGGTTACGAGCAATGACTTTACTCTTACATCTGTGCCCACTAACCAGTTGATTCCTTTCATGAATGTGAGACCAGGGGAGTGAAGGGCAACAGAGATGTCCTTCTCTGCCTCTTAGGCGTCCATCTGAAAATAACACGGCCCCTCTTTCTGGATGCCTTTGTGGCTGTTCTCACCCCTCCTGCCCACAGGTTCCAGACGGTGGCCCAGATGGTGAGGGTCTGGAGGAACGAGTGTCTGAGAGTCTTCCACGACCGCTTAATCAACAAAACGGACAAGGAACTGGTCAGTGCACAGAGTGGGGAGCAGGCAGGTGTGGACCCACCCCCCGGTGAGGGTTAGCGCACTGAGACGGGGTGGAGAAGAGTAGGCACTAACAGCAAGAGTCAGCAGGTAAAGGGGCTTGGGTTATCAAGTATCTTGCAGCAATTGGGGGAAACATTGAATGCAAATCACTTCAGATGATCCCAGCGTGCTCTCTGACAAGCCTTAGCAGCACTTGTGCACTGAGGCTGGGTCCTCAAGCTGTCTGATGTCATCAGGTACAAAGACACATAGAAAACCTGGTGACGGAGCACTTCCCGGATGACGTGGAGGTGGTGATGAGGGACCCGATCCTGTTCGGAGACTTCCGGATGGCGCTGCAAGAAGAGGAAGCTAGAATTTATGAGGACATCCAGGACTATGAGGCGGCCAAGGCGCTGTTCCAGGTGGGCGGGGCTCACGTCCCCCTCCCCTGAGCGAGCACGAGTCGTGGCCCGAGGGTCGCCTGGGTGCCCGGGATTGGCGTCCTGTCCCCAGGTTCAGAGCGTGGCTTTGGGAGGTCCCGCGCCCCATGGTGTGTGGGAACAACCGTGGTATGGTGCCCCCCCAGGATTCGCTTTCTCAGCCCCTGGGGAGGGGGGCTCGGACTGATGCGCGGCGTCAGGAGTTGCTTGTTTCCTGACATTCGCTCTCTGCTTGGTGGGTGAGTGGAGGCTTGTGGGTACCACAAACCAGTAGATGGGAATCCCAGGGGTGGTGGAGGGAGTGCAATTTCCGCCCCCCCCCGCTCCCCCCCCTGCCCCATGCAAGCGGTTTGATGGCGTCCACGACTGTGGCATCCAGAAAACTCTCTGCTCTGCCCTGGATCATGGACAAAAGGGAGTGGAGGGGAGGTCTGTCCCTTAAAATCCAGCGATCCTTCCAACGTCATTCTCCACTCAGGAAATTCTTGAGGAATATAACGAAAGCAACACGAAAATGAACCTGGTGCTCTTTGACGACGCCCTGGAGCACCTGACGCGCGTGCACCGCAGCATCCGCCTGGACCGCGGCCACGCCCTGCTGGTCGGGGTCGGGGGCTCGGGGAAGCAGTCCCTGGCCAGGCTGGCCGCCTTCACCGCCGGCTGTGAGGTGAGTCCACCGCCTGCCCAGGACTAGGTCTCTCGAGCCTATTCTGGCGCCGGGAGCACACGCAGATGTTGAAGTCACCCTGCAGCTCACAGCTCAGTGTCTTCATAGTCGAATCCAACAGACCCTGTGACCGTGGCCCACGGCTCATGCCCTGGCCACGCAACCAGCACCTGCTGGGCCCTCTGAGGACCAGGCCACACCAGCACCCACCTGCAGTGCACATTGCAAAGATATTTTGGGTATCTTTAGAAAATGCGTGCAGTCATCACTGCTGTCTACTTTAGAACACTTTCAGCACCCCCAAAAGAAACCCTAAACGCTTTAGCATTACACTCCCCCGCCCCGTCTGCAAGTATCGACAGACGTGACTCACTGTGCGGCCTTGGTCTGTGCGACTGTGCGTGTGGGTGACTTGAGGGTGAGAGCGTGTGGGTATGAATGTGCGTGCGAGATCGAGGGCGTGGCTGTGCATTTGCAAAAGCATGTGTGTGAGTTCACGTGTGACTGAAAGCACGGGAGTATGAACAAGCGTGTGATCGCCAATGTGTGTGCATGTGGGTGTGTGAGCTCATATGAGTGTCAAATGGATCACTATGTGAAAGTGTGTGGACGTGCACATGCATGTGCACAGTGTATGAATTCGTGTGTGAGTGTGTCAGTGTGTGTACAAGTGACTGATTGTGTGAGGGTTCATGTGCAAGTGTATGTTATGTGCGACTCTGCGTGGGCATCTGTGTGGCTGTGTGGGTGTGTAAGTGTGTGGACGTGCATGGTGTGAGCTTGTGTGAGCGTGGAGGTGTGTGCGAGGGGGAGGAGGGGAGGCAGGACGGAGGGGCCAGCTCTTCAGTGTGAACCTGGGCGGTTTCCTGTCTCCCCAGGCGGAGGAGTTAGACTCCTCCCCGAGCCAAGAGAAGCGCGTGGCCGAGAGGCCGTGACTTACACGCCAGCCCCTGTGCGCGTCCCCAGCTTGTGTGCAGCAGGGTTACTTCATTAAGATTTGGTTTCGTTGCACATCCCCGCACTTGTCGCGGGCTCGCCCAGGTGTGGGGTGCGCACACAGGCGGCGCTAGTGTGTCGTGTTCCTTCCCTGTCCTCTGCCTCCCGGCCCTGAGTTAACTCATGACTCACTTTCACACTGAGGGTGTCCTTCCCACACCTGCAGCTCCCACCCCCGACCAGTGCAAGCACAGAATGTGGGGCGCGGCCCCTGTGCTCCCACTCCCTGGGTCCTGAGCCCGGCCCAGGTCCCCGCTCGTGTCCCGCCGTCCCTCACCCCCCTACCCACCAGCCGAGGGCCGGGCTCCGGGCACCTCTCAGAGGCCGCGGGCCTGTGTCGGCAGGTGTTTGAGATCCTCTTGAGCCGGGGCTACTCTGAGAGCAATTTCCGGGAAGATCTGAAGAACCTTTACCTGAAGCTGGGCATTGAGAACAAATCCACGATCTTCCTGTTCACCGACGCGCACGTGGCCGAGGAGAGCTTCCTGGAGCTCATCAACAACATGCTGACCTCGGGTAGGGGCCGCCCGCGGGTGGGGGCGCAGGCAGGGAGGGCCCCGGCAGAGGGGGAGCGGGTGCTCAGCACGAACCACGTTGTTGGCGGGGGAACGTGGAGGGAGCCCCTCTAACCGACGACGGCGGTAGGGACCCCCGTCCAGCCGGGGGCCAGTCCCCATCACATTGTTCTGGCGGCGCAGACTGAGCTTGGCGCGTGAGCGTCTTCTGCCCGGGAGCCCATCGGTATTTAATGAAAAGATATTTTTATTTTTAATTTGCTTGTGGTCGAGAGACCGTCAAGTCGGAGCTGGACGAGCGGGAATCTGGCCGCTCGCGCGTCTCGCGGGCTCTGCCCTGCGCGCCTGCTGCCGCTCGCTGCCCCCCTCGCTCCCGTCAGGCCTGCACCGTGGGGCGGGCGCGAGCCTCTGCCACCGAGTCCTGCTTTCTCCGTGTCTCGGAGCCCGGCCCTTCCCTCGTGTTCCCGTCCCTTCTGGCCGGAGCTCCTCTTCTCTCCCCCCACGCGTCCCTTACTCTGACCTTCTCCCCAGCGCTGCTGCCCCTCGCAAACCTGAAAGTCAGAGGAGCGCGTGTCTTTGGAGCTGGCGGTTTCACAGCCTCTGGACGACGCCCCGGGTGGGGGCGGGGGGGGGGGTCGCGGGGACCCTCGGTATTTCCAGTTTCCATTTTTTAAGGTCAATCCAGATCATCTTCCGTGACGGCTGCTCCGGTCACATCCCCACCTCCTGCTTGCTCTTCTTTCCGACCCCAGCTTTTCTCCGCCCTCTCCGTGTTGGTCTTCCTGCCTCCCACACCACCCCTCTGTGCCCGCCCCTGCTCCCCTTCCCCGGGCAGGAGGCCCCGGGTCTCTGAGGACTGGCTTCTCTGCGCCTGGCCCTGCCCCTCCTTTCCCGGGCACACGTATGCATGCTGCTCTGCACGGTGCCCACGCTGCCCCCACTGCCTGGCACCTCTCTCTCTCCCTGTCTTCATCTGCCTCCGCGCCGGCACGCGAGGGACGCGTGGCAAGGGGCCCCTGTGGAAGGCAGGGCGCGGGAGGTGGAAGGCCGTGCTCGCTGGCAGAGGCGGGGCCTGGTGGATGCGGGCGCTCAGGTATTGTCTTCATGACTCGTCTCTGCCCTCCTTGGGCTCTGCCGTTTTTCTCTCCCACTTGCCTTCTTGGCTTGTCCTAACAGAATCTTTGAAAAAGGCCGCAGAAGCCCCAGGCCCGCAGCTCCTCGCCCGGCAGGTGGGCCGCGTGGCTCCTCCTGCCCTGACACGCTCATTGCAGGGCTCTGATTGGGCAGGCCTGGGGTAGGTCATGGCCACCCAAACCACCCAGACGTGGGTGGGTGAGGATTCTCCAAAGGAAAAGGGGGACCCCTGGCAAGGAAGGGGGGACACAAGCAAAGAACCCCTCTTTCCTGTCTAGCACCAAGCCCCACCCTTCCTCCATATCTTCACTGTCTCGTGGGGTCTCCCCCTCCCAGGAAGCTGCCCGCCGAGTTGTCGGGGTCCTGGCTCCCCAATGCCCGGCCCCTATGGCCCAGCCTGCTCATGGCCAATCACGCCACCTCCTGGGCTGGCATCAGAGTTTGCAGGCGTGTCCCTAACTTGTAGGCGAGCTCGTGAAGGCCACCCCCGCCGTCCTCTGCATCTGCATGCGGTGGCCGTGAAGACCGCGAGGGCTGGGAGGGCCTCTTTTAATAGGCCTCGCTCGCATAGTGGGGCTGCTGTTCGCTCAAGCCCTTGCCCTTGGCAGCGCAGTGGGGCCTCTCGACGTTGGCACGAGGGGCATGATGGCTATTTGTTAGGGGTGGGCCTGGACACCTAGGACACCCCGCAGATCTGCGCCTCTGCCGCCGGAACCAGGGCCAGGTGCTCTCTGTCTCTTGCAGTCTTGGGAACTGAGTCAGATGCCTCTTAAGGGGACACAATTGCCCCCTGCCTCCACTGAGAGCCCCATGGAAATGTTCACCACAAGCGGGAAGTGCTTATCGCCCCTTCTCACTGATGAGGAGGCCGAGGCTCAAAGGGATTTGTTTACACAGCGGGCGGGTGAGAAGGCCTTGGGCCCCAGCGGCGGGGCTTGGGTGCCGCGCGGCGGGGCTTGGGTGCCGCATCTCCCGCTCTTCCCGGACACGGTGCTGCTGTCACTTCGGGGCCAGAGAGAGAGAGCCCCGAGTGCCCCGAACCCGGTGTGCATTTCGTTTCTCAGGCATCGTCCCTGCGCTTTTCCCCGACGACGAGAAGGAGTCCATCCTCAGCCAGCTGGGCCCGGAGGCCATGAAGCAGGGTGTGGGCCCGGCCAAGGAGTCCGTGTGGCAGTACTTCGTGAACAAGAGTGCCAACAATCTGCACATCGTGCTGGGCATGTCACCGGTGGGGGACATCCTGAGGACCCGCTGCAGAAACTTCCCAGGTGCCCTGGGGCTGAGGCTGCCAGCCCCGCTGCGCCTTCTCCAGGGCCCTGCATTGGGGCATGGTGCTCCCCTGGGGTTCCTCCAGCAAAGGAAAACATGAGGTGGTCCTGAGGTTGGCACGTGGGTCCTGCAATGTGGGGTTAGCCCCGCCCCACCCACGGGAGGGGACATCCCTCGGACACCCAGAGATGATGCTTGCGGTGCCAGTGCTAGGCCTGTGGCACCTGCAGCTTCACTCTGTGCCCTTTACCATTTGGGAACACTCTGGGCTCGTGGCAGTGATACAGGGCAACCCCGATGTAAAACGGTTGCCTGACTGTGGGTCCTCACCGAGCCCTCAAAAGGGACTCACACTGCAGGCACACACAAAGTTAACAAAAGGTTTATTTACAAGGGAAGGGGAATGAGGAAATGTACAACTCAGAGAGAAAAGAGGGAGATAAATTCTTAAATGTGTCCTACCCATTCCGCCGAACTGGAATCCCAAATGACCAGCTGAGACCAAACCTGCCTGGCCAAGAGCGCGAGCCAAGTGCACCCAGACCCCCCCCTAACGTGGCTGGTTTTATTTACAAACAGAGAAAATGGCTGCTTAACTCCACCCTTAGGTCCTCGCAACCTCCCTATGGGGATCATGGGATTTGTAGTTCCCAGTGTCTTGATGGAGTAGGGGTGGCGTCCACAAAGCCTGTACAGAGTTTGCTCGGGCCATCCTCTCCCCCTAACAGAAGGGCCAGTACCTGCCTCTGGAGAGGGGCTCTCAGTTGGGACGAGCCCCGCCCGAGGAAATTTTGGGCTGTTACATGGGGCTGACGGGACGGGAGGAGTGTGTTGCTGCGATCTAGTTGATAGAGGCAGGGACGGCAGTGAGCAGCCCACAGGTGCAGACAGGCCCCTCCAGCAGGAGTGCCCCGCCCAGCTGCCCATAGTGCTGAGGCTGAGACTCCCTGCATTGGGCGCATTCTCCTTGGGCCTGTCCCAGGCGTCCAACCGTCTGTTGGATGCCGAAGACAGTGTCTGTCCTTGAGCATTCTAGGGTCCCAGAGCGATCATCTCTCCCTCTGCTCTCTTCCAGGTCTGGTGAATAACACCAGTATCGACTGGTTCATGCCCTGGCCTTCCCAGGCCCTGCAGGCAGTCGCTAAGTCATTTCTAGGTGAGTGACCATTGAGACGGGGGCACATCCCCGGGGTAGCATGATTCTGACTTAGAATTTTGGTCCAGTCAGAGTGTTTTGTTTATGTTGTGTCCTAGTCCAAAAGGACATCAGGCGACTTACAAGGACAGTTTAGGATGACGATGGATTAGGTGTCATGGAGAGCAGGGCCAGCAAACCACAGCTGGGTGTGGCCCCTGCTTGTTTTTTGTAAGTAAAGTTTTATTGAAACACAGAGTCACGTGTCATTAACATAACATCTATGCCTGTTACGAGTGCAAAGCTGAGTAATTGTAGCAGAGATGTAGGCTGCAAAGCCTAAATGCTGTCAGACCCTTTCCAGAAAAAGTGCTGATTCCCCAGTCGAAGACCATTGAAGGGCCTTAGGTAAGCTCATGAGCAGCCAGCACTAAATGTGCTCTAAAATGTCAAATACCTAAGGCCTCGATTAGTAATGATAATCTTCAAAATAAGGAAAAAAGCTTTTTATCTGGACCTACCGGAGCAGATTTATGACATGACCCTGGGTACCTTGTCCATATTGCCAACCTTATAAATATGTGTTCAACGAAGAAATAAGTAGTTCCCCTATGCAGACAGAAGCCGTTAACCATAATGCCCTTTTTGGGGACAAGGGAGCTAAGGGGGTGACTCTTCCCTGATGATGTAATTTAGGGCGGGCAAACTTCTCTCAATCCCAGAGGGTAAATATTTGCAGCTCAGGGGTCCTGTGCTATCTGATGTCACTGCCATCACACCCTGAGAGCAGATGTAGACAACGTGGAATTGAATAGGCTTGTGCCAGTAAAGCTTTATTTATAAAAGCAGGCGGTGGCACAGATCTGCCCCGCGGGTGACAGTTTTCCCAGCTGGGGCCCGAAGCGCTAGTTCTCCTGGGCACGTTCGCCATCCCTTGTGCCAACACTTCCGTTTGCTTTCAGAATCCAGTGGCCTGTGTTGCCCACAGCCCTGCACAGACTTTGCGTGACCCTCCCCCTTTGAATATATTCCCTGGACACTGTTGCCCGCAGTGTGAATCCGTGCGAGGCAGAGCCTTCCATGTACCCACGCCCGGGACTTGTTCGTGACCCAGTGCAGAATTCAAGACCAAACCTGCGGAATCTGGGGTCACCTTTCTGCCCCTTTTTTCCATTTGGACCATATACTGCCTTGAGGGGAAAGTGTTTTGCAACCTGTGAGATGTGCTCGTGGCCCTGGCAGTGACCCTTCGTCCTTTCCACAGACTCAGGGGAAGACCCCCCTTGTGCTGGGGTGGGGGTGCCGCCAGTCACCGGGTGGGCAAGCCTGCCCAGAGCAGGGCCATTGTGCTGAAACCCCAGCCCTGCGCCGTTGTCCTCCCCACTGCATGGAGGAGAATGGGCTTTCTGACGCAGAAATTGCCAGAGCACGTCTCAGTAGCGGCGAGCCAGCGACAAGTGATAACTGCTCTTTTTTTTTTTTTTTAAGATTTATTTATTTATTCATCAGTGACAGAGTAGGGAGCAGAACAGGCAGATCTATTGAGACACGCTGCTGAGGGGAGCAGTGGGGAGACAGGAGAGGTCTGCTGTGCCCTGTGGTTTGTTCCCTGGCTGGGGAGCGATCTCAGGATCTCAGGCCGCAGACTGGTGATAGCCTGATAGCCCTGAGACTTAACCCCTTGTGCCACCAGGGAGGCTGAATAGCTGCTCTTAAAAATCAGAACACAGTGTATCATCTTTTACTGTGGTGCTACCCTGGAGACGCAAAATCCCACTACACTTTCTGGGCTACATAGTGGCATTGATCACGGTCACAGTGTTGTTCAACCACCACTGTCCACCTCCAGACATTTTTTTTCATCTTGTAAAGTAGAAATTCTCGCCCTTAAACACTTGCTTCTTGCCCCCCTCCCCCCCCCGAGACCCTGGTAACTGTAATCTACTCCCCATCGCTATGGACTTGCTTCTTCTAGAGATTTCCTTGAAGTGGATTCTGCAGTACTCAACCTTTGGTGCCTGGCTTTCGCCCAGTATGTTTTCGGGGTGTATTTATGTTGTGACTTGTGTGGAGTTGCTTCTCATTTAAGGCTGGGTGAACTTCCACTGTGTGGACCCCCCACCCCATTTTCTGCATCCATTCACCTGGGATGGGCACCCGGGCCCTTTCAGCTGTCAGTCACTGTGACTGATGCTGGGTGTGCAGGCTCCGTGCGGGCCCTTTCTCTGCTCTCCAGTCCACACACCCCAGTGGCAAGCATTTCTCATCTGGGAATGACGGGAGAACTTTGCAATCCTTCAGCTGCATCAAGGAAGCATCATTCTCTTAGCTCCCTTGTCCCCCAAAGGCACATTATGGTTAAAGTTATGGCTTCTGTCTGTGTAGAGGGATTATTTAGGTATTTATTCGTTGAACACATATTTATAAGGCCGGCCGCATGTCCAAGGTCATCCGGGGTCATCTGTCATAAATCCGGTTGCGCCAATACCCCACTTGGTGGCTTTTTCTTTCCTTCTTCAGGGGATAACCACATGATCCCGGCAGAGAATCTAGAAAACCTTGTGGAGCATTTTGTCTTGGTCCACGAATCCGTGGGTGAATTCAGCAAACAATTTCTACAGAAACTGAGGCGCAGCAATTATGTAACTCCCAAGAATTACCTTGATTTTATCCACACCTATTCAAAATTACTGGAGGAGAAAACCCAGAATAACATAGGTGAGGCCGGGGGGACGGAGCGGCTGACGGGCCTCGATCACCCACAGGCAGGGCCCCCAGAGTATCGCTTCTGGCTCAGACGCTTCCTGGCTCCTTCTCAGGACTGGGGCAGAACATGTTTTGGATTTTATATTTCAGAGCGATTCAGCCCCCTTGGGGCTGGGCCCTGCGCTCTCATTTTTATTTTTCAGTGTTGGGCCAGCACTTTGCGGCCTTCCCTGAGGGAGCACGTTCAGTGGCTGGAACGTGCTGGGCTGGGCAGTGGTTTTTAATGATGCCCCGGTGCTGGCTGTTGGCCCTGCGGGCGCTGTTTTCAACCTTTTTGATGGGTGCTGTCTCGGCACTGCAGTGGGGTCTCGAAAGGCAGTGGACACCCCAGGAAAATGAACCTGAAGGGGACCAGCCCCGGGGGCTGCTGGAGCCCATCTACCCAGCACTGAGGGCCCTCTCCCCTCAGCTCAGTGCAAGCGCCTGGAGGGCGGGCTGGACAAGCTGAAGGAGGCCACCGCCCAGCTGGACGAGCTGAACCTGAAGCTGGCCGAACAGAAGATCGTGCTGGCCGAGAAGTCGCAGGCGTGTGAGGCCCTGCTGCAGGAGATCGCCACCAACACTGCCATAGGCGAGTGGGGCCGCCGGGCAGGGCCTTCAGCAGGGCAGGCTCCGTGGGGAGAGGGGGCGACCCGGAGAAGCCATTGTAAGCCTTAAAAGAGTGGTTTTTCATCTGTCCAGTAACCGAGACGTCATGTCAGGCACAGAAAAAGGCAGTGTGGTGTGATGTGGTGTGTGTGTGTGTGGTGTGTAGTGTGGTGTGTGTGGGTGTGTGAGACTCAGCTCTACTTTGAGAAACTCGTGACTGCGAGCCCCTGCTGCCTTCCTGGCTGGGCCCATCTCTGCGGGCCCCCTGCTGGCCTGCCTTCCTGGCCTGCTGGCCCTGCTGGTGGTTTCTCTACCACGTTTCTGCTCTGGTGGCTTCGCGCTGTCGTCTTGCCACCCTCCTCCGATGCGCCCATCCTGCTGCTGCTCCACAGGAAGCCCCGGGCGGGACCCCCCAGTGTGCACGTAGACACATGCCCAAGAGAACGCCAGGCCACACTGGGAGATGCCTGGGCCCCTGTGTGTCTGCCTTTGCAGGCCCGTTTGAGGGGTGTCAGTCTGGATCGCAGCAGGCCCCAGGAGCACGACACAGCAGAGGGCTCCTGAGCAGGGCCATGGTGCTAAGGGCCAAGGGTTCAGACCCACGGCTTCGCCCCTGACCTCAGCCCTCCCCCTGCACCCTCCTAGCCAGGCTCACATCTGAGCGGCCAAAACAACTGACACCAGTGCGGTGACAAAGCAGCAGAAATACTCTCCCTGCTGGAATGCGCAGCGGCTGGGCAGGGCGGGGCAGTGCTGGGTGACACGACCTCCTAACGAATTCCACCCATGTGGACTGGGTTCCTGGTGTGCATGAACTTTGGGGAAGACACTCTTCAAACTAGTACCCAGTCTCTGAACAACCCCACATGTCATCTCCACGTTGGGGCTATGGCCGGGGTGGGGGCGGTTTGCTCACGCTTTGGTGAGTGGAACAGACCGTCACCAGCCGATCGTGGGCTGATGTGCCAGTCCCCATCAGTGTCATGAAACAGTGAGGAGCTGGAGAGCGACAGGTGGCAGCTGCCTTGGGGCTGGGAGTGCCGTGGCTGGGGCACGGATGGGGGAGGGGGAGTCGGAGCCTCCCTGGCCCTGGAGGCCTGGGCACCGTGAGGACTCTGTCCTGCCTGGGATGCCTGGACCTCCAACTGGGCCAAAGCGGTGGGACCCCCACAGCCCAGCACCCACCTCTGAGGGCTGTGTGCTATTTGGGCTCCAGAGCAGGGTCCCTCCCCAAAGCTGGAGACTTTACTCCCCCTTCCCTGCCCCCCACCCCCAACAGCGGAGGAGAAGAAGAAGCTGGCAGAAGAGAAAGCCATGGAGATAGAGGAACAGAACAAGGTCATCGCCATCGAAAAGGCTGAGGCCGAGATGGCCCTGGCTGAGGTCATGCCCATCCTGGAGGCCGCCAAGCTGGAGCTGCAGAAACTGGACAAGTCGGACGTGACCGAGATTAGGTAAGCTGCGGCCCCTCCAGGCTCCTGCTGGCAGCCACGCCAACATGGCCAACGGGCGTGTCCGGCCACCGCGCTGGCACTTTCTGTGGTGTGGATGGCTGCCGTGCGGATCTGCAAGGGGGAGCAGGCCCAGGGAGGCGAGGCCTCCGGACCCCTGCCAGGCCTGGTGGGACCTGCTGACCAGGAACCCAGGCTACTCATGGAAGGAGGAGGGATCTCGAGTGGGCCTCATGGGAGCCACGAACTTCACGGGTCAGTCCTTGTCACGGAAGTGTGACCCCTGCATCTGCCCTAAACAATGGGGGGCACTCAGCACACAGGCCAGCCACCTGCTGAAAACGGCGGGATGGATGTGCCCCCGCTGAGAGCGACTGAGATCTGCAGTAGTCATTTCTAGTAAAACATGCTGGCAAGGGATCAAAATTCACCTTCCAGAATTTGAATTGCTGGGCTCCCAAAGTGCATGGACCCCCACAAGCTGTGGCCTCTGTAGGGGTGGATCCAATTTACACTCCCACAAACAATCCAGAGTCTGCTTTTTCACAGCTTCACCAACAGAGGGCGCTGTTGGACATTAGGATTTTCTCGTTTCCTAAATGAGCACTTGCTTCTGCTGTTTTGTGAGGGAGCTTGGTATTTTTTCCATGTCGGTAAGAGCCTTGTGAATTTCATTTTCTGCGAACTGTTATGTGCTTTGCCGATTTATCTGTTGCTGTAATTGTTGCTCTTGTCTCATCCATTTCTAGAGGCTTTTTTTTTTAATTTATTTATTTATACAAGCACTGAAGTACAGGCCAGAGGTGCGGGAGGGTGAGAGAATTCGCCACAGACAGAGCAGGGAGCAGAACAGGCAGAAGTGTAACAGGGTGGTCCCTCTCCCTGTCCTATAACAGAAGGACCAAAGACACTGCTGAGGGGAGCAGCGGGGGAGACAGGAGAGGTCTGCTGTGCCATGTGGGAATCTCCCTGGCTGGCCGTGAATCGAACCGGTGCTGCAGAGGCTGTGGACAGCTTCACAGTGCTGTGCTCAGCCTGCTGTGCCACCGGGGAGGCCCTCTAGGGGCCTTTTATAGGGAGAGATTGAAAGGTTCGGCGCGGTAAAGACAAGGAGAGCCAGGCTACATTTCTCAAAGGGACGGAAAGTTTATTGCGCCCCGGGCGGACCTCACAGACCCAAGGCGGGGGTCAGTGAAGCCGCGCACGTTGTTAGGGGGAAGCAGGGTTTTATAGGGTGAGGAGAGGTCAGGTGGGTAGTTGGGCTCCTACGGCGGGAAAAGTTTGTAGGGCAGGTAGAGGTTCTTTGTCTGAGATGAGACTCGTAGGGGAAGGGGGAGGCTCATTGTCTGAGTCCTGGAGGCAGGTATCCGCATTCCTGCCCCCCAGGTGGGCTTCCTGGTTGGCTCCTGCATTCCGGCCCCCTGCATGGACCTTTCATACCAGCCTTTTGTTGATAGGAAAAAGGGCAACGGTTTTTTCTTTGGCTACTTCCTGCTGAAAAGGGGCGAAGACCAAGGGCTCGGGCCTGGTTATGAGGGTCTTTTGCGGGGATGCGAGAATACAGATGGAGCAGGAGCTGGTTAAAGGTGGTACGAGCCATTTCCCGAATGCGAGCCTGTATGAACTTTAGGAGGCAAGGAGCGAAAAGAAAAAATAAGGTTATCATTAGTATTGGCCCCAAGAGTGGGAGGAGCCATGACACGATAGGATTTTGAAACCATGTCAGCGGAGAGTTGGAACCCCCGGTTTCCCATTCTATGTCTTTGCGTAGTTTTATTAAGGCTTTTACATTTTGTTCTACAATTCCCGATTCGTTGATATAGTAACAACATTCTTCCCTGAGGAACAGGCAGGTACCCCCTTTATTAGCTGTTAACAAGTCCAGAGCCCGCCGGTTTTGGAGAGTGACCTGTGCCAGGGCGGTGAGCTGTCTTTGTAATGATGCTAAAGACACATAGGTTTTCTCTAAGGAGGTATCTATTCTTTCATGAAATTCCTGGGCAGTAATCAGGCTGTGTCCCAGGGCCCCACCTGCCATACTTGCAGCTGCTATCGATGATGCCAGGCTAATTCCAACCATGACTGGAAGAAAGGCTGCCCGCTTAGTCTGATGTGGTGAGAATAACTAACCTAGCTCAGACCGTCTGTACAGAGCTAACTGTGGGACTGCGAGGACTTGGATACGTGGGCCTGGAGTAGCAGAATTAATACACTGAGAGAGAGAGCCATTGCACCAGAAAAAGTTTCTCTTTGCTGTTGTTCGGAGCACAGAAGTAACCGAAATGTTAGAAGCACAGGAGTCTGGCAAGCAGCGTCCGTTATTTTGGTGGTAGTGGTATTGAGATTAATTGGAACTGCCACCAGTAGAGGCCTCTGAAGGGAAGCACAGAGGAAACAAGAGGAGGTGTTAGTCTCAAAAAAGTCATTTAGGAAGGTTATAGCGTTTTGGATTATATGAATCCAGGTTGAGGGTGTCTCGGTCTTTTCTGATGATGTTAGCTAATTTTATAGGATTTGTTCTGAATGGAGGATGTCCTGGGAGACTTGGACTGTGGCATTTTGTGTCGGGACATATTCCCTTGAGATGGACAGTGTTGCCACTGGGTAGGAATGCCAGCCAGTGTACCCTGCGGCTTGGACTCCCTGTACCCAACGTTGGTCCCAAGGATCTGAAATAGCAGAGCTAACTTGACTCATATTGAAGCCCGTATTATGATGGACCAGAGAGAACATTTGGCCTTTTGTTATAGGACAGGGAGAGGGGCAGCCCAAACCCCGCAAACCTGCCTATTCTAAATGGGTTCTGCCATCCGCCGCATCAACACAAAACATATGACACTTTAATGGGAAGGATCTTTAATAAAAACTAGGAAACAATACAGGTGAGGCAAAGAGTCTAGTTTCTAAATGAAGCACCCAAAGTTACCCGTCCCCTCGTGGGTAAAACTCCATCCATATGGGGTCGGCCCAGAGCAAGGCCCCAAAGCCTGCCACAAGTCTAAAACATCTTCCAGTGGGGACCCACAGAAAAGGGTCACAAACAACCAGACAAGCCCGGAAGGAAAAGAGCAAAATCAACATCAAGATAAAAGCTGCCATTGTCACCTCCCCACGGGTCTCACCCACATCTGTGTCACCCAGTCCACGACCAAAAGACAAGCGCAGTTTCTTCACGTGTCTCTAGGCTCCATGTGCCTCCTCCAGGTCTCCTGGCTCCATCCTGCTTCCTTCCTCAGTCTCTTCTGCAGCTTCTCCTCTTCCTGCTCAGCTCCACCCTCCCTTGGGTGGAGCAGGGAACCTGGAACCTCCCCCTTTCCTGGGGACCACCCTGTTACAATCCCCCCTTTTAATTTTTATTCCACCATATCTATGGTGGCACAATCTCATGGTGTAATTTTAGGAGACAGTCTTTTTTTTCAGGGTTCCAATGTGTGTAAGAGAAGCAACAATTAGTCAGCAGCATTGTCCATGAATGTCCAGTATGACAGTTTCATTACTTAAAAATAGTCCATTATCCAAGCCAAAAGAAAAAAAGTTGGAGCATTGGCTAAAACAAGATAGCAAATATATCAAAATCACAGGGAAAAAATGTTAAAATGGTTCAACTTATGCAAAAACGAATTCTCTCAACCTTGATCCCAAACTTTTAACAGCATAGCAAAAGTTTGCAAACTAAATCTACTTTTAAACCATTTTTCCTATTTTTGCATAAAATCACAGGGCAGAAAATAACTAACAGCAATTTTTAGCCGGCTTTGTTGAAATACTCCACACAGGATCAGAGCGAACCGGTGGCATCCAGTCGATGTAGGCTTCAGGTATAAAGTTGGTCTCATCATACTCCACCTGGGCTTTCCTCTTTTCGAGGGTACCAGGGCTTTTTCGTTGGCCGGGTTGTCCAGTCCTGCCAATGGAGGCAAGCTTCCTCACCTTCTTTGGAGGTCTCTGGAACCCTACAAACAAGGCAAACAGGTTCTCCTCTTCTTGGTTTAGCTCTGTTTCGACTTTTGGAAGAACTCCACACAAAGCCACACAATCAAACTCACGTCCAATTTTTTTTTTAAAACAGACAAAATCCCTATGGAAGTTATGCAAAAACAGACTCTAAGATAAGTAGCAAAAATTACTACCACTATTTGTATGCTGTGTTGGTATCAAGGGGAGAGAAAATGTGACAAGTTAACTTTGCTGGAAAAAAATTACAACCTTTCTGCAGATCCTGGTTAGTCAAAACAAAACAAAAATTTCGTGGATTCAGGACAGAATGCATTAAAAAAAAAGTTCCAGTATTATGTCAAAGAAACCTTAGTAAATGTCAGGTGTATTTCCAGGTCTATTGAGTCCTTTGTAAGAAAGTTTTACTCTCAACAGTTCCATCAATAGGAATCTGTTGAGACCTTTTCTCCCTATATTTCCAGAAACAATTTCTGTAGATGTGAAACAATTGAATTATACAATATTACAAGGTGACAATCACCACTGACAATTTACATACATACCCGATACTACTGTTAACATTTTGTACATACCAAAGTTTTACCATTTTCCAAGTGACAATGATTCCCTTCCAGTTTTACTTCATTAGGTAAAAGCCAAATAGAACAAATTTATGTAATGCTTTCCCAGGAGGAAAAGGAGAAACTTCGTGGAGTGTCTCAGGAGCTCTACTGAGGATCCACAAAATTTCCTTGCATCAGTCAAATGACAGGCTACCAAATTTGTACTTGAATTTAGATTTCTGGGAAGCTTTGCCATAAATATCAGAAAATTAACAGAAACAACAATATTCAATCTCTATGAAGGCACCGGCTTAGTTCAGTAGCACAATGTTGACAATCAAACCATAACTTTTTGTTTTTCTCATAACTGGAGACTCTTTTTTTTTTTTTTTTCCAACGTCTATGGGCACCATGTATATCAATTCGTCGATCACTGGAGGTCAAGACAGTTAGACACAAGGACATACAGACATACAACGTATAGACAAAGACAGTTTTTTTTTT